CCAAATTAAACAAGCTGTAAAGAAGCTCTATGACATTGATGTGGCCAAGGTCAACACTTTGATTAGGCCTGATGGAGAGAAGAAGGCCTATGTTCGACTTGCTCCTGATTACGATGCTTTGGATGTTGCCAACAAAATTGGGATCATCTAAACTGAGTCCAGCGGGCTAATTCTAAATATAAATTTTTCTCACACAAAAAAAAGTAGAATATAAAAGAGTGTCTATAAACTGTGTTATACCAGCTGATAATGATGTCCCCCAAGACTGCAGTCCTGAGCTCCCAGGGGCAGTGATTCATTCGCTCAAAGTAGTTATGGCTCAGAAGTCTTCTCATCTTGCCCCATTTGCCCTACAGTGAGTTCATATAAATGCGTGACTCTAGTTACAGCACATACAGATACACACACAGAGTATGTTAAATCGGTGCAGTGGGTGTTGTCTCAGTGGATATTGTTTTACTCCTAAGTTTAACATAAAAAGCAGTTTCAACCCTCACCTCCTTTCTACTTCCTCAGTGGCTAATGAGACTGAGCCCTTTCTCGATGCTTCTTAGTCATTTGTTTCACTTCTGTGAATTGTCCTTTCATTCTCTTTGATCACCTGGTCCCTTTGTGGATTGCCTTTTTATTACTGATTTGCCACTTTTTGTAAAGTAGGGGCATTACCTATGCTGCAAATAACTCTTCCCAGCCTGGCTGGTTTCTAACTTGGCCTACAATGTGTTCTGAGGTGTAGCCTTTTGAGTTTTGATGGGGTGTGATCTGTTGTTCTTTCCCTTTTGGCCTTCCCTACTGTAAATCCTCAGCCAAGACTCCCCTGACTCGCTTTGTACCTTCCACAGCACGCTGCTTCCCGAAAGGCCCTGAGGAGAGAGACAACAAAACACCACCACAGGGACACTCTGTGTCCTTCAACACAGAACTGACTGAAGGATGAAGATAAAGACACTTTCTCCAGAGGTCCACGCACATTCTAAAGTCAACAGTCTTCAAACTGTGGTGAGTGAAAGAAACAAAGAATGCTAGAAAAGCCCACCAATCTACCGTGACAGGAAGGGAAGCAGATCAATCATCGGCTGGGAATGGTGAGTGGGAGGGGGCAAGAGATAGGAACAACGAGGGGATACAAGGGATCTTTACGGGGTGAAGGACAAGTTCACGGTTTTCACAGTGATGATGTCTCCATGAGTATATGTCAAACCTTATAAGAACTTACGCTGCTATTGTTGTTCCAAGCCGTTGAGTAGACTTTTAATCATTGCGACCCTATGCACCATAGCTCTGAATCCTGTTCTGTCCTGAGCCAACCTCACCATCTCTGACACATCTACCCTTATTAACCCAGAACTGAATACCTGAAGTATTTCTCATTTATTGTATGTCAATTATATTAAAAAAAAAATCTGTTTTAATTAGGTAGGTAGGGCCTTAGAGGGCAGCAGGTTTATGTTCATGGAGGGAAAGCAACTCAGAAAAGGCAGATGAAAATGAAAATTAAAATGGCTACACAGTTCCAAGAACAGGACATGGAGAAACTGTCAGATTCATGTGTGCTGTTCTGTGTAGACTAGTGATAAAATAAAACTTAAAAAAGAAAATGGTTTTAAAAAGGCTGTGTCCCCAGCAACAACAGCAAAGTTCAACAAGACAGCAAATAACAAACGCCGGCGAGGTTATAGCAAGATTGGAACTCTTATTCACAGCTGGTGGGAGTGTTAAATGGTACAGCCACTATGGAAGGTCGTCTGACACTTTCTCAAAAAGTTGAAAACAGAAATACCGTTTGGCTCAGCAATTCCATTGGGAATTACCCTAAAGAAACCAGAGCCATGATTCAAACAGATATATGCACACTCACGTTTACTGCTGCGTTGTTCACAATAGCAAAGAGATGGAAGCAGCCAATCTGCTCCTCAACAAACTAAAGGATAGAAAAACTACAGTACATTCATATAATGGAATATTATGCAGCACTGAAAAATAGTGGATTTGTAAAACTCTACACAATATGGGTGAGCCTGAAAGACATTATGCTAAGTGAAATATCTCAAAAGGATAAATAATGCATAATACCTCTATTGTAAAATAGGACTGACATGGGGGTTGGGAAGAGCATAGAAGAGTGGATAGATAATAAACATGCATTGGAACAGATGAAGGGAAGGACTGTCTGAAAGTAACATATAATTAGACATTATCTGTAGAACAACAATCTGGAACAAGGGGTACATTACAATGTAGGCTGAGGGAGTGGGAAATAATGGGGAGGGAGGAAAATGCACAAAAATGAATGAATGAAAATTCAACCTTTCTGTAAACTTTTGTTAAAATCACAATAAAAACATTCAAAAAAATAAAGGCAGTGTTACCTCAAAGCTTATGCCTGCTAAGGCGTAAGCCTTAAAGTCTCCGACAGTTCCTTCCACAGCAGTCAGCACATAGCCCTCCTTCTGTGAGGTCACAGTATATTCCAGGTCGCTGTGCAAAGGTCCGACACTGCATAAAAGAAAGCAAAACACTCCGGGTGGCTTTGTTTCAAATCTTGGGGGAAAGATCACAGGTCACAAGGAAATCTGGGCTCCCCAGTCTCTTCAGAAGAGCATCAAAAGGCTCCTGGCACCAAGCATCTAATTCTTCCGTGCAGGCTTACCTATAAGCCCCCTTGTCATCAGTGAAGACGGTGATCAGTGGCGAGCTCGCGTCCTTTTCACTAATGACAATCTCAACTCCTTCCAACTCCGGGTGGATCTGGCCTTCTAGAAACAAACCTGCCTTCCCGTGGATCTCAATCAGCTTCCCTGGACAGCTCTCTAATGGGGGGGGGGGGCAGAAGAGAGAGGAACAGGACATAGTTGCAAATGGAGCAAAACCTGGACGGGGGCTTTCTAGGAAAGGGCCTAAAATGGAGACATCGGGAACTGTCTCCCAGTGAAGTCATTCATGGAGCAGACATCAACCTCTCTCTATTCCTAAAAGGCCTTGCTCAACTGACAAGGAATTTCACAAACAAATGTAGCAAATCTTAAATTTAAACTATACCCACACCCTGGTCCTCACAGGGCCACCAACAATGTCCTCCATTTCCATCGAAGCTGATCAACTTTCAAGCCCAGTGACAAGATTTTCCCCACAAAAATGTGAGCACTAGAAAGCCATGGTCTTTCATCTCTCGGCCTCCAAACCCTGACCACGCTGATGCACAAGGCTTAATGAACTTCAGACTTCAGCAGCCGTAAGGCAAATACACCACAGGCCATCGCTTCTCATTACCCATTCTGAAAAAAATACCTGCAGGCCACCCCTATCAAAAATCATACAAATCATAAATAATACAGATACATAAGGAATACAACTTAACAGGGGCCCCTTGATGGCCTACTGGCAAGAGGCTGCACTGCAATTCCAAAGGCATGTGGTTTGAATCCACCAGATGCTCCGCTGGAGAAGGAGGGGCAATCTCCTCCTGTGCCAGTTGGATCCAATCCGATTCAAAGGTACACAACAACAACAACAAAGAAAAACCCACACAAACACACACATAAAAAAAACCAATCCATCTTCACAACTGATGGTTTTTGCTTCATACCTGCCTTCTGGGGTCACCCTGACAAAGAACAAGTCCACTGAGTTGAAACTGACTCATAGCCGACCCTCCGTTACATTTTTAAGACTGTCAAGTAGTCAGAAGTAGATGGCTCAGTCTACGGCCAGACCACACTGAATGCGCCCAACCTTGTCTGATCTTGGAGGCCAAAGCAGGGCCAGGCCTGGTTAGTATGTGGACGGGAGAAGAAGACAGCTCATCATTTTTTTCTGAGGAGCCGCAGGGGGATTCAAACTTCCTCAAAAACACAGCCTTTGTTTAGCACCGTGACTCCCTGAATGCCACCACAGCTCCCATGTCAGAGAAAACCAAGTCCTTTTCCTCAATTCCAAGAACCAATGCCACTTCTATTCACTTCGCCCTTTCATTCATTTATTCCTCCATCAAGTAAACATCTGGGTCCTAAAGGGGATGTAAGAGTGGCTCACAGTGATGACTCCACTCAACCAACACAAAGCAAAGGCTACGGGCAGGTGGAGGGACAGTGACAGCACTGTGCACGTGCTCACGAGCTCATAGTTACCTCCGCTGACGACGGCCTCCATCGAAGGGGGAGAGAAGAGAAGCTCTTTAGACGAGGGTGTAACGGTGATTTTCTCTCCGGACCTAAGAGAATTAATGCTTCAATGTGGCCGGTCCTATCTCACCCAGCAGGCAAAAAACAAGCATCAGCACAGAGGAAATCCTTCCAAAAAACACAGAGCGCTTACCGTGCCCAGTAAGAGAAGTCGTATGAGAAGGGCCCTTGTAACTCATCCACCATCTCCTGCACTGGGGGCTTGGTCTTTCCCTCTTCGCCTTCCACGCTGTTCTTCTCTCTCTCCTGCCTGCGCGTCTCAATCTCGGCCAGCTGCTGCTCCCTCCGCAGCTCCTGCACAGACTTCAGGGGGCCCAACACCAGGGCGGGCTCACTGTCAATGGAAGACCTGGAGGAGAAGGAGGCCCAAATGGACTGGGGCACTCAGCCTTGTCGCCAGCGGGACTCATTTCTACAGGTAGGGACTCACAGGTGAGGCATGGGACACTTTATAATGCTATCAAAGTGGTACCGTCTTCTGCTTTTGATAAACTTATCGTTTGTTTAAAACACTTGTTGGTGATGGTTTTTGTTGTTATTGTTGTTGTTGTTGTTGTGTGCCACGGAGTCAGAACCGACCCAGAGCTGACCCTCCAGCAGGTTTTCAGAAGCTGTAAATCGCACAGGAGGAGATTGCTCATCCTTCCCCCGGGGAGCAGCTGGTGGACTGGAACTGCCTGCCTTTGGGTTGGCAGCACAACTCTTTACCTGCTAGGCCACCAAAGCCTCCTTAGCAATAGTTTGTTATCACTGTTGTTACGTGCCATCAAGTCAGCTACGACTCACTAACAACCGTATGAAGAACGGGTCTGAATCTCGCCTTATCCTGCACCAACCTCACCATCTCCAACACACCTGACCCCACTGCCACAGTCACTGGGCAGTGAACCACTTCCTCCAGGTTCTTCTTCTCCTGCGCTGACCCTCCACTCTCCCAAGCATGATGCCCTTCTCCAAAGACTAGACCCTCCTGCCAGTATGCCCAAAGTGGGAGTATACTATAGATGCCAGCTTTGGTAAAGCTTTGACTGTAGGCCAACTGGATATAAACGTGTCAGTGTTTACATAGGACATGAAGGTCTCTCCATCTTCCCTTCATCCATTCATTAAACATCCACAACACACTATGGTCTGAGGACTGCTCTAAACCCTAGTGATTCAGCAGTAAATAAAACAGAAAAATTCCCTGGTTCTGTGGAACCTACTTTCTAACAAGAAGAGGTAGGTAATAAGTAGAAATGTCAAAGGATAAGCACAACAAAGAAAAAGTAAGCAAGCTAAGAGGAGAGAGCACTGGAGGCATGGGGTCACTATTTGCTATCAGGGGCAGCCAGGTCTCTCTGGTGATGTGATAGTCAAGCAAAGCCCTGAAGGAAGGAAGGGAGAACATGAGCCATGAGCCCGGGGGTCACTTGGATGAAGAGGGTGTCAGGCAAGAGGAGAGCAAGTCAAAGTCCTTGGAGACAAAGCTCCAACGTGTTCAAGGATGGCATGTTCAAGTCCAACACGGTCAAGTCCTTGGAGAAGCTCCAACGTGTTCAAGGGCAGCCAGTAGACCCATGCAGCCTTGAACTAAGTGACCCGTGGAAGGCAGAACATTCAGAGGCCTGAGGGTAGGAGGTGTCCAGCAGACCTACTAACAGACCTTGGATTTCATTCTATCCTGAGCAAGACAAAAAGTCCCTGGAGTTTTGTTTTAAGTAGAGGAATGAGATCATTTATCTGCACTATGAAAGGACGGCTCTGGTTACCATACAGCATTGTTAGGAGATCAAAGCCCAAACAAAGAAACAGCCAGTTAAATTGCTGCAATGACCCAGGCAAGAATCAATGGCGGCCAAAGCCAAGGTATGGCAGCAGAAATGTTAAGAAGACATCTGGGTTATGGAAATATTTTCATTATAAAGACACACGTTTGTTGCTGGACTCACTAGACATAGAGTGCAAAAAAGAAAAAGAGTCTGGAAACAATGAGAAAGATGGGGCTGCCATTTCCCAGACAAGGACCACCGTGAAGGAGCTTTGTGGAGGGCAACAGGCTGAAGTGTGATCTAGCTCACGTGGAGTACGAACTCCCCATTCCAGATCCAAGTGCCTGTGTCCAAACGGAGAGTGAATGTCTTAGCTCCTCCAGCACAAGCAAACAAGCCAAAAGATCTTCTGAGGTTGCCAAACTAAACTGAGGAAGGACTTAAATTAGGCACCATGGAGTCACTACTGGTAAAAATACAGGTTTTCAGTTATAGCAGGAATTGTTCTTTTCTAAGCAGGAAAAAACTTGTAAAAGACTCCACCCCCATGCACACCCATGTTTATCGCAGCTTTGTTCACTATAGCAAAGAGCTACAAACAACCCAAGTGCCCACCAACAAACAAATGGATCGAGAAGCTGTGGTATATTCACACAATGGAATGCTACACTGCATTGAAAAACAAGGAACTCAAGCAATATTATTCAAAATGAATGATCCTGGAGGACATTATGCTGTGTGACATATCTCAGTCACAAAAGGGCAGATACTGCATAGTGCCACTATTGTGAAAAAGGGCTGACATGGGGGTTGGGTGGAGACGGAGAAAGATGGGATAAATTATGTATACTGCATTGAATCAGATGAGGAAGAAAACTGTTTAAAAGGTATAGATGATTAGGTATTATTGTCATGACAGGAGTCCAGAATAAAAGCTGCATAGTGGAGTGGACCTGGGGGAAGGGATTATATAACAAAGGAAGAATTTCTCTTCTACTTTTCAAAGAGAAGAACGAAGTGGAGGGGAAAGTGGGCAGGGAGAAAAGTGCAACAATGAATGAATGGAAATCCAAAGACTGTAAACTTTCATTAAAATTAATAATAATAATAATAAAATTGTAAAAAATAAATAAAAAAGAACCCAGCCCCAGTATAGTGCCTGGCCCAGAGGAGACGCTCGCCAGACCCCTTTCCCCTACAAGGCCAAACTAAAAGCACTTCTCTCCATTGTCCTACTATAGCTACACAGAGGAGTCTCAGTATTTTCAGCACAGACAACTAGATGAACAAATGGATAGAGACTGAAGCAAATCATTCAAAAAAATGTCCATTATTGTGGGGTCAATTCTGACTCCAAGTAACTCCACAGGAAGACCAGAACTGCCCCACAGGTTTCCGAAGCTGTAATCATTCAGAAGCCAGCTCTGCTACAGCTTTCTCCCACAGACAGCAGCTGGGTTCGAACTGCCCATCCTTTCGTCAGCAGCCGAGCGCTTAATCAGTACACCACAAGGGCTCCTTACGATGGACATGGAGCCTGTAAAAGCACCCCTTCAGGGGGAGCTCTGGTGGCCTAGTGGCAAGGAGCTGCAACTACAATCCCAGAGGCACGCGGTTCAAATCCACCAGATGCTCTGCTGGGAAAAGGAGGGACAATCTCCTCCTGTACCAGTCAGATCTGATTTGACGGTACAGTCACACACTCACACACACACAAAAAGCACCCCTTCAATGAAAGCAAGGCGAGGACCAGTTACTCCAATCTCCCTTTCATTTAACAAAGAGCGTCGTGTTTGCGGCTGTTCCTTTCATTTGTGGGGAAAATGAAGAGTGTCTGAGGGCATGCAGCTCGTGGGCCTCACCACCGAGCAGCAGTTCCTCTCAGAGCTGGCATTCTCGGGGACCTGACCCTCAGCAAGGGACTGCCATTCAAACAGCGTCACTCTCATGACCTCTCTTGTATGAGGCACCAGCCCTTCCCCACGCCTTAAAGACACGGTCTGAAAGAAAGTGGGCAATTTTCCTGAATCTGCTAAAGCACTAGCATACAATGCACATGCTCCAGAGTTGAGGGGCTTTTTTTTCATCCTTAGCAAAAGGCAGGAAATGTAAAGAGTTCAGGCAGAAATTTAAGACACTGAAACAGGCTGTGAGGAGGCTCTATCTCATCCACTGTTAATTCCTGACTCTTGAAAGGATCAAGGCTGTTTTGAGTTTAAAGATATGACAAAGAAATAGAAGGAGACAGAAGGTCATTGGCACACACAACTACAGATAAGAAATCAAAAACAATTTATCGAGAGTTTACTAACAAACGGCCCACGCCTTGCCCACCAGCCTCCCCGCTCCTAGCACAAACACACAACAGTCTCACTTGATAGTCACAGTGACATCCATCATTTTGTCAGTGGTAATGGTCCCAAGTACGTGGTGGCGAATGGCTGTTAACGTCAAGATACTCGGTGAAGACCTACGAGGCAAATAAGCGAAAGACAAACAGTGGTGACACCACCGCATTTATTCTCAAAAGGTCATAAGCACACCCTGCACGGGGTACCTTCCTGTCCCTAAAACACGACAGAGCTCTTACCCAGGAAAAAGAGAACTCCCAGAACACACATGGATGGTTTATTGTTTTGTGCGGTTTTTTTAAAATTTTTATTATTTTTGTGTGTATATTGTCAAATTGGATCTGACTGGTACAGGAGAAGACTGTCCTGCCTTCTCCAGCAGAGCACCTGGTGGATTTGAACCATGTGACTCTGGGATTGCAGTGCAGCTTCTTGCTACTAGGCCACCAGAACTCCCTAACAAACATGGATGTTTTAAAGAGTAAACTGAAATTATATGCAAGAACTTTACACTTCCAAGTCCCTGAGAAAGCCACAATATTTTTTTAAAAAATGGTTTCTTTAAAATGCAAAAGCATACCTAAAAACTGAGTTTTGAGACATTTTTCATCAGTGCAGAGATTTAACAAAGATTCTATGTAATCCATCTCAAAAGCACAGCTCTTTATCCTGGGTTTGTAGAATTCTTGGAAAAGAGATCCTATCTCTATTTCTTCAGTCATTTATCCAAGTGTCTTAAAAAATCCTTATCTACAAATTCTTTCTACTCCCTCTCCTGACCTCACTGAGAAAAACAGGAAAATTCCTTTTCTCAGAGAAAGACCCCCCCAAAAAAAACCAAAACACAATCTGATGCAGGCTCACTGTCTTACACGTAACATACCCAAAAGCTGCCAATTTTTAATAACCAGGGCGGGCTTACGTGTCATAGGTGTAGAAAGCTTGTTCAAAGCGGTGACAAGAGCGAGGGGTCACTTTGTACACACCTACAGACAGGAGGCAAAGGTCATTTTGAGTGAATGCTATCAATTACACCAACCAGTTCCAACATTTGAAACCCAAAGGGGGTTCTACTCATTTGTAGATGCACGGCGGATCGCAGAGCTGCAGGAGCAGGCTTGGAAACGCCAGGCAAGCGTCTTCTCCACTGCCTTCAAAGGCCTCCCGCACTGACCCGACCCACTCACGCACACAGCTTTCCACTGCCCATAATCTAACAACTCACAGTCATTTAATCAGCACAGACCCGGCTTCCGGAGTGTGGTGACAGAAGGAACAGAAGGGACATTTCTATCACAAATTAGGCTGAGAGTAATTTTCTACTTAAAAGATGCTGCTTAACAGCTAGAAGCTAAAAAGCTACAGCCTGAACCTTTCTTAGAAATATTCCTCAAAGAGGACAGAGAATAAGAAAGGCCCCTCAGGCTGAGGCATGAACTCACGAATCTACTGTTGGGGTACACTCAGCAGAGGAAGAAACACAATGCTGCCATTTATCTCCCCCATTAGCCAATATTTGCACCAGACTTCCAACAAAAGCCAGAAATGAGTCCAAACCATCACCGCTATTTTCATCACACCGAGTAAGCCCCAGTGCTTGCTGCCACCAGAAAAAACTGTTTGGTTTCTTCAATCGTTTAACAATACTGACTGAGCGCCTGACAGAGGCCAGGTATTATAGAGCTGGTGGTTCACAGAGGGAGAGACATTCAACAGATACAAGGAACCTAACTGTGACAAGCAGTCAGGAAAAGAATCAAAATACACAAAAAGCATAATGAGAGGCTGGAATGACACTGGAGGGCCACCTTGCTCTGGGGTCGTAATATATGAACCCTTCTGAGTGGCTCTGGATTTACAAGCAGAAGGCAGAAGCCAGGGAAGGCTGGGCTATGAACAACATGGCCATCCCTGACTTGCTAACGCTCCTCCCTTGATAACGATGCTGGTTATGTTTACAGCAGCGACGTGCTCAACCTTGGGGAATTATCCAACTGCCCGGGTTCCTTTTACAGCTGGAAGCAAGCAGGTGACACTGTTCAGCCCAAGAAGACAGCAGTTTACAGAAGGAAGGGGCATGGGAAAAGCTGACTCTCCTGCTTCCTGCTCTGAACGTAACAAGGTTTCTTGTTATCAGACAACAGCAGCCATCTGGCAATCATAGAGCAAAAAAATAACAACTGGCAGGCCAAAGACTCGCAGGAGCACCGATGCACGAGCACATCGCATGACCATGCCGAGTCCTTTCCTGTCACTAGGTCGGGTAAGGCTCCTCTTATTGATGACACTCTTGGACAGGTTTTGTGACTCACTATAGAAAGCATCCTAATAGGTAAGTGAAAGCCGTGTGTGTGGGTGTCACTGTCACAGGACAGTGATTGGAGATTAGAGTGTGAAGAGGCAGGAGAAGATTCAGGGTGTTGGGAGCTAGGCGTGGACGTGGCTCATGCCAACCCAAAGGACCATGGTTCAAATTCACCAGCTGTTCACTCCATCGGAGAAAGATGGGCACTGTCCTCCAGAATGGTTAACTGCCTCTGAAAACTTGCTGGAGGGTCACTATGAGTTGGCTCTGATTTAACTGGACATATACATAGGACAATATACAAACACATATCTACAAACATTAAAAAAATACATATATTAAAAAAACCAACTGGATTACGGTAAGAAAACACAGAAATCTCAGAATAAAGATTTTGTAATTTATCTCCAGAACCTAGAAAAGCCACTGAATTATTCATCAGGCAAATGCAAAACAAAACCACCATGAGATAGCAATTCACACCCACCAAGTGCCCATAATAAAAAAGAGACACAATAACCAGTACTGTCAACAAAACTGAGGAGGAATGGGAATTCTCACACATTACTGGTGCAAATGTAAAATGGTGCTGCCTCTTTGGAAAGCAATTTGGTAATTTTCTAAAAAGTCAAACATAAATTTACCATATGGCCAGGCAATTCAACTCCTAGGTGTCAACTCAGAAAAAACCAAAAATGTGTGGAGGGAATCTCAGCACCGCCAGGAAAGAAATTCCAGGAGTGGAGCGTGTCCTTTTGGATTGAAGCTCTGTGCTGGGAAACTCCTCACTGCTGGGGAAAACCAGGATACACAGAGGAGAGGCCTCCACGGAATGCTGGGGCTACAGAAGCTGAAGGAAACAAGGACCCTCCTTCAGAGCCGAGAGAGAGACAGAGAGAGAGAACTTTTCCAAGAGCTGGCTCCCAAAGTTGTATTTATAGACTCTTCACCTCTAAGAGGTTAAGTCTTTGTTAAAGCCAAAGAAGGAAACACATGTGCACACAGACCTGCACATAGATGAACTGAAGGAAAAATGCAGCCTTTCTCTACAATACATATTATCTGGCAAAAAAAGGCAAGAACACCAACAGATAAACCTTAAAATCATTGTGCTCAGAGAAAGCAGCCTGAAATGAAAGACCTCATATTACGTGGAGTCTCTCATTCAAAACTCACTACCAGCCAGCTACTTCCAACTCCCAGGACCTCCATCAGATTTCCATAAATTACATCATAATCATAAATCAATCATAATCCATAAAGCAATCACAAATCCTCTGAGGTGGAGACTGCTCATCTTTCTCCCATGGAGCTGCTGGGGGATTTGAACCATCAGAGAAGCCTCTGGGACAGTGGCACAGCTCACTAAGGACTCCACCAGCAGATCCCTCTACAAAATGCCCAGGAAAGGTAGATGTTTGCAGACAGAAAGCAAATTCATGGCTGTGCAGGACTGAAAGCTGCTCCTCTGTGAACAGGCTGGAACACTGAAAACAGACTGAATGCAGACTGAGGAACTGGCTGCATAACCTGGTAAATTTCTTTTAAAAACCACTGGACTGTTAAAATGGTTGTACTCTATCACTGTCATTGTAGTTGTGTAGCATAGAGTCGGAACCCACCGAAAGCTGACCCTCCGGCAGGTTTTCAAAGGCAGTTAAATCACACAGGAGCAACTTGCTCATCCTTGTCCCATGAAGCAGCAGGTGGCCTCGAACTACATGCCTCTGAGACTGCAGCACACAGCTTCTTGCCGCTAGGCCACCAGAGCTCCCTTAAACCCCAATAAAGTTGTTGAAAGAAAAGTCACTGAAGAAATTTTATCAAAATGGAAAAGGATTCCATTTTTATTTCAAAAAGATGGTGCAGTGGAGAGGTCACCAGTCAATGGTGTGACCTTTTTAAGGCCTAGTGGTCTCTACTCATTACAAGTCCAAGAGATCCAATTGTTGTTATGTACCACTGAGTCAGAACTGACCCACAGCTGACCCCCTAGCAGGTTTTCTGAGGTAGTAAATCATACGGGAGAAGACTTGCTCATCTTTTTCCCACAGAGCAGCTGCAGGATTTGAACTATATACCAATAAGCCACCAGTGCACGTGCCAATCCCCAGTTCTTACCGTTCAGTGAAGAACACTGCCTCTTCAAGAGGAAGGAGGCAGAAAATCAAGAGCACCCTGAACAGAGTCAATGACTGACAGCTTGATGCAGACAGAGTCAGGGTAGAAAAAAGTGTCTCAGCAACCATCCTTTCATGCCTTCCAGTGTTTCCACCCAGCGGCCCATCAATCCTCCTCAACTCACCGGGCTTGGACAGGCAGAAGCGGTTGACTCCTTTGGAGAGGTTATAAATCCCCACGTTCTCGGGTCCATTTCCATCCTGATAAAATTCCTGAGGGACCAAAGCCAAGACGATGACTTACTTGGGTGGTGGGGAGGGATGGCGACACCAAGATGATTAATAATATTTCTGTTTCTGGACCAGTCATCTGTTTTGCCCATTAATCATCTGAGCACTTGGGTGCCACAGGAAAATTAAAAACCTTCAGCAACTCCCAGTAAAAACGTGCTCTCTCACTCAACAATGACTCTTGGTCGAGCACCTGCTGGGTGATGGGCACAGGTCTGGGCCATGGGAGAAAGTGACATGGCTCCTGCCATCAGGGGGCTTCCAGTCTAACAAGAAAGGACAGGAAAGCGCCCGGTCAGCAGATAAAAGAGCTGCTTGCAGGAAGTGGGTAACAAGAGCAATAAAGGAAACAACACAGGGAAGTGGGATAAAGAGGGGACCCTCAGCGGGGGCTACTTGGGTTTGCCCATCTCAGGGCAGGTCTCTCCCGAATAAGTGCTCTGGAATTGTGGCTTAAATGTGAAAAGTCAACTGTGTGGGGGAAAGCAAAGCTTGCCAGGCAACAGGACAAGAGCAAAGCACACAGTGTGCATAGACCCAGAAGAGGGACCAGCATGGGGCACTTAAGGGACTGGAGGAGGTTGTGGGGTCAAGGCGGATCGAGGTGCAGGGTGACTGAGTGGACGGAGGAGTCCGGTGAGAGCCTTGTAGTTCTGGGTAAGGAAACACAGATCGTGTTCCAAGGGGGACAGTTATCCACTGGACAGTTTAAAGGAAAGGAATGGTCTCCTATGGAGGCGGGTTAATTATCATGCAGTCAAGAATTTTCTTACAGGAGATGGATTTATTAGATGTCAATAAATCCATCTCCTGTAAGAAAATTCTTGACTGCATGACAATTAACCCGCCTCCAACAATAAAACTGATGGCTGAGCACCGGGGGTTGGGGGGTGTGTGTGTGTGTGTTTTAAGTAGTGAGAGCAGTCCACAGGCAATGAGTCCTTTTAGTCTGTAATGATCTCTAGCAATCACTTTGTTACTATTTGTCTGTGTTTCCGTTGGGGCCTGGAAATGACATTTGCCACTGTTTGATGTCAAAAAACTTAGGTAACACTTGAGAAGGGGCCTGTGTAGGTGCTCCGTTCTTAAAACCCCTGCCTGTCAGACTACAAAGACTACAGTCAACAAGGGAGTATGATTCTGCCCAGCAGCTCTTTTTTCTGCACTAAAATAAAGAGCAGAAACTCTCCTTCAACTGCACCTTCGAATAAAAGCAGTTAGAAAAGAACCACTATATGTCAAGAGCAGGAAAACAAAGTGGCAGCATGCTTCCATAAAGAGTCCAGCCTTGGAGACCCTGTGAGGCAATGCCACTCTGTCCCACTGGGTCACTAGACACTGGAATCAATTCGTTGGCAATGGCTCGGGGCTCCATCAAGAAACTTTTATATGCTTAAGTGGCTTACTTAACACGTTGTTGCGCACTTTTAAAATTGATGACCATGCTTGGAAACACATTTGCCATCATTTGCGGCAACGTGTTAAACTTCACAGCAAGCCCGAGGCGTGTACTACAGTTCTAATTTTAAATAAGAAAACTGAGGCTCAGAAGCATTACATAAACTTGCCCAAGGTTTCCAAGGCCCGACGTGTGCCTTAACAGCTTCTCCAGATCACGCTCCGAAGCTGGCATTTTATGTGGGACCCGGGATAAGTAACTGTCCAAAATAAAGCTGTCAGTTCACCACAGGATTTTAAATGCTTCCGGATTATGCCTTATGAGGAGAAAGAAGAACTACGATTTGGCTGTGGTTATAATACTCTTGGTAGGCTTGGCCATCTCACTTTCTACAAAACTACCATTCGAGCCTATCAGAGCACCTCTCTGCCCTCTCCCCACCTACCAGGGTGATGGCATGAGACAGGGAGCATCTCAGCATGTAGCCCGTCTGCCTGAACTCGATCGCAGCCACGTCCTCTTCCAGAACCTCCACCTCCAGGCTCTTGTTCTTCCAGCACCAATCCTCATGCATGATGGTGACTGGATGAGCACAAAACACAAAGGCCCTTGAGCACAGAGCAAACAAGCTGCCCCTCCACCTCATCGTGAAAGGTAACGAGACAACAAACTAATACCCAGTAGTGTGGAGATCGACTACAAAAGGAAAATGGAAACTAATGAGATCGTCATTAAAAATCACCAAGAAAGAAATTCAACTGGGTCCTAAAGGCCAGGCTGTAGACAAGATATGCGGGGCCATAACTTTTTCCTGCAAAGGGCCAGAGAATAAGTACTTCAGGCTTTGAGAGCCACAACGTATTGATTATGCAACTCTGCCACCGTTAGCATTCAGTCAGTCAAAGGCAACGTAGAAACCAAAGGGCATGACTGTGTTCTAATAAAACTTTACTTGTAAGAGCAGACAGGTGGCCCTCTGGTCACAGCGGGCTCTCCCCTGACATAGCAGAAAACAGAATTTCTCAAAAGCAACAGTCTCCAAATCATCAACTGCCAGTGGCTCTTCACTGATGGTTGAAAAGGTGAAAGACTGGCAGAAGGTAGCTTCTGAAAAGTGGGGAAAGAACGAATGTTTGTGAGTGACCCCTGCCTACCAGCCCCTGGGCAAAGGCTGCGCCAAGGCGGTAAGGCAATCCATTAGACTTCCACTCTGCAGAAGAGTGCTCTTATTCACTTAAGAGGCTTGCTTAAACGTCATGATAAGCCTGCAAAGTGAATATTAGGGTTTTCATTTTAAATAAGAACTCTGAAGATCAGAAGCGTTATGTGAACTTGCCCAGGACTTCCAACCCATAAGATGTGCCCTACCAGCTTCCCCAAATCACTCTGCAAAGCTGGCATTTTGTGTGCCCTTCTACTTAAAAAGAGGAAATTGAGTCTCAAAGGAGGCAAATAATCTGCCAAGATCACAGAGGCGCTGAGTGACAGAACACATCAGCGGGATTGTTTCTCACTCTGTGGTCCAGCGTTTAGAAAGCAAACGCATGAGCCAGGGCACGTGGCTGTTCTGGTCACAGGGAGCCTGGGTGACAGCGCCTCAACTCCGACATTTCTGCCTAGTGCTACAGGTCAAGGGGCAAAGGAACAGAACAGGTCATTGTGACAGTTTCCAGGCTGGGTTTTAGAGACAGGAAGTGTGGGGCCAGGTGCTGAGCATTCGGTTCTCACTTTTGTATTTTCCGGGGAGCACGCTGTCAAATGTGAAAGTCATCGAGTTGACCTTGCCAGAGAGCTGGAGGCTCCGCTTCTCACCCTGGCGGCTCAGGGACTGCAGGGTCACCAGCAGGTCACCGCAGGTATCTGCAGAGAAAAGACAGGAGGAGGGATTATGGAACTGTAGTCCAGTCACTGGTGGCATCGGACTTCCAACAGACTACAGCACGGGTTCAAGTCTGCAACCTCTCTGTATGCTGATGGCCACCACTGAGCTCCTGAAAAGAGGTGGTGGTGTTCTCTCAACCTAACATACATCAACTTCATTCTAACCATTCTAAGAAGTCTCCCTTCAGCCAAGCCATCAGCACTGAAAGGGGCAGGCAGTTCCCTATTCTCTGCACATCCCTAGGAGAGCGGCAGAAGACAGGAAAAGACAGACAGCATTTCTGAGCAAGATGGTGTAGCCAGGGTGCTCCTGAGAGGGAAGGACAGTGAAACTTTGACTCACATACTTTGATGGTGAAACATAATGTTGTGAGGAGGGGGGTCCTTAGAAAAGGACATCGTGCTTGGAAAAGTGGAGGGGGTCAGCGCCTCAACAAGATGGACTGACACAGTGATTATAACAATGGGCTTCTGTGGGAGAGATGATGAGGACGGCACAGGACAAGACAGGGCCAGATCCATTATTCATAGGGTCACTCTGAGTCACAGTCAACTCGATGGCACCTAACAACTGAATGAGACACACAGAAGACCACAACAATAATAACAGCAAAGAAATCTTAAATGCCTTTGGCTGTGATCCAGGGAATGTTCTAACGGTGAACTAACTCATTTAATCTTCACAACAACAGTATAAAGTAGAGAGTATTAGAAAAAGTTATTTGGGGGGAAAAAAACCACAACAACAAACACAAACCAGTGTAATTTTAAAAATGCAAATCTTATTTCTTCCTAAATGTCAGAGTTCTCGGTCAGACTTGAAAACACTTTTAAGCAAGTCCTCGGCAACCTCTAAATTACTCTTGGTGACCTTGCTAGATCCCTGTGGCTATGGTCTTAAAGCCAGAGGGAATATAAAAACAATCACCATCAGTACTTACTTTTTTTTTTTTTTTTTAGCAAAGAAACCTGGACAACATTTATTAGACAAGGTAGGGAAAGTTCTCACTCAGCATTATAAAAAAGGACAGTCCGATATCAACTGTTACAGAAATAAAAAGGAAAATTTTAACAAACTGTTTTAACAAACTATTTTCTTAAAGAGACTTCCTCCACTGCCAGAGATCTTGAATAGCCTCCTGGTCTGCCATCCGGAAGTACTTACTTTTGATAACTAATAAACTACAACTTGACCCAGGCCACTGGAGCCAGGGCTCAAGTTCACATGGTCTAATTTCAGTCTCCTTTTTTGTTTTTAGGTTTGTTTGGGGTTTTTTTTAATCTCTTGCACTTTTATTGGTAAAAGCCACGACCTAGCAAAAGAGAAAAGTTAACCGGCAACTGAGAATGAAAGAAACATTGATAACCAAATCTACATTGCAATGCAAATATCCATTTACTGCAGCGGTACAAAATAAAAAGAAGAAACCCTGAACCCCTCCCACCGTCACTAAAGGCCTTGGGAGCTCTCCTATGGCAAGTAATCAGAAGACCTGAAGGGTTTCCCACAGTTTTTGCATAAATGTCCTCTCTAGTGTGAAGCTTAGTGACTGAACACATCCCCATGTTCCATCCACCTGTCAGCAGACTGAGTTCATGAAATCTGTCCAGTAAACGTAAGGTTTGTGGTAAAATAGTTGTTCTTCAGCCCTCAGTCTTTGCTTCTAACCACTGTGCTCCACTGCCTCTTGATATTATCAGATTCGTGCTTCATTAAACCTCCCTTCAGAGGAATATTCCCATTTTACAGAAGAACAATTAAGGCAGGAAAGGCAATAGTGGGTAAGTGACAGCTATGATTAAAACCTAGGCCATATCTCTTTGAGAATCAATCAAAGTAGAAACACTGCAGGAGAAATGTTTGCAGCGATGCTGGTGGCCACTGCTGTTGTGCTGCTGTCAGGTGTCATCTAGTCCATCACAACTCGCCACAGTACCCTCAACGGCAGAGCTGAACCTCGCCCTAAGCTGTGCCATTCTCACCATCTCGATCCTGCAGGAGTCTGCTGTTACAGCCACTGTTTCAGTCCATTTGGTTTAGGGTCTTCCTTGCTTTCTCTGACCCTCCACCTTTCCCAGCATGAAGTCCGAGACCAAGGACTGGTCCCTCCTGGCAGCATGCCATCATTCAGGAAGAGCTCAGACTCTGGAAGCCCTCCCCACCCAGGAACAGTCTCGGCCTTCACCTTGAACATTACTCCATGAGGAAAAGTTCAGAAGCCCCACCTCTATACCTCTCTACTTCTTTGAAACCATCCGTTCTTGCCTTCCTCTGACATCTTACCCAAACAAGAGACTTTCCCAGACACAGACGCCAAAAACTGTACGAACGTCACGTCCATCACAGGCCTGTCCGTCACCTTGAGAGGGAAGGTCTGAGGCTTCAGGGTCAGCCCCGCTCTGGTCTCCAGGTCTGGAACCACCACCTGTGGGAACACTGGCTGTCAGAGGCCTCACTTGGGATGCCTGCCCCCTGTACCCCAAGGCTATAGTGCACAAGAACATTCATCTGGGTCCAAGGCTAAATTTTATTTTGAAGGTCTAGCCTTATATTATAATCGCTGCAAATCAACTAAAGAGCCTGTGAGAAGAAAATGTATTTCTAATCAAATAAAAAATATTAGCCTACAGCATCACATGAGTGTACACAAAAGGGTATCTGGCAAAACTCTCCACCACACGGACCACAAAGCTGTCATCATAACCAGCTTTGTGGTGAAAAAAAACAAGCAAACAAAAAATACTGACTGAAAAAAACCCCAGAAAATCCAATCCCTTTTCCCGACTGTAAGCTACATGTAATATAAACTACGAACATATCCACATCACGGGACTGACCCTCCTTTACAGTTTGAAGACTTTTTTTCTCTTCTTTTTCCTCTTTCTTTTCTCAGGGTAAGAAAAGCTGGAAAAGTGAGCCACAGTTAACTACCTGATCCCAAGGAAAAGAAGACATTAAGGAGCCCTGGGAGTGAGTGCCTCCGCTGTGGTCTGCTACCAACTGAAAGGTCAGCAGACTAAACCCACCAGTCACTCCATGAGACAAAGAGGAAGCAGTGTTCTTCCATAAAGACTTCCAGCCCTGGAAATCCTATAGGAAAGTTTGACTTTCTCCTATAGCCAGAATCAACCCAATGGCAAGAGTTTTAAAGAAAAGACTGTATATAGACTTGTCCTTTCTTACAAATGTGCCTTAGCATGCTTCCAAAAGGGCTCCCAATGACTTTGTAGCCAAATTTCCTAACTACTGTTTACTGTGTACTGTCCAATAAAGCCACGTTATGTCATGCACCGCATTGGTGGGAGGAGAAAGAACTAGCTCTTCCCACTGTCTCCCCACAGAGAAATGGATTCCAGTCCGGCCTACAGGAGAGGGCAGGACTAGGGTGAACCTTCTCCGTCTTCTCCTCTGCCCTCATCAGCTCTTCCTGGGGAGTGGGTGGACAACAGCAGTGACGGGTGGGACTCTGAGGTCCTGAGTCACCACCCTGCAAAGGCAAACATGGCCAACCTCTGGTTCTCGCTTGCCACTGTCCCTCTGGGCCCCATCTGTGTTCAGTTGTTCAACCACAGGGGGAGCCCTCAGACGGCGGTCTCCCTGCTCCCCACCTGGAGGGAAAAAGCAGACAGTTCTGCCCCACTGCCTTCAGTTCAGGGCAAGGGAGGAAATGGGTAGGTCTGCTTTGGCCATGCTCTTTTGGACTCATGACTATTCAACACAGCAAGGTGGTGGCATGACTGGCAGCCTGATATAAAACCAAAACGCTGCTGTGGAGTTGATACTGACCCGTGGCAGACCTACAAGACAGAGAACTACCCCGCAGAGGTTCCCAACTCTAATCCTGGCACAAGCAGATTGCTCTATCTTTCTCCTAGTGAGCTGCTACTGGATTTGAACCACTAACCTTCTGGTTAGTAGTTGAGAGCTTAATCAACATGCCATCAGGACTCCTTAGCCTGAAACAAACCCTTGTCGTTGTTGTTGTTGTTGTGTACCATAAAGTTGGAACCTACCCATAGCAGATACTCCAACAGGTTTTCAGAGGCAGTCAGTCACATGGGAGGAGACTGCCCATCCTTCTCCCACAGAGCAGCTGGTAGCCTTAAACCGCATGCCGTTGGGATTGCAGCACAACTTCTTGCCACTAGGCCATCAAACCCTTACGCATCGCAATTAGAAAAACAAAGGTCTGTCACATTGTATTTTAACTGGAGGTCCATCTGCTCATGTAGGAACAAGATGATTGTGAAATAAGCAGCTGCCACATAAAATGCTCCTCTTCCAACCTCATTTGGCCTAATAACAGTCCTTTAAAAAGCATCCCTTTGCTGGCACATTAAATAACACAAAACTCTCATCATACCTGGACATTGTAGGCCCCTGGTTTTGCTTTAAAGCAGAACGATCCATGAGCATCCGTCTCCACGGTGACCAAAGATTTGTCCTTGTCTTGAGACGACAGGACAACTTTGTATTTACTCATCTGCTTGATGGTGTCAGGGACGCGTGTGATTGATATCTGACCGCAGACACTGAACCTGCCCAAGAGAAGGCCAGTTATCTGAGAGTGAGAAGTCAGGTTATAGCAGAAAAGGTTCTGAGCAGTCAAAATTGTCCTCCTCCTCCCCGCCCTCATTCCAGAAACTAGTTTAATCTTAATCAAGACACAGAGGTGCAACCCTCCCAGGAAGACAGGGCCTCTTCCTACAGAGAGAAGAGGCAGAACAGGAGCTGAAAAGACTGTTGTGTGTGTCCTGAATCACATGTGGCAATACCCCCTCTGCAGAGCCCATCTGCCAAAAGTCAAACTGTTTCGGGTAACTGAATTGCTGGCAAGGGACCTGCACTGGACTCAGAATGAAGGCTAGTCTTCAAATGGAAGAGCTAGCTGTAAGCTGCCTGAGAAATGTGGTACGAGGCAGGCCCCATAGCACGTCAGAGTTACCAAAGACCCCTTCCTCACTTGTGTTTATATATAGCTTGGGGATAAAAGCCATCCAGAGAGCTGAACAGTAAGGGTAATTAAATTTAAAAAAAAAAGCAAAGCTCAAAGTGAACTCTTAGGAACTACAAAAGCTACTTGTAATTGCAACGCTCTAGTCAGAGGATGGCTTGAATGGGAGCCGCAAATGAACAGTGTGTGAAATCCCACATAAAAGCCCATCCACTCATTGATAACGACCAACAAAGAGTAACATCTCACAGCGATGTGTTTCCTTTTTTAATCAGCTGATGTCTCCAAGTATAGTAACAGAGCACCGCTGGAGGCCACCATCATTTCTCCAACTGGCTAAAAGCTCAATTTTCTAATCTTAACTCTAATCACTTAAGATTAAAAAGAAAAATTTGCTGGTGAGTTTGAGGGGTTTTTTTCCCCTGGTTGTTATTTTTGGCAGAAAGATAATAAAAAATATTGGATTCTGCAATGATGAATATTACACTGAATCTGAGGTCAAGGACCTCGAGCCACAATGCAAAGAAGCAAAACTGTCAGTTTAAAGACTAAGGAAGGTATGCCTGATCAAAGCATGGTAATTTCTGTTGTTTCCTAAAGCATCTGAAAGTTAGACCATAACCATAACAGAAGAATAACTGATGCCTCTGCATGGTGGTGCTGGAGAAAAGTACTTAACCACTTAGGGACAGCCAAAAGAACAAGCATCTGTCCTGAAGGAAGTACAACCAGGTTGCTCCTTGGAGGGGCCAGTCCTTGGAGAGACCAGACGGCTCTCGGTAAGATGGACGGTGACTTTAACAACAGACTCAAGCATGCTGGAGACCATGAGGACGGCCTTGATAGGCCCAAATTGTGATCTGTTGTCCACCGGGTCATTACAAGTCTAGGCATGTACCAATAACAAATACTAGGCACCTCATTTTGCCTCAAATGTAGACAGTGGAACAAACAGAAAAGTAAGGACATGTTCTGTTGATGAAATTGAAGAAAATTAATCATGACAATAAGCAGAGTCATTTCTTTAGCATGACGTTAACCAACAACACGGCTCACAATCTAGAGCAGGGGGCAAACTACAACCCTCGGGCCCAGCTGCGAGCACTGCAGGGTAAGAACAGTTAATTTGTAAATGGTTAAGAGAAACAATGCAAAGAAGATTCTTTCATAACACAGAAAAAAATGTATGAAACTCAAATTTCAGCGTCATTAAAGCTTACTGGAATGTTGCCATATCTCTTCATTTACGCATTGTCTGTTTACGGAGGTTTTCACGCTAAGACAGAGCTGAGGTGTTGCCACAGATCATAAGGACAGTTGTTGTTGTTGTTGTTGTTGTTGTGCTGTTGTTATGTGCCGTCGAGTCGCTTGCGACTCATAGCGACCCTGTGTACAAAGCCCTAAACTCCGCTCTGTCCTGTGCCAATCGCACAGTCTCTGACACGCCCATCCCGATTACCCCAGTCACTGAATCAATCCACCTCATAGAGGGCCTTCCCCTCCTGCGCTGTCCCTCCACCCTCCCACGCATGATGTCCTTCTCCAAGGACCAGTCTCTCCGGTAAAGACCAAAATATTTCCCTGCTGGCCTTTTACAGAAAAGTCTCCTGATCCTTAATCTAGACTAAAGGAACAGGTTTTGGCTCTCATGCCCCCATAGCAGCCAAAATTGACTAAAATATCAGGCAGAGGAGAGATAGTGATAAAATCACTCTGTAGACCTTTCTTTTGTCTTGATGAGTCTGCATGTCAGACACTTTAGTTTTTTGCAATTGAATCTGGTTACATTTCTAAATTGTAACCATCTCATAACTATCTCCGCAACAGCACAGAAGAGAAAGATGAGATGAACTGATGCAGTGACTGGCGTAATCGGGGTATGTGTGTTAGAGACAGTGAGACTGGCTCAGGAACAGGACAGGGTTTCAAGCCTATACATGGGTCACTATTACACAAGATCGCTGTGAGTTACAAGAGACTCAATGGCACCTAATAACCACCACCACCCTGAACTACTCTCCCTCTCTCAGCAGGATGTCCTCTTCCAAGGACCAACCCTCCTGACAACACAGAGCATGGATCTTGACAACAGGGAGCATCCTCACGGATCGTCGGGATGGGGCCAGATAGGGCAAGGTGCCTGTTCAAAGGTTCACTGAGAGTTGTCAACTCTACTGCACCTAACAATCACTCCAAATTCCAAATGTACATTGAGTTTGAAAACAAAAATCAACTACCAAGCTAGTAAAGATAATTCCATTGGATGGAATCTCTCAAAAATGGCTACGAGTCAGTAAGTTTATGAGGGCTCAATGCACTTGTGGATACTAATGAACCATGCTGGTGCTTGTTGAGTTAGCTTTATTCTCACCATCATTTGGTTCAGCGTCACTAAGTCTGCTTTAAAATAAATTGGGAAATATTGTTTTTAAAAACAGACACAAACAAAAAATTCATGAGTTAAAAGAGGCAAAAGATGTCATACTGGCTAAAAGGAAAATGGTGACGTTTTTCTAAGAATCATTAACAAATACCACTTTTCTTTCTTTGATTTAAACAAGAAGAAGAAAATTAATATCAACCTCAACTCAGTTGTTGTAAAGACAGAACTGACCCACAGCTAACCCTCCGGCAGGCTTTTAGAGGCAGTAACTCTCTCGGGAGGAGTGTGTCCATCTTTGTCCCATGGAGCAGCTGGTGGATTCGAACACTGTACCTTTAGACTGGCAGCACAATCCAGAGTTATAAACCTCTGTCTTATTATAAACCTTTGTCTTATTTCTGTGACTAGCACCTCTCCCACCTGTCCAGCTGCTAAACCAGAAATCTGTGACTCCCACATCACCAAGGCCTGTTGATTACCTTTGCCTTTTCTCATTTGCTCCTCTGCCAGCACCCTGGTTCCAGTCACTATGTTATCTTTTCCAGATTTTTTTTAAAAAAACTCCAAAACCAAACAGAAAAAAAAAATTCTTTGCAAATGGCATAATCGACATCACTCTCTGGCTCAAAACTCAACAGCTTCCCATGGCCGTTAGCAGGGGAAATTAGAGCTCTTCACCCAGCTCAAGCTTCACCAACTGTCTCCAGATTTGCTGTCAGAAGCCACTGTCCTGCCTACGACTCTCTCAACACGCAGCACCTTCTGCCTGGAGAGTTCTTGATTTAGCCAACTTTTATCCTCCCTAAGGTCTCAGGAGCCCAGAAAGGCCTTCCATACAGATCCCGTAAACGAGCTGTGCTCTCAGCTCCAAAGTGACTGAAGCATCGGGCTCCCATGTGTCAGAGCTGATGAGGATGGCACAGGACACAACAGATTTGCTGTTCAGAGTCGCTATGAGTCATATTCGACTCCCCACGCTCATTCCTGCACAACATTTAGCATTATCCAGACTAAATGGATGTGTTTCATTTCCAGCTTGCCAGTGACAGAAAAGCTCCACAAATGTGTTCGTTTGGATCCCACTGTTACAGACCCGGGGTATATGACAGTGCCTGGCCCAGGGAAATGTGTAAGGGAGTGGAAGGGGGCTTCCAACCAAGAAATACTCCAAGGGCCCACCCCAACAGAGATCCAAGCAATGGCTTACTCATCCATACAGGTTACAAGGGATGTGCTGTTTCATCTTCAGTAACTACTGAACTCCCTGCCTTTCCCCTTGCCCTTGATGGGGAAGTGGCCACCATGGATTCCTTAGAGACAAACAGCCAATGGGATGGTCTTCAGGGCTCGGTCCACTTGACTCCCTGGCATTTCAGAGCTCGTCAGGCACTACCTCCTACCTAAAGCTTACCCCTGACTCCCTGTGACTCCACAAAGCCCTGCTTCACCTCAGACTTCCCCCTCAATGATGACATTCCGCCGTCAGCTTACTCTTCTAATGCCACCTGCTCTTACGCACTGTTCTGGCTATAACCTCTGGTCAAATCGCCAGGAGTTACAGTCTAGCAAACACCTGTGGGAGAGGAGCTCCACCTGGTGGGCCTACAGATACCGCAGTCTCCACACATCCAAAAGTCAACCCTCGTCTCCTAACGGGCTCCTCACCCACAGTCAATGACGTCACTCACCCTGCTGCTGGAGGTGGGAAACCCAGCTTCTCCCTTCTCCTCACCTTCCCAAGCTAAATTCCACACTGAATCTCTTACAGATTCTGTGTCGGATTTTCACTCCTGTCCTTGACGTCATTAGGAAGCAAGGTCTCGTGACTTTGTTTGCAGGCCTCCTGTGCTCACTGTCAACCCTTTCAAAGCCATCATCCACCATGCCACCTGAACACCCTCTTCAGAATAAAACCTCACCGTGTTACCTCACCAGGCCCAGACACCCCGGGCAGGAGAGACTCGTTGCCTTCAGTGGGGCGGGAGGAGGCCCTCTCAGAGCAGTACCTTCCAGCCTCAGCACTCTCCTTTGCTGCCCACCACTTTGCACTCTTAACAGGCAGGCTCTAGGCTCCCATCCACACCTCACTCATGCTGTCCTCAGCCAAGAACACCTGTACCTGGCCTTTTAAATTGCTAGTGGGTGCAATAGTGGAGCTAATTGTGAAGTAAAAGATAGGTCGAGGTTTTAATCCCGGGTACTTGTGAACTTATTCGGCAATAGGGTTTGTAGATGTAAGTAGTTAGGTTAGCATGGGTGATACAAATGCTAATTTAATAGAGTAATTAATAGCCTAATAGTAACTATTAGGTCTAATAGTAGATTAGACCTAATCTACTATGCCCAGAGAAGCAGGGGGAGTAATGGGGGGAAGATGGAGGAAGACACAGGAATCCTGTGAGCTGAGGGTCACAAAAAACTGGAAGAGGTAAGACAGCCTTCCCTAGTGATTCTTTAAGGAGCGTGGCCCAGTCAACACCTTAAATTCAGACTTTTAGCCTCCAAACTATAAGATAATGAATTTGTTCTTTCAAGTCACTCATTTTATAGTGCTTTCTTAACAGCAGGCCTATGAAGCAGCACCTACTGCTGTCTCTGACTAAAAGACGGGAGCACCTCCATTCTAGAGCTTCCAAGGTGGGTGAGGGACAGCTCTGAGATAAGGCCCCAAGGCCTCACCTTTGCACCTCACAAATGTGCTTCGTCAACCACAGCCACCATAACCCAAAGGCAGCAAGTTTCTTCACAGAGAGACGATGAGCAAGTCCAAACCAGGAAGAACTATGCTAATCAGAGATAACAAGAACTGTGGCATCTTACAGCAGACATTCTCAATGACCTGTATTCAAAGTCCCCAGGGATTGAGCCAAGAAAGCCCTCACAGACGCAAAGCCAGACAGGAGCGCTCTTTTTCTAACCTGACAAACCCATTTTCACTTAGAAGCAAGGGAACTTTTTTTGGTAAACATCCACTACATAACTCCCTTCATTTTATAAGATTTTAGGAATCATATTCTCAAAGAAAGTAGCCCGATATTCTGGACAGGTGTCTATGATGGGATGTTTGACCTTCAGCAGAAACATTAGGTGCACTCAGATCAGTCCAAGGAAGTTTGCTCTCTGCTGGTTCTTGGATTTCCAGGTCCAACCACAAGAGTCTTATTACCCTGTTGCGATGATGTCAGCCAGCTGAGGTGTGTTGGGTGCGATTTTGATTGTAATCGTTTCAAAGTAGAGATGCTCCTTCTGCGCGTGGATGGTGTACGTCCCTGTGGTGATGTTCTCCAGGCGGAACGAGCCGTCAGCTTTTGTTTTAACTGGAAAATAAAAACAAGCACACGAGCCCCAAATCATCACACGCCCCACCTTTACACAAGAAAAGGTGGCATGCTCCCATTGCTTTCCCACTCATTTCTGTCATCTGCTCACCTCTGATCTGATTATTCAGCGTGACTTCTGCCTCCGGGACTCCTTCTCCCTCAGGCCCATTCAAGACCCGGCCAGTGACAGAGAAGCCCATGACGTGAAATACTGGCTGCAAAGCGAAGGAGAAGGTTCTCGTCTGCTTGGTGCAGAAATGCCCTCCTATGAAGCCACTGCTCACCACGTCCCTCCACGCTGGTCCTCCTCCAGCCCCACACTCCAGCCAGCCTCGCTCTCTGAATTCTCCAAGACAAGCTGTCCACTCACAGCAATTCCCCTCACCTCACAGGCTGGCCAACTCCAACTCACCCTGCAGGTCCCCAAGGGAATGTCCCTGTCCTCAAAGCCTCCCCTGAAGCTCAAACAGCATCTCATCCCACATCACCTCCTGGTAGCAGTTTACTTCTCCCAAGAACCATGTGTTTATCCGAGATAAACTGTGCTGCTAGACTGGAAGTGTGTGAGAGTTCAGGGACCCACGTGTCTTCTCTGTTGTGGTCCCAGTGCACTGGGATTTGTGGAATGACAGGAGGAAAAGGACCTGCTACAGACCTGTTTCTGAGTCAGGGATCTCAGACTCGTCACAACTCCCCTCCCTTGCTCCCTTCTGTTTCCTCCTCTCCTGACATCGCCTCCCGGTCTCCCACACTTAGATCCCCGGTTACTGTGGGCACACCTTCCCATCACAGCATCAGTTCTATGGATTCTCTGAGAGCCCTCACATACCGTCCTCTGTCCTTTCCCCACCACAACCCCTGAGCCCACCTGGACCATCTTAGCCCACACGCGGGCAATCACACAGGTGCCTCACTCGCCTCACTTACACCTGGCTCTCACCGTTAGTTACAATGTGTCGGGCCCTACACATGCTGTCTTCACTGTCTCTACAGTCGCTCCGTTGGTCTTCACTGTCTCTACAGTCGCCCGGACGCTGGCTCTGCCAGGACATCACAGGCCTCCCTCAGGTGGGAGCTCCCATGAGCTGCTCACCTGGCCTGGGTCCTTCTGCTCCACAGCTGGAGAAGATCTGGGCGAAGGCGGGTTCCTCATCATTCAGGCGCTTTCCCTGACTATTCCATCACGAGCCTGTGCCCCAGCCAATCACTATCTACCACAAACGTTATTCATCATCTTCAGCAAAACATCAGTCTCTGAAATGTCCTTGTTGGATTTCTTATTTTACCATTTTCTCCCTCTCCCAAGAACCCGAAACTCCATGAAGATGAAGACTTCTGCTGTTGCAGTCATCTGGTACAATGACTGAATGAATGAATGCAACAGCATTTGAGACAGGAGATTAAAGCTATAAAACAGCTTCCTTCTAGTTCAGGAAGTCCCTCTAAAAGGGTATGTTGTTGCTGTTATTATGAGCCATCAAGTCAGAGCCAACTCATAGCTGACCCTTGGTGGGTTTTCAGAGGCTGTCACTCACATGGGAGGGGACTTGTCCCCCTTTCTGCCAAGGAGCCACTGGTGGATTCGAACCACGTCACTGAGGGTTGGTAGCTCAGGTTCTCACAGCTAGGCCACCATCCAATCCATTCATTCAGTTGTTAACTCATAAATTCCTTCAACAAATATTTTAATTGCAGACCTATTATGTGCTAAGCAGTAAAGCACATTGTTGTTGTTGATTGAACCAAAGGCCTGAAGTCTTTCTGTAACAATCGTCATTTATCAAAGTTCATAGAGTTCTGAATGGTTCCTGACCTCACATGGCTTACGGGTCCTCTCTGCCTGAGATTCCCATTCATCTCTCTTTAAAGCGTGTATTGGGCCTTGATGTAGGAATGCCTTTTCCCACTCCCTGCCATCCTCCTTTGCTGGCCCCAGGGGAAGCCAGGACTTCGTCCCTCTGCCTTTCGAGTCCCCCCTCAGCACAACAGTCAAATGCTTTCCCCAAACCTTAGAGCCGAGTCAGCACCCAGCTGAGTGTGTGGCTGGCGGGCTACCTTCCGCTGGCTGAAGTCACTTCAACTGCACTTTCAAATTTAGCATGAAAAGAAAATGACTGAAATGTAATTTTTCAGAACTCTTAACACTGGGTGGTCCATTCATGAAAGACTTCTCCTTCTTTCTGGGATTTTTATTCTCTATCTAGCAATTTGCCACAGCAACAGTTTTATGCTTCCGTAATTAAAGAAGACATGCATGCAGTGGGGAAGAGCGTTCGATGTCGATCTGAGGTGTAGGAAGTGTTAGGCACATGCTTGCTCCTCTGCTCTTAGCCCCACCGTCCACGCTCCCTCAGCTCTCACCCGATCCAGATGGCCCCTCGCTTCCTTCCCCCTTCTCCCTGTAAACTCTTTCAATCCAGCAGCTGGAGGAGTACATATTCCTGATCATACTACTCTTCTACTCAGAACTCTCCAGCAGGGCCAGTCTCACAGAGAGTGACAGGCCGTTGGCCACCAGGCCCTGCACTTCTGGGCCCGTCACCTCTCTAACGTCCTCTCCCTTCACTCCTGTTGCTCTGGCTCCCTGGTGACACATTCGGGGCATATTCCTCGCTCAGGGTCTTTGCACTTGGCTGCTCCCTCAGTCTTAAAGACTTTCCCCATAGACGTGAGCACTCTCTCCTCGAAGTCAATGTTCAAATAGCACCTTCACAGTGAGGCCATCCTCAAAACACCCTATCCAAGTAAGATGGCAACCCCCGTCTCTACCCTGTAATTAGGGGACCGCCTTTATTGTTTTATTACTTAATATGCTTTGAGGTTGCTGTAAATCGGAATCAATGTGACAATATGCTTTGGGATGCAGTCCCCAGCGTGTGCGCTCCTTGAGCGCAGGAACCAGGAATAGTTCAGCCGACAGTTCCCTGCTGTAAGCCCAACCCCAGAAGATCATCTGACATGCGAGTCAGTAGAATTCCAGAAATAGATTTCAGCTCAATGAGGGATCTATAACCAATCCAAAACCACTTGCCACGGAGTTCAAGATAATTCACAGCAACTCTCCACCAGTTTTCTGAGGCTGTAAATCTTCATGGGAGGAGAACACCCATCTTTCTCAGGCAGAGCAGTTCACAGATTCGAACTTCTGACCTCTTCATTAGCAGAACAATACACCACACACTACACTACCTAAAGATCTATAACTCAAAGCTCACTGCTATCCATTTGGAATCAATTCATAGGTGACTGTCCAGCAAGTTTTCACAGGGCTGTGTATCAAACAAGGAGAGACTGCCCATTGTTCTTTCACAGAGTTGCTGGTGGATTTGAACCGCCAAAGAGGCACTCCTTTGGGTTACCAGAGCAACTCCTGACACGCCACTGTTATTGTTGTTGTGTGCCATCAAGTCACAACAGATCCATAGCTGACCCTCCAGTGGGTTTTCAGAGGCTTTAAATCGCACAGGAGGAGACTGCACATCTTTCTCCCACAGAGCAGCTGATGAATTTGAACTGTGTGCCTTTGGATTGGCAGTGCAATTTGTTACCACTAAGCCACCAGAGCTCCCCTATCCCTACAACTAGAGAGTCAATTTTCCTAAAATGAGTTAGTTCTGTAAGGAGCAGGAGACCCAGTACAGCTGAGCCCAAACCAGGAAACAGTACAAGACTTCACTTTTCCTCCACAGCCTTTCTAGATAAAATACTGGCTTTGTTTGTTCTTTAGTAACATGTTTACAAAAGCAGTGCTTTGAGTGGGAAGCTGAGCACCTGTCCCTGCAGACGGCGGTGACTTACCTCAATTTTCAGGCTGTCATGTTCCACCACAAAATCGAGTCTGGAAGGAGCAACGTCAAAGGTGATCCTCTCGCCTCTGTAGAAGGGGACCTGGAAAGAAGCAGCTGGTGATTCCTAAGGGCCAATGGCATGATCCAACCATGATATCGATAATCAGCAGCTCAGAAATGATAACAGGGTCAAGGTGATCAAGTCAAACCATCTGTCCTCAGGCTGCCGCTTTTGGAAGAAGAAACCTAGACCTTTTCTTTTCACTTAGGGCGGGTGCAATAAAAACCCACCACCATCGAGGTGATTCCGGCGCACGGTAACTCTACACAACTGCCCCACAAGGTTTGAAGACTGTCATCCATACGGAAGCGACTGTCACTTCTTCCTCCCAGTGAGTGACCAGGAGGTCAAACGACTAAGATTTCAGTTAGCACAAGCATATAGCCACTGTGCCACCAGAGGTGCTTGCACCATCACTCTCTCTCTCTCTCTCTCACACACACACACTCCACAAACCTCCTGTGATCAGGTCCCTGTTGACCCACAACATCCTACAGGACAGAACGGAACCGCCCATAGGGTTCCAAGGCCGGGAATCTTTACACACGCAGACAGCTGCATCGTCCTCCCGCAGAGCAGCCGGGGAGTTTAAATTGCCAACCTTCCTGTTAGTGCTGAGCACTTTACCCACTGAGCCACCTGTCAGACTGTGCACACAGCCATGAGAAGAACGTGCAACCGAACCACTTGTTCTTTTAATACCTAAAGGGCATCAGCCGCTGCTGTGTCCTAAGCGTCCCAGACACATGTGGGATGGAAAGCGGCCTCACTCACCACAGTGTAGCCCCCACTCGGCAGGGAATAGAAGGAGAAGGAGCCGTCTTCTTTAGAGACCACATAGCACAGGTAGACCAGAGACTCGTCCTGGGGCTGGAAGCCAGGCACAGGGGAGACATTGCAGCCCAAGACATCCTAGGCCAAGAGGAGGGGGAAAATATTACTGTTTTTCCACTTACTTGTTCTGATCATTACAAAAGAGGTATTTAAGAAAGGCAGATATGTTAACACCATAAGAGGAACACATATCTTTACATTAAAATTGTGAAGTTAGAAACTGGTTCTGACTTCTCAGAGGGAATAAAAAGGGGGTCTATCTTTATCTACAATGAGTCACCAAACTCCAGATGAGGGAACAGGTGAAGTGACTTGACCAAGGTCACAGCTAATAAGAGGCAGAACCAGATTGAGTAGACCCTGGTCTGTCTAGTTCGAATGCTCTGTGCCTGCCACCAAACTTCCCACCTTTCCTTTGTAAGTCTTTCATTTCTTATGAATGAAATAATACACCAAAACCAAACCAGATACCATCAAGTGAATCCTGACTCCAGGTGACCTCGTGTGTCACAGACTAGAACTGCACTCCATAGATTCTCAGTGGCTATGAACGTTCAGGAGACCACCAGAGTCTATAGTCATACCACCCTGAATGTGCCCTATCTCGTCAGAAGACTGCCAGGGTCCATGGCCATACCACCCTGAAGGTGCCCAATCTCTTCAGAAGACCACCAGGGCTGTCTTCCATGGTGTGCCTCTAGGCAGATTCTAACATCAAATCTCTCAGATAGTAGCCAATCACATGAACCATCTGCAGGGACTCTTGACCAAAACACAGGTTCTTAAATGCTAATTTATAAATTAACTTGCATTTAGAATACTTAGGAATAGTCGGTGCCCTATGCCTATTCACATACACCCCATCTCCTTTATTCCTTACCTGTCCCTTTGCTTACCTCTTTGGTTATGAAAGAAGAGAAGAGAAGAAACTTCACCCCTTTCATAGGCTCCCCATCACTTCGGACAGAGCCAGACACATTGTAGCCTGCCACTATCAGGGGACTGGCCACATTGGCATTGGAATTAGTGACACGCACAGTGGTGCTGGCCTATGAAAGACAAAAACCTTAGCTTCTAAAAAAACAAAAAACAAAGCTAAACTGCAAAGTATCTAATGTGAGGACATGTGTAAAATATTAAGTTGGAGAAAGAGTAACATAAAACTGAATGCACAGTATACTTTCAACTATTTCTTTAAATGCATAAAGAAAATGGCAGGGAAACAGGACAAGTATGTATTTTTAAACTGGGGAGATATAATTTACATACAGAAAAAGGCACATGCAATGATTTAATTTTTCTCCCCAATGCAAGGATTTTAATAAACTAACGCACATGTAGCTAGCACCCTGAAACAGAAGCACCAGCACCCCAAAAGTCTTCCTCACCTTCACTCACAATTACTACCAGGGGGACTCATTACCCTGATTTCTAACAGCATGATTTATTCTTATCATAATCCAATTTCATACTAATAAAGTCAAGCGTCTTTATGCACACAATTCACACACACTGTAAATCTTATAATTTATCCTATCTCTAATGTGTTATCAATTATGTTCAAAATGAAAACATTTATAAACACTGTCCCATAAAAAAAGATCCTAAACACCAGAAACTATAAACATTATAGACATCCAGCCAAACATGAAATTGTACCAACAATTATGATACTGAAAATCAAGAGTGAAAATGGACATGCTGGCTCGGATTCTCCTTTAATAGAAACGCGACAGTCTCAAAACTACCATAAAAGCTAACTTGTTAACATTTCCTCTGACTTGAAATTTCATTTAAATTGCTAAGAATCTGACCTTACCAATAATCATAAAACTCTTTCTATGTTTCTTTGAAAACAGCTTGCAAAAGCTATTTTGGGCAAGCAAAAAAGAAACAAACACAAAAAAAAACACAAAAAAAACCGGCTACAGTTAAAGAACTCAAAGAGTAAAAATGCACTCCATAATCCATGGTTCTAACATACCCTGCAAGCCCACTAGCTCTCTTCTTGCTTTGGGGTCAGTAGGGCCATGAAATGGCACTTCTCACCCCACCCACGTCTTAGGTAACTTCTCTACATCTGAACGTAAATGGTATCATCAGAATATCCATCATCACTGTATAACCCATCTCCTTATCCTTCAACAATGTGCCTTTTGCCTTAAACTTTAGGTTTTTAAATGCTATTAGTGCTGTCAATTTGGAACTAACTCAGTTGATCTATAGGGAGTTTTCAGAAGCTGCAAATCACACAGGAGACTCCTATCTTCCTGTCAAGCTGGTGGATTAGAACCACGTGTCTTTGGTTTGGCAGAGCAATTTTATACCACTAGGGCCACCATACTCCACTGACAGATTCATAATTGCTGACACATAGATTTCAGATGTCTGACAAACCACCATTAAGAATGTTCGTAAGGTTTTTCACCATCACAAACAAAGCGACCATAAACATTCTTATGCATTCTCCTGGGATACAGGTAAAGGAGTTTCTAGAATTAGTGCATCTACAGGTCTGTGTGTCAGACTGAAACCTCAAATCTCGTTAAGGTCTTTTTGGTGTTGATTTAGAACAGTATGGTTCAAAACAGGAAAGAAAACACGGAAGTAAAACGGAAACCAACCTAAGAACCATCTACTACCAACGAGGTGAATATCTTACTAACTTCATCACGGGTGATAAAACTCTCCTCAGGCTACTCCCAAAAGAACCTGTGCTCATTTCACATCCTAAATCGAAAGCTCGTAAATCGAAAGTTGGTCCCTGACTGGCACACTTCTGGCATGCCCACAGGCTCAACAGGAACACTCACCTCTTTCAATGCCCAGGTTGGATGAGTTGCAAAGATTTCGTAATCTCCCGGAAGAACTTTAAAAAATGCAAACCTAAGAAATACAAAAGGCCATTTAACTTTATCCTAACCAACCAATTGTTTGGCAAATACTGACAGCAGGAGAAAAGGTCTGACTTCTCACAAACCTGCCACAGTTGGTGATTCTGAATGAAGTTCTAATCCTTCACTATACAAATCTCTATCACACTTGATGAGCACTCCCCCTGGGCAAAGGATTCACTGCACTCCTTATAATGGATATTATTCAAGTCACCTGAGTAAGGTCAACAGCAAGCGACCAGCCCAAAGAAAATCAAACTGCTTTTTGGGTTGGCGCAATGCCTTATCCAGAGCTATAATATACTAACATTTGTAAGCACTGACTCTAGCCCAGACAGCTTTAAACAATATTAAATATCATTTCATGTAGTCTGCCCAATGACATGACTTTATAAAGTATGTTGTTGTTGCTGTGTACAGTCAAGTCAGATCCAACCCATAGCTGACGCTACGGTGGGTTTTCAGAGGCAGTTAACCGCATTGAAAGAAACTGCCCATCCTTCTCCCGCGGAGCAGTTGGTGGATTTGAACTGCGTGACTTCGGGACTGTAGTGCAGCTTCCTGCCATCAGAGCTCCCTTTATAAAGCATATTTATATTTTCATTTATATATGAAGATAGAAGCGTTTAGTAACTTCCTCCAGGCCAAAGAGCTAGCAAATGGGTCAGCCAGGATTCAATGCAGGCTGCCAGGCTCCAACCCCAGCCCCAACGAGTGGCCTCAAGCCAGGCCCTTGCAGTAGGGGTTCACGTAATATTTCATCATGCCCCATCAACGTGCAGGGTAATGAGTCAAATGATACCACTTCACAGATGAGAAACACAGGACTCTAAGATGAGTGACTGCGTTCAAAGAAACCAAATCAGAACTTGAATCCACCTCCCAAACCGAAAGCTCAGCAACAAAGAATGAATGAAAATTTTCTTTAAACTTTCATTCTAATATCAATAAAAGAAATTTTTAAAAAAATTAAAAAACAGCAAAGCTCAAACTCCCCCGCCCCACTCCAGTGTCACTCACTTGCCACCCGGCTGTGTAACTGTTGACTGGATCTTCGCTTCAGTCCCTGTATTCCTGAGAGAAACCTGGACTCCTGCCGGCCCCAGGGACTGCCCTTTACTGAGAACCTGCAGGAGAAGGAGGTTAGAACTGGGCCTGGCATCGCCACTCTCTTTTAACCATCGCTGCAAACCCCACTCTTGTTCCCGAGATGGAATCTGTAGCCTTCTGGGGGCCACGTGCCCATTTGAAACCATGATCTAAAGCAAGAATTTTTCCCTAAAGAGAAGGAAAAAGAGTAACTGTCAAATGCTCCTCAGTTTCATTAAGTGCAGGCTTCCATCCATTAAAGAGGCACCACTGTCTTACAAACAACCGAGTAAGGGGGGGCAAAAACCCAGGACTGGAATTTTAATAAACCTACACATAAAAAAAAATGGAAGCAGGAGTAGCATCACTTCCTAAACAACATGCCTCTGGAAACTCTATGAACTTTGATAAATGTTGATAGTTACAGAAAAAGGCTTCAGGCCTTTTGTTCATAGGGTCCCTATGAGTCATGCTCTAATCTATAACAATCAACAACAACAACCCCCACATAAAAAAATGGGTGGGATGCCTGAGGGCTTTACTTTCAATGCAAAGTTAAAGGCCTGATAAACCAGCCAAGATGAAAAGGCCAGCAAGGACATAGAGACATGTCAGCCTAGTACTAGATGGAGAGGCAAAAAATGTCTCCCCTGAGAACGTGAGCCAAGAGCTGCTCAAGAAGGTCTGCAGCCTAAATTCACAAGGCCAAGAGCATCCACAACCATGAGAAGCCCAAGACTTGAGTGCAGCACCAGGTAAAGCAAAAGGCATGCTCTCTGGGAGAAGGCAGCTTCGGTTCAGCCCCCAGCGGCTGGTTATAAAATGCACTCTGACTGCAAAGTGGTAAATGCTAAGAAATGAAGACTTAAAATACACAAAATAGGATATACCATAATAATGTCATCAGCAGCTATTTTAATACACAATTATGAACATGATGCTAAATATCCTCCACCCAATAGATCTTTTAATCCCTCTAAAAGTTCTAGGAGGGGGTTACTACTATGATCTTTGTTTTACAGATGAGGAAAGGGAAGCACAGGGAGATTAAAGAGACTTGGCAGGACCACACAGCTAACAAGGGACAGCAGGTGTCAGTGTAGCAGGATGGCGTCCATGCTGGTAGCTCCATCCAAGAAAGAAGCCTTTTCTGGCTCTGCCCGGGTCAAGCATTTGCCCCCAGAGGAAGGGAACAGCATCCTCTAAATCCACATCACCCTAAAAGCCCATCCTTCCATTAAAGTCTAACGCCTATTCAAAGTGTGGATGGGTCACTAGTAACCTACACTGATCCGTTAAAATACCCACTACAGTTAGCACACAGTTCTGTCGAGTCTATGGAGCCTCTTGAAGTTCTCTGTGGGCCCCCTGAGTGTGCAAAGTTCCAGGTAAAAAAGGCCTTTTTCAAAGGTAAGCAAAGGCATAGACTGGAATGGCAGAGCAAGTGTTTAAAAGTAACGTTATAAAGCTCTGGTGGCCTAGTGGCAAGGAGCTGCAACTATAATCCCAGAGGCGAACGGTTCGAATCCACCAGATGCCTTGCCAGGGAAGGAGGGACACTTTCCTCCTGTACCAGTCAGATCTGATTTGACGGTACACGCACACAAAAATAGTAATTAAAAAAAAAAAAATTAAAAAAAAATAAAGCCAGACCTTGCCGTTGACAGAGAACCCAGTGAACACAAAGTTGATGTCCCCACCCTTCGTGCAGATATCACTGACGCCGTCCACGTAGAGTTCCACGTTGGTGGGCTCTGAAGAGGAACACAGGAATGGCACAAAAGAGCAACTTTAGTGCTAAGATACAATGAGACCGCCTAAGAAAGACATGTGTTATGAACTAAGCTTTCATTTTCCTCTTTAAACATTGAATACACTCACGTAGATCAACATCCAAAGATACAAAAAGATGTGGAGCAAGTCTTCCACCTCCCTGATGCCCCAGCCACCCAGGTCCCCAGTCCAAAAGGAGCCAATCAGTTCCAAGCCTAAGATACTTCTTCACATTTCAGCTGAGCTGGAGCCCAAAGCACCCCTGAAAATTCTGTGAGCACGAAGAAATTCATTGACTTCTGGATTGTTGGTGTTGTTGTTATGTGCCGTCGAGCTGCCTACCTGCGACTCCTAGTGACCCTATGTACAACAGCTCTGACGCCTGCCCTGTCCTGAACCAGTCCCACTGACTCCGACACACTTATATCCACTGCCCCAGTCACCACAAATCAGACATTATACTAAATGCATTTAATTCTGACACTGGGATTTTAAGAGGAGCTCTGATGGCTTTCTATTTTGGCAAACCAGCAATATCTGTCATTTAATTAGGAATAAACTGAGGCATTGAAAGGTTAAAAGGACCTCTCTGGGTCACGGAGCTTGTGAATGGAAGTCACAATCCGACTCCAGAAAGTTAAGCTTTCAGACCCATACCCTGACCAAGAATGCGTGTTCCCAAGATCAGAGTGAAAGCCTCGGGAGGTAAGTGGGAATAAAGAGACAGCATTCTGCTGGGTCACCTTTTTTTTGGAATGTAAATAAATATAGATCTCTTCCAGTCAGTTGCCCAGGTAATTGTACTCCAGATTTCTTGGCACAATCTGGTGAGCGCATCCAGGGCAGCATCTGTTTGCTGAAATATATTAATGGGTATTCCATCAATTCCTGGGGCTTTATTTTTTTTTATTCCATCCATTCCTGGGGCTTTATTTTTTACCAAGTCCCTCAGAGCAGCCTGAACTTAATCCTTCATCACCATTGCCTTTTTTTTTTTACCATTGCCTCTTGATCATATATTGTTTCTTGAAATTTTTCTGAGTCAGCCAATTATTTTTGGTACAGTGACTCTGTATACTCCTGCCATCTTCTTTTAATGCTTCCTGGATCATTCACTATTCTGCCCACAGCATCCTTAAGCACTGCAACTCACAGCTTGAAGCTGTTCCTTAGTTCCTTCAGCTTAAGAAATGCTGACTGTGCTGCAATCCCAAAGGTGCGTAGTTTAAATCCACCAGATGCTCCCCTGGAGAATGAAGAGTAATCTCCTCCTGTGCCAGTCAGATCTGATTTGATGGTACACAATAAGAAGGAAAAAAAAATTTTAAAAAAAGAAATGCTGAGCAAGTTCATCTGTTTTGATTTTCTGACTCCAGCTCCTTGTACATATCATTAGAATACTTTGCATTGTCTGCCTGAACTGCCCTTTGAAATCTTCTATTCAGCTCCTTAACATCTTGATTTCTACCCTTTGCTTTGGCTTCTCGGAGCTCCTGTGTAATATTCAGTCTCTTCTGACACCCACTTTGGTCTTTTCTTCTTCCCTCTGTAATGACCTTGTGCATTCTTCAAGGACAGGGCTCTTGTTTGAACCACTGTTGTGCGCTATCCACTGGTCAGCCTGACAACGGCCCTACAGGACAGGCACAACTCCGCCGGGTTTCTGAGTCTGACGTGTGTATGGGAACAGATCTCCAGGTCTTTTCTCCCATAGAGCAGGTGGTGGATTCAAACTCCCAACCATGGTTAGCAGACAATCATTTAATCACTGCCCTACATTATTGTTGCTGCTGTTAGATGTCATTGAGTCAGTGTGAACTCACCTTCAACGTACAGAACAACAGGACAAAACAAAACGCTGGCTGGGTCCTTCACCATCCTCCCAGGGACTCACTGCCGAGTCTCAGCCTGCCACTGTACCCACTGTGTCAATCCCTCTCACTGACAGTTCGCCTCTTCTCCCCCTAATCCTTCCCTTCACCAAGCATTCTACTCCAGGGTCCGGTCCCTCCTGACAATAATGCAGACCACAACGTCTCACGCCCTTCGCCGCTAAGGAACAACAGCTGTTCTTCTAAGCGTCAGCTGCATTTACTTCCTCTCCAGCTTTCTAGAATAACCAACAAGGTACTCTCTTGACTAAGAACTGCAAAAGAACCTTGCTGAGGGCCAGATGAGCTCCCAACTCTCTGCGTTTCACTTTTCCCTTTCCTAACTGCTGCAATGAAATTCTTTGTTCTCACCCGTGAGCAGGTTAAATGTAAAGAAACTCCCCTGTCCCCACAACTCTCTCTGCGCTTTGAAATTGGGATCTCACACCTCCCTCTACCAAAACATCAAGGAGCAAGTCTCTCCTCTTCACTGACTCCAGTCCTGTCAAAATGGAACTCTCTCTTCTGATCTCAACCCCTTTCTCATCTCTCTTAACCATTCCACAAGTGAACCACATGAGCAGAGTTCTGAGGTTTTTGTTTGTCTGCATGTAGAAGGGCTGTGTTTAAGTATTAGCTGAGTTCTCACTACACGCCAGTCACTCTGAACATTTAAATACATCAGCCCAGCAGGTCTCCAGGTCCCCTGCGAGGTGGGGACTACAATGATCCTGACTCCCCAAGTGAGAAAACAGAGCTGCGGAAGGGAGGAGACTTGTCCAAGGTCGTCACATACTGTCAAGGCTCAAGGTCGTTTCATATTCTAATCTCTTAAGAGAACAATTTCACGTCAAATCTCATCATTTTGAAATCTCAGTTCATGAAAAACTGAGGCGGCTATTAAAGAAGTAGTCCTAGGTTAGGGATAAACCCCTTCCTATCTTTATACTGTTCTGTGGTCACTAAGTGAACTTCAGAAGCAGAAGGTCCTGGCACAGGTATAAACAAAGGTCAAGATTTTACAGATTTTTTTTTAAGAGACATCATAGGAAGGCTATGGGCAATTCTAAGGTAAAGCCAAGATATTCTAAAACGACAAGGGAAAAAAACTTTTCCACACTACAAACAATTCCTTAATATTTAACAGTCTATGCACTCTACCAATGTAAATTAATACTTAGAATATAATCTAATCTCTTACAGAAGATGTTTCATTATACAGTTCACTTACCAAAACTCCACCCCAGGGGAGGTTCAATCTTCAGAATGAAATCCCCCTAAGTGGAGGAAAAATAAAGTTTAATTTAAAAGGATAAAAACTGGGGATCCTTCAACTAGTTTAATTTCATCTGATGAGAACATCTGCTGCAAGTAAAATTCTTATACATGATTTGAAAGGGCAAGAGTAGCTTTCTTCATGGAAATGGCTGGTTCCCTTTGGTTCTGGCAAGCTGAAGCTAAACATGTAAGTTCCCATCTGGACAGTGAGCAGATCCCCTGAGGAAGCCCAGGCCTGAGTAAAGGCATGTTAGTCAACCATGCGTCGTCTCATGATAGCAGACATAACTGATTATAACCATTTCCCTTCATATGCATCAAATCTTAAGAGCTAGTCCACATCTTTAGGAACTACAGCCATTTTATTTATTCAAAGTAGATTTACTTTAACTCCTCAATCCCCTCACAAAGTCAGATATCTTGAGATTATTGATATTATAGATTTTTCTTTTTTTAATTTTATTATTTTTGTGTGACTGTACCGTCAAATCACATCTGACTGGTACAGGAGGAGATTGTCCCTCCTTCCCCGGCAGAGCATCTGGTGGATTCAAACCATGCGCCTCTGGGATTGTAGTTGCAGCTCCTTGCCACTAGGCCACCAGAGCTCTCCTGATATTATAGATCTTTTTAAAAAGACTGCAAGTTCACCTCTAGAAGTCAATCTTACGTGTTACATATAAAGATGTAAGCTCAAATATACTTATTGTCACTAGTAAAATTTTTTAATCTGAAGAAGTCTATTACTTGAGAATAGTTATGGCCTGACTCTTAAAATACTACACAGCCCCTAGAAAGCAGAAAGATTCCATTTTGTTGTTGTTACTGTGTACCACAGTCAGAACCGACACACAGCTGACTCTCCAGTGGGTTTTCGGAGGCAGTTAATCACACAGGAGGAGACTGCCCATCCTCATTCCACCGAGCAGGTGGTGACGTGCCTTTGGGACTGCAGTGCAGCTTCTTGCCATTAGAGCTCCCTATGATTCCACTTGTATAGCAAAATAAAAATCAAAAGATGTATGTTTATTATTGCTTTACGTTCTTAGGAATCTATAATGATTTAAAAAAGGTTTTTTAAAAAACTACATATGCAAAAATAAGAGGAGCTATTGTTGTTAGGTGCTGTCATGTTGAGTATGACTCATAGTGACCCTACGAAAAGCCAACCGGAAACTTCCTTAGCCTGTGCCATCCTCATCATCTGGGGCACTAGAACCCATGGCTGAAGTCACAGTGTCAATCCATCTCGTTGAGGGGACTTCTTCTCCTTCACTGACCTTCCATCTTTCTAAGCATGTTCCTCCCCAAGGAGGAACCTTGCCTAGGTACATGTCCGAAGTATGAATGAGGAAGCTTCACCATCCTTGCCTCCAAGAAGCACTCTGGGCACACCCTCTCCAGGACCTACTTGTTTGTTCTTTTGGCAGTCCCTGGGCTATTCAGTACTCTTCTCCAGCACCACAACTCAAAACCGTTGATTCTTCTTCTCTCATCATTCTTCACTGTCCAGCTCTCTGATGTACAGCAGGTGATCGAGAAGACCAGGGCCTGAATCTGGCACACCTTAGTCTTCAAATAATATCATAATTCTTCAGGATTTTGGAGAGGTCCCTGATAGCAGACCTGCCCAGTGCAATGTATCTCCTGATTTCCTGACTGCTGGTACCAAGGGGGTTGATTGCTGATCCAAGCAAGATGAAATTATTGACAGCTTCCTTCTTTTCTCCATCTGTCATAACGTTGACTGTTGGGCCTGTGATAACTCTTGATGTTGAGATGTAATCCATACTAAAGGCTGCAGTTTTTGATCTTCTGCAGCAAGTGTTTCCTATTCTCCTCACTTTCACCAAGCAAAGTTCTGTCATCAGCATAACAGAGGTTGTTGCAGAGGAGGGAGAATACAAATGAAAAATGCACAAATACATATTAATGAGCACAAGCCCCTGCGTATGTTGTATGTTATATATCTGTGAATGCCTCTCAATATAAACACAAAGAAAGCAGTCAAGATGTGTAACAAAACTTTTTATTTCCAAAAAAACCCTTGTTTCTTCATTTGAACAAAATTTTACAAAACAGCTTGTTTGTTCACTCACTCAGTCGTGTACATTTTGCTCCATAACATTAACTACAATGCACACAGAGTCTGGTCTCCCGCTCCACCCTGTGTGTTCCTTCATCCAAGTTAGTGATTACCATCTATTAATGCATTTTCTTGAAAGCTCAACAAGACAACGACAAAGATTTCTTGTTGAGCTTTAATCCACAGAGCAATGATGTCAGTCCAGAGACAAAGGTGCGCCTAATCAAGGCCATGGTCTTCTCAATTACTTTTTATGCATCAGAGAGCTGAACAATGACTAAGGATGACAGAAGAATAGACGCCTTTGAGTTGTGGTGCTGGAGAAAAGTCTTGAACATACTATAGACCACCAAGAAAACAAATCAGTCTGTTTTGGAGAGGGTGAAAGCAAGTCTCTCCTTGGAGGCTACGATTTTGAAGCTCCACCTCACTTACTCTGGGCACATGGCCAGGAGGGACCAGACCTTGGAGAAGGACATCATGCTCAGTAGGGTGGAGGGGTAACATAAGAGAGGAAGACCCCAGATGAGATAGATTGATACAGTAACTGGAGCAATGAGGGTTGGTGTATCGGAATTAGTGAGACTGGCTCAGGACAGGGAAGGGTTCAGAGTTGCTGTGCATAAGGTCATGCTGTACATCGCAGGCAACTCACCAGCACATAACAGCAATAACATACTATGACAGGTTTGGTAGCAGAAACAGCATCCACTTCCTAAACAACATGCCTCCAGAAACTCTATGAACTTTGATAAATGTTGACAGTTGTAGAGGGGCTTCAGGCCTTTTATTCATAGGGTCGCTATGGGTCGTGCTCAACTCGAAGACAAACAACAACAATGTATTTTCTATTCCCTCTCTTCCCATTAACCATACTAAAATGATTCTCTGTGTGTAAACCTTTCTCGAATACTGAAACTTGGATCAGAGATTATCAATATAGAAGAAACCAGAAATGAGGGAGAGGGAGGGGGGTTAATTTCCTTTATATACTTCTAAAGCATCTGATTTTTTTTTTTTTAGTTCCCACAAAGCTCTTATTACTTATACAATTCTTATTATATTAATTCACGCTACTTACCTAATCCTCATCTTGGGCTACTAGCTAGTAAATAATTCTATTAAATCAGGGTTTGGCAGGTTTGGCACTCCTGACATCTAAGCTGTCCTACGCACCAGAAATGTTAGCTACATCCCTGGCCTTTACCCACTCGATGTCAACAGCAATCTTCCCCCCAGTGACAATCAGATATGTCCCCAGATCTTGCCAAATGTCCTTGGAGACACTGAGAACCACTGTATTATGGCAACCCAGTTTATAAGTTGTCTACCTTAGAATGTGGCCAGTATTTCCATATTCCACTCTCTTTAGGAAAGAGAGAACCCATTTGCCCATAGGAAAGGCCATCCTCCTGACAAGCTAAAGCCAGTACAGTACACTGCTTCCTATCATAAAAGTTAAGCAATAAAGACAGCCATGCCCGCTGCTCTTACCTTATCATACAAAGGGATCATAAAATAGCCATTGTTTGGGGCACAGTCAGTCTGGTATTTCAAAGTCCCATGCTTGGTGTACAACTTTATCTACAAAGACAGGAAAGAATAAAAGTCATCTTATCACCACTGAAAGTTCCCTACAGACATTAAGCCTGAATTCATTCTATCAGCACGCGTTTGCTGAGAACACACTGTGTGCCAGCTATCAACACGAGTACCTGGGGACAGAGAGAAACGAGGCAATGTCTTTAAAATAATGTGATTCAATGCTCTCCAGATTAGAAACATCTGAAATCTACTCAGAAAGTCATCTGTTGACACTTTTCAGTTACTTCTGGAGGTTTTCTCTATGCTCTTCACATAAGCTTCTGGGTCTCAAAAAGTAAATTTCAACTTTGTTTCTAAGGAAGTGCTTGTTAAAATGCAGAGCCCTGGGTCGGCTTCAGTTCTCAATGAAAAAGTCTAGGTGAAGAGGCCAAGCAACTGCGTTCTTAATACTTAGAGCAACACTCACCTAGAAACACCCCATCTTCTATTTTCATTCTCACGATAAAAATATATCAAAAAGATGCATGTTTGTATGCCCCTCAAGACGTCTCTAAGACTCACACTTTGAGCATTTCGAGGCAGGAACTGTTAACCCTAGAAGATGCTCGTGTACATAACATGTGGTCTTCCACGTACTAACTGTGTGAACTCAGGTGAATCATTTAACCTCCTGAGCTTCCACTTCTTCAGCTGTAAAAAACTGCCACCTCCTCTTCATGGTGGTCGTGAAACTCCCCATCAACACAGGTCAAACACCTGAGTGTGGGCTCAATAAACAGTCCCTGGAATAACTGTTTAGCATCTTTGACACAAAAAGGCCACATGGTGCAATTAGCAAGTCAGAGGATGAATTCCTGGAAAGTTTCCTTAACCTACTTACATGGCTTACCTACTCTGAACCTCATTTTCTACTCTGTGAAAGGAAATGTGAGTCTGACGACCTTCAAAATACTAGTGCTCTATGACTCCGAAACAAAAAGGACAGGGTCAAGTTCTCACACACACACCTCCCATGCTCACTTGGGGAAGGCAGAGCATGAAATCATGTGGACGGTCAGCCCCCTGTAGATCGTGACCATGGTTTATTCTCCTGTGAACGATGCTTCAAGGTGCCTGTGGCAAGGTCTTGTTTACTACAGAGACTCAACAAGTATGTGATTAATTTATTTAAAGATTATTAAGGAATTCAGAAGTATGTGTTTAAAGCAAGGATTGAAAACGCACCAGCCAGGAGGGGAGATCTGGGTGGTACAAACGGTTAAATGGCTTAACTGCTAACTTCAAGGCCAGATGAAGTTCAAAATCCATGCAGAGGTGCCTCAGAAGAAAGACCTGGTGATGATCCACTTCCTAAAAATCAGCCAATGAAAACCCTGTGGAGCAGAGTTCTACTCTGCTGTGCATGAGGTCATCACAGTCCATGAGGTCATCACGAGTCATAACTATTCAACAGCTGGGAAAGGAGGTAGGTAATTAATGTCAATGAGCAATTACCAAAAGATAGGGAGATCACTATTTGATTCTAGACAAGCTTTACAGCCCAGAGGGCTCATAAGTTTCCAAGAGAGGCCTGAAATCCATTTTGTCTAACATGCACATCTTCTGTTAATGTTAGCGATTTGTCTTTGACAAAACAGCCCATTGCTGAAGAGGAGAATGTTATGCCAGGTGGGCTGGGATTTTCACCTGTTCTGCTCGCTGCACTGCTACAGCCTCACCTCCGACAGGGCAAGGCAGAGGCAGGGGCCCAATCACTCCCGCTGGCAGCGTGCACACCATGTGACATCACCCAGCAGCGGAGGAGGATGTAGAAAAGTGAGGGGGTGTTTGCACACATGCATGCACACACACACACACACACACACACACACACACACAGAGAGAGGCAAGAAATGATTGTGAAATACCTTGATTACGTGCATTTCTTTCTTAAAGAACAGCTCAGGACATAGGACAATATCTATCTATACCAAGACTGCAGAAATGTCTGATTTCATAATCAGAAATTAAGAAAGCCAGGTAGCCAAGGGCTCAAGGGACGTACTTCATGTTGGATCACAAAACTACCTGCCACTGTGAGCGCTCGAGGGTGGAGGTAGTACCCCCTTCACCTTCAGACTTCCCCTTTTTCCTGGGGTTCCAGGAAATGTGTCCCGAAAGGAAGCTTCTGAAATGCCCTATACTCACACCAGGAGAAGCTTCTGAAATGCCCTAAGCCCACACACCAGGAGGAGGGCCCAGAAGGTGGCAGGGCCACCCAGCAGCATGTGCCCCACAGATCCTATGAGTCTAACACACTGGAGAGGAAGTTCAGCAGCAGCTGAACTCTTTAAGAGTAAAAAGGATAAAGGTGACGCAGAGAGAGGTTTTGAATATGGTAATTGATTCCATTTAGGAAATACATGGTGCTGAGTGGTACTGCTTCTAATAGCTTCCTCAACATCCTATACAGGTATGAGAATTGGAACTCAGAGCAAAATCAAGTAAAAAATGATAGTGGGGTACAGAATCTTCCATGGCCCTCTCACCCAAAGTCCAGCAACGGTGCTATGCAGAACATACTCTGGCCCACCCCCACCAGAACAGTTGTTCAAATAAGCTTTTACATCACCTTTAGCGGTCTTTTCTCAATTCCTTCTACTCAGCAGCTCCCAGATTCTTCCTTTTCCTCCCAAACCATCTCCCAGGCCCCTATCCATGCCACTTCTAAATCTCTCCACCTGTCCTGCCCAACTTCAGGCCACCCCTGAAGAGGCCCACCGGCCAATCCTGCCAGGCCCCCTTCCTCCTCACAAAAGCCTCCTGAATTAAGACTTTACAGGACAGTCAAGACTTCTAGAGACAGCTCTGCAGTGTCTGTCCGACCACCCCCACCCCGTCAGGTGGTCAAGGTGGTTGACGTGACCCAAGGTGAAGGAGGAAGCGGGGAGGGAGGAGAGAAGCTGAATACAGATCCTCGGCCCTAGAGATTGCAACACAGGTGTACTGGGTCAGGATGTCTAAAATGAGAAGCAATGCCCTTTAAAAGCATGCCAGAAAAAGGAGAGAGAAATGACCCACAGGGGTTTGAAAGAGCAGCGCTTAGCCCACTGGGGGATTCTGGGAAGGGAGCGTATAGGCCACTGTTACAAGAATAAAACTGACATGTCTAAGTCGTGGAATACGAGTTTCAGGAGGGGGTCGAAGGACGTGGGTCCTCAGACTCTGGGTTTGAAGAGAACTGGGTCCTTCCTGGATATTCTGGGGCTGGTCTTGGGCTTTGATTCTGGGATTTGCTTTTTGAAGACTCTACATTTGGGGGCAGGGGGAATCTCTCCCTTTTGAGAGGTCTGATCAAAATTATGAGCCACTATCCCCCCAAAAAATGCCCCTCACACCCTGTGCACAGGCATTCAGGGCCATCCTCACCCCGTGGCTGACTCCCGCGATAAGCAACCCTTCCCTGACTCCAGGCTGTGCAGACACACACACACCACGCACCCCTTCCCTGACTCCAGGCTGTACGCGCGCGCGCACACACACACACAAACACACACACACACACACACACACACACACAGAAAGCAAAGCCAGGAAGAAGAAATGCAATCGTAGAAGGTGGTGCGGGCAGAAGGCGCCCGGAGCGTGGGCGCAGAAGCCACCGCGGCCCAGAGAGGCTGAGCGAGTGGCCAGAGCTCACACAGCACGCAGGCCGGCGGCGGGGCGGCCGCTCACCTCGATGAGCGAGTAGTTGATCTCCACGTCCGACTTGACGAAGCCCCCGCAGCCCACCACGATGTCCTCGGAGCCGCGCGCCGGCGCCAGGCTACTCAGCAACAGCACCACGGCGATCGCCGCGGGCCCCGGCGGCCCCACGCTCCCGGCTGCACGCATGGCCCGGCCTCGGCCGCCCGACCCTCCGCAGCCCGCCCGGTCCCGCCCCTCACAGCGCACGCCGCCGCCGCGGGTCCCTTCCTCTCCAGGCCGCTGACAGCACAGGGGCCGCCGGCGGCACTGCGCATGCGCGCTCCCACCCAGAACCACGCCCCCGAGAGAGAGCCTTGACGCCAGCACCGGGACAAAACGGGAACGTCTTTGCCCTCTCTAGGCCCGGAGGACTAACCACAACGTCTGGCCGATGTCACGTAAGGTGCATGCCTGCAGGTGCAAACTCCAAAGGTGAATTCTACTTTGGGATTCACTATCACCAAAGCTGAACTCTAGTTTGGGTGATTTGCTTGCTGCAAGTGAGGAGGGCTCGAAGCACTTCCTGTAGAAGGTTCAACACTGCAGCTTTCAATATAGACTGCATCTGAACATCAGGAAAACAAAAATGCTCACCACTGGACTGATAGATAGCATCATGATGGACGGAGAAAGGCTTGAGACTGTCAACAACTTCATCTTGCTTGGATCCACAATCAATACACTTGATCCCAGCAGTCAGAAGATCAGGAGATGCACTGGGAAAGTCTGTAGTCAGGGGCTTTTCCAAATTATTGAGGAATAATGATGTCAGTTTGAGGACTAGGGTGGAACTGATTCAGGCCATGGTCTTTTCAGTCATTTGCTATGCATCTGAGAGATGGACAAAAAAAACCCTAAGATGACAGAGGAAGAATTGGTGTCTTGGAGCTGTTTTGCAGAAGAAGAGTACTGACTATACCATGGACTGCCAAAAGAACAGATATGTCTTGGATAAGTTGAAGCCAGAGTGCCTCTTGAAGGCAGAGATGATGAAGCTTCATCTCACATACTTTGGGCATGTTGCTAGGAGAAGTTATTCCTTGGAGCAGGATAGCATGCTCGGGAAGATGGAGGGGCAGAAAAAGAGAGGAAGATCGTCAACAAGGTGGGTTGTCACGGTAACCACAGCAATGGGCTTGAGTGTGTCAGAGATTGTTAGGTTGGCACGAGATAGAAACTCGACAGCATCTAACAACAGCAGTGACACAGGTGGAGAGATTTGTTGGCTTCTGGTCAGCAGAACAGAGGAAGACCCTCTTCCTCTTCCAAAAGATGAATTGACACAGCGAGTGTAGCAATGGGTTTGTGTGTGTCAGGAATGATGAGAATGGCACAAGATAGGGAAGATGGGGAGGTTCTGCTCCGTTGTTCACAGAGTTGTGGTGAGTGATAGTTGACTCCACAGCACCTCACAATAACAAGGTGGGAAGAAGAAGAGATGATGTTGATGGAAATATCTGACAACCTTCCAAAACTTTTTCACCCATGTAATTCCCAGACGATATATATCATTGTACAAACTCCTTTAGGAATTTGTGTAATAACTCACACATTCTTCCATGATCAATGGGAGCTCTGGTTATGGAGTTCACGTGGAGTTGCATTGCTTACCCAAAGGTTACTTTCCGCCAGTTCAAATCCACCAGCTCTGTGGGAGAAAGAAGTGTGATTTCCTTCTGAGAGATTTGTTGTTGCTGTAATGTATCATCAAGTCGCCTGCAATGCATAGTGACCCTGTGCACAGCAGCTCTGAAGCCTGCTGTGTTCTGAACCAGTCTCACAAACTTTGACACACCTATCACCATTGCCCTAATTACTGTATCGATCTATCTCATCTGGGATCTTTCTCTCCTGCACTGTCCCTCCACCCTTCCAAGCAGGACGTATGTTCTCCAAGGATTGGTCCCTCCTGGCCATGTGCCCAAAGTATGTGAGACGAAGCTTCAAAATCCTAGCCTCCAAGGAGAAACTTGGTTTCACCCTCTCTAAGACAGACCTATTTGATCTCTTGGTGGTCCATGGTATGTTTAAGACTCTCCTCCAGCACCACAACTCAAAGGCATTGATTCTTCTTTTCTCATCCTTAGTCATTTATGCAGCTCTCTGATACATAGCAAGTAATGACAAAGATCAAAAACTGGATCAGGTGCACCTTAGTCTCTAGACTGACATTGTTGCTTCTCAATACTCCGGAAAGGTCCCTGACAGCAGATTTACCCAATGCAATTCATAAGCTATTAAAGGAAGTTAATAAAGATTGTTGTGGTTGTTACGTACTGTTGAGTCGCCTGTGACTCAAATTAATTGTCTGATGGTTAAGGTCACATCTCAACTTGTCTGCCCATGATTCTCTAGTGTAGCAGCTATGATGTAGTCATTCCCTCAATGAGCTCATCCTAGGGGATTTACACACATAAATCCGATGTAATTATTTCTTTGATGGGACCCAGTATACATTGTAATAATTTCCATTATGAGATCTGCTGTGAGAACCAATCAGTTAAAAGGGACTTTGACTGGAGGTGTGCCCTGCATCTAATATACATGGATGTCTGGCAAAGTTCTCTTAAAGTTTGCTCCATCTGGATCCTGCCTCCTCACAATCTTACTTTTGATTCTTTGGACTTGAACCAGATTGTCTTCTGTTCTTAAACTCATTACCCCCTAACACTATGTCACGAGAAGCTTCTTCCCTGAAAGTCTTGAGACTTGCCAACCTTTAAAAGTGAATGGATGGATAGATGATAGATAGATAGATAGATAGATAGATAGATAGATAGATAGACAGACAGACAGGAAGACAAGATAGAGAAACTTCATTGGTTTTTCTTCTCTAGGGAATACAGCCCAAGACACATTGTTATTTACTCCCATCAGCAAGCGTTACATAGAGCTGAATTTACTTTTAATTCAATCTGTACAATGACGCATGATTTGTCTACAAATAACTTTAAATGTCAGTCTCTCTTTTTTTGCCTTAAGGAAGAATGCATATTACAATGTAGAATGCATTTGACTATGAGGCACTGCATCAAAGTCGACAGATGAGCTTTCCTGGACCTGATATTTAGAATTCTTCCATTTCACTCCCAAAACACTCAAGTGTCTTATTTGGGTAGTTTACGTGTTTTGCTTCTAAATGAAGAGGTAAGAAAGAGGATTTCCCACTACAACCTGACATTTGAGCTAATACTTTAGCAACATACAACAAAGAATGGGAATTTAAGGGATATTGTCAAGAATAATTCATCTTCTGGGGAGCTCTGGTGGCCTAGTGGCAAGGAGGTGCAACTACAATCCCAGAGGCACACAGTTCGAATCCACCAGATGCTCTGCCAGGGAAGGAGGGAAAATCTCCTCCTGTACCAGTCAGATCTGGTTTGACGGTACACTCACACAAAAATAATAAAATTTTTTAAAAAATTTTTTAAAAAGAATAATTCATCTTCGTGGTGATTTTATCCCCTCAAATAGGAAGAATCTCCATTTCTCACTTGGCATCCTCTCGTGCAAGACTCTCAACTGATTAGTTTTTTGTTGTTTTTTTAATTTTAGCTTATTATATATTGTGTGTGTGCAGTCAAATCATGTCTCACTGGTAGAGGAGGAGATTTCCCCTCGTTCTCCAGCAGAGCATCTGGTGGATTTGAACCAGACGCCTCTGGGATTGCAGTGCAGCTTCTTGCCACAAGGCCACCAGAGCTCCCTTCAACTGATTAGCTTTATGTGAAAATGTATTTTATTCATCAAGGTCTGTAATTTATAACTGAGGGGGCCTTGTGGCTCTGTAGTTTAAGCAATGGCTAGTCACCAAAATGTTGGTCATTCAAACCCACCACCAGACGTTCCACAGAGAAAAGCTACAGCAGTCTAGTCCCATGAAGATTTGCAGGCTGGGTACCTTATGGGACATTTCTACTCTGTCCTGTAGAGTTGCTGTGAGTCAGAATCAACATGAGGTTTTGCTATCACTGGTTGAAATGGAAACAGACACTTTTTCATTCACAACCCCCTTCCACTAATGGCCAATTGGGTAAGGAGCTACGTCACCAACCTACGGGCTAATGGTTCAAATCTACCAGCTGCTCCAGGGAAGATTAGTAATCTCCTCTCATGCAATTTACAGCCTCTGCAAATGTGCTAGAGGGCCAATGAGTCAGTTCCGACTTGACAATGCTTAACAACAGCTATTGGAAGTGTGAACTCCCTGGTCTGTTTTAACAAATAACTGGTACATTGAGTGAGAAAATGCTGGCCTTTGGAACCCTCTCACTTTATTTACAGAATGAAAAACTGAGGTCCAGGGAGGAAGGGCGGCTGTCTAGGGCGCTCTAGTGCTCTGAACAGAGCAGTTAAACTCAACTATCTGACCAAAAGGATGAAAGTCAAAGTTGGGATCTTTGAGTCTAGTTCCTGGCTCACCCCAAATGATTTCTAGTGTTCTTCCTGACTTCCTAAGCTGAAAATCATTTGCAGACAAGTCGAGTCTCACTCATCGAGACCCTATGCAGGGGCCTAGCACTGCCCTATAGTATTTCTGAGGATGTAAATCTTTGTGGAAGTGGCCCACCACATCTTTCTCCCTAGAATCAGTTGGCAGGTTCTAAGGGCACTAATGAACCGGGCTCTTTATCCAGAATGTCCCACTTCCCATTGTGTCAAATAGATTCTCACCCTTAGCGACCCTCCATCAGGTCTCTGAGGCTGCAAATCTTGATGCCTCTCTCTCCCACGGAACCTTCTGTTGGCATTTGGTAAACAGCTCAGCTTTCTAGAGACCTCCTGTCAGTGTGCCTTTGTTTCTGATTTCAATAATACAAACTCATCTCCTGCTTCAAAAAAGAATCAAGAAACAAAAACGCACCAAAACAAACAACCCAAGCCTATGGCTAAAGAATCAGTCTCATCTTGCAGTAACCCAGGTACAGCATTGAGCTACCCCATCGGAGCTCTTGGGTTATAATCTTTACTGAAAGGAGCTCCGGTGGCGAGTCCATACAGTTTTGCTGTTAGCAGAACTCTGTCTCTCTGACAGCTCAAATCCACTGTCAGCTCTGCAGGATAAAGATGGATGGATAATCTCCTCCCGTTGATGCTGAAATGCTCTCAAGTCAAGCACAACTCATAGCGACCTGGTGAGCAATCGATCTGAATTGTGTCCTGTTTGCACAATTCTCAGCAATCTCAATACACTGAGTCCATTACTGCAGACTCTGTGTCAATCCAGCTCGTTGAGGGTCTTCCTTTCCTCTTCTGACCCTCCACCTCTCCAAGTACGATGTCCCTTTCCAGTCAACAGCCTCTCCTGATGTCCAAAATACTTGCACCATCTCCTATTCAACATCTCTGCCTCCACTGAACACTCCCTTTGCGCTTTCTCCAAGACCTATGTTTGGTGTTGTTTTGGTTTGTTTTTTTTTCGGCAATTCATTCAATACTCTTCTCCAACACAACTCAAATGCATCAATTCTTCTCCTAAACCCAGTTAGAGGGTCAGCTGTCAGTTCCAACCCCAAAGCAATGACTTAAAAAAAAATGTAATCTTTACTGAAGGATCCCTGGTGACACCGTGGTTAAGCACAGCGCATGTGCAGTGGGTGGAGCAGTCTGTTGCTGTCAAGATGTAGATCCCAGGAAAGGCTTGGGGCAGTTCTGCTCTGTCCTTTAGTGTCACCGTGAGTCTGTATCCACGCACCGGCAACCTACTGGGTTTGGAAACTTAATAGAAGCAGATCGCCAGGTCTTTCTTTTCCAGAACCACTGAGGAGGTTCAGTCACTGCCTTTTCAATTAGCAGTCATGCTTTTAACCATTTCATCTCCTATTGTTGTTGTTGTTGTTATATGCCGCTGAAGCAGAACAGACAGCTGAGGCTATAAATCGTAAGGGCAGAGATGGCCCATCTGTTCACTGTGGAGCTGCTGATGGATTCAAACTCCTTATCTTTGGGTTGGCAGCACAGCTCCTTATCCACTGGGCCACCGCAGGGCTCCTCTAATTCTAATAATAGCTAACTTGGAGTATTGCCTGGTACTGTGCTAAATGCTTTTTAACAATTTTAAGTCTTTTTTGCTAACAAGAGACAATGAATGGGGGGGAAGGAGGGAAGGAGAGAGAGAGGGAGGGGAGGAGTGAGGGAGAGAGAGAGGGAGAGAAATGTAACAACTTCCACCCCCACCATCCACACACCCCTATTTAGCCTTGTCGCTGGAGACTCGGGTCATTGCAGTGTTCTCTGCACTCCGGTAGGGTTCATTCACAAGACGAGACGACCTTTTTAGAAGTGGGCTTGCTGTATGTAGAGTGTTCCAGAAGTTTGGGGTATTCGCTGCAGGGCAGGGGGGAGGAGGTAAATGGAGTGCCTGTCTGCAGGTTAAGGGGTTCTCCCCCTCCCTTCTTCACCCCGCCCAGTTTCACGACCTCTCGCTCCACCCCACCTCCAGGCCGGACCTTGCCCGAGGCCTGTGGTCTCAGAGCTCGAATCCTCGCCAGGCCCGCCCCTTCCCTGGCCGGAGCGCGCTGGGGCTGCAAGCAGCAGACCGACAGACAGACCGACTGACAGGCCGACGGACGGGCCCACTGAGAGGGCCAGATGGCTGCGCCCAGCGAACCCGGCGCTGAGCCGGCGGTGAGTGCCCCCATCCCAGCCGAGGTGGAGGAGAGTCCCTCCTCCAGATCCCCCGGACGCCTGGGAATTGGGGAGACCCGCGCCACCCCTCCCCCTGGGGAAGTCAGCCGCTCGGATCAAGGACCCTTAAAGGAGACCCCCAGACCTCTCTGCTTTTAAAGCCTCCTTATCCACACGAAAACCAGGCTTTCTTCTGGAGAGCTACTGGCGGATTCGAACCGCCGACCTTTCAGTAAGCAGCAAAGCTCCTTAACACTGGGCCGCCAGGGCTCCTCCTTCCAAGATGCCAAATTTATTTTTTTTTAATCACGGTCAAGCCAAGTTGGTGCAGTGTATTCCGACTCATCACCGGTGGCTGTAAACCTTAGAGAGACAGCCAGCTTCGTATTTGTACAGCAGAACTGAACTACCAGCATTTCGCTTAGCAGCCCAAGCTTAACTCCCTGTGCGATGATCCCTTGTTTACTGAAGCCGGTGCTTCTCCTCCAGCCCCCACCTGCTGGCCCCCAGAGTCCTTTGCGGTTCCATGGACCACCCCCACTCTTCCCCCACTACCTCCTCCCTAGCTTCCTCTGTCACCCCAGGGTCTTGGCAGAGGGCTTGAGATTGGAGGTGGAGGTGACATGGGAGGGGAGGTAGGTGGGCGGGAATAAGAAAAGAATCCACTCCAAAGGATTTGAGCAGCCAGACGTAAATAACTAATAATAAAACAAAACAGTCTGCTGCTGGCTAGCCAACTGGGACCCACATCCCCTAATGTGTGAGACTAGGACAGCCCACCTTAGGTTTTCAAGGCTGTGACCTTCCCCAAGCAGACCTCCCTCCAGGCCAATCTCCCAGGTGCTTCTAGGTGGGTTCAAGCCAATCTAATGGCCAGCTTTCAAGCATGCCACTCTATTTGAGGGCTTGCTGGTACCAAGGATGTATTTTACCACTGTTGTTGTTGTGTACCGTGGAGTTGTTACTGACCCATAGCTGACCCTCCTAGCTGACCCCCTGGCAGTTAATCTCACTGAGATTGCCCATCGTTCTTCCCCCACGGAGCAGCTGGTGGCCTTGAACTCCTTGCCTTAGGGATTGCAGTGAATCTTCTTGCCACTAGTGCATCAGAGCTTCACTTCTTTACTACTATTACTACTGTTGTTGTTAAGTGCCGTCCAGTCACAGGCGACTCACAGTGACCCTATTACTACTACTACCCTAATTAATACAGCCCTTAGACCCCTTTGAAAGAAAAGGAAACTGAGGCATAACTGCTGAGTGACAGAACTGAAAGGAGTGCAGGGGACAGCATAAGACAGCAGAGAGGGAATTAAAGGGGCTCATAGCCCCTCAGCTCCATAGCCAGGTTTATTCTGGGATCAAGGCTTCATAGGGGCAGCTTTGCCATTTCCTGTTTGTATGGACCTGAAGGTTCCATCTTTCTGTGTCTCAGTTTGTCTGTCTTTGAAATGGAGACAGGAAGTAACACTGGAAAAGAATTCCTACTGCAACCCCAGAGGTATGCAGTTCAAATCCACCAGATACTGTGCTGGAGAAGGAGGGGGCAATCTCCTCCTGTACCAGTCAGATCTGATTGGACGGTACACATAAAAATAATACAATAAAAAAAATGAAAAAAAAGAAAAGAAAAGAAAAGAATTCCTGCTTCCCACAATGAAATGAGGAGTAAGTAACAAGCTATGTTTGGTAATCATCAGGACCCAACCACCTGAGTTCAAATCCCAAGACCACCACTTGAGTAAAACTGGGCGAGTCAGTCAATCTCTCTGGGCTTCATGTTGCTTATCTGCCAAATTATGCTGAAAATCACATATCCATCAGTGCTTGACACCTTTTTATGTAAATGTTTGGTGTCCAAAAGTTGCCTTGTGTCCCACCCTCCAGGCAGAGGGTTTGGGAACAGTATTCTAAGAATTCTTTTTATTCCTCAGGTCTGGAACCAGACGGAGCCAGAGTCCACCACTGCCCACCTGCTGAGTCTACATTTCCTGAAGTCACTGGGGGTCTGGGCACCCCCACTGTACCTCTGGGTCCTTGGCCCTGCCTACCTGTTCTATCTCCATCACCACAGCAGGGGCTACCTCCAGATGTCCCTTCTCTTCAAGGCCAAAATGGTAGCTGTCGCCACTGGGACCCTGGGACCAGATAGTGGGGAGAAGAAAGCAGACAGGGGCCCCAAAGTGGGTACTTCTGTCAAGGTGTAGATAAGAGGATTGAGAAGGGGCCCAGTTAACCAACTGGATCTCTCTCATTGGAGTCCAGTTGGAATAAACTCGTAGTTGACCATCCAGCAGGTCTTCAAAAGCTATAAACTGCACTGGAGGAGATTACCCATCTTCCTCCCTTGGAGGAGCCATTGGATTCAAACCCCCTGCTTTGCTGTTGCCAAACACCTCCTTACCTCTAGGCCACAGAGCTCCCTAACCGATCAGGGGTCCAAGGGAAAACTTGGGCAGAGTAAGATCCCCCTAAATGGATCGTGTAATTTATTAGATTTGTTCTCCAGTGGGCAGGGCCAGCCCCAACACTCATGCAGACATGCACACGGTCCTGAAGGGTCTCCAGCTGCCCTTGCCAAGCATTTTCCAAAGTGCAGAGCTGTGCTTCTGAATACACAGGGTGCTTTTATGGCGAACCTTCTCAAAATGTAAACAATTGTGCATTTGTGTCAATGTTTCCCCCTCTAGCCCTTTAACAGAAATAATATATGCCGAAATGTATGTTTAGAATAAACATGTCACACTTCAGCAGTTACATGTTTATTTTCAAAGAACCCTAGTGGCATAGGAGGGAGGTCTGGAGGGTGGCTGAGAGGGTAAGAAGTTGCACCATCAACCCAGAACAAGAGGTTCAAATCTACCAGCTGCAGCACAGTAGAAAGATGGGCAGTCTCTTCCCATGTGGTTTACAGCCTCTGAAAACCCATGGGAGGGTCAGTTCCCAGTCAGTTCTGATGCAATAGCAGTGGGATATTTGGGGATGACATAGGGGTTTAGGGTGACTGCCACAGTGGGCTCTACTATATCAGGAAGTGTGAGGATGGCACAGGATAGGACAGGGCTCAGATCTCTTGTTCATAGGATTGCTATGGGTTGTACTCGACAGCACCTAACAACAACAACAAAGGGATTTAAGCATTTGGCAGCTAACCAAAAGATTGTTGTTGTTGCATACCACAGAGTCGGAACTGACCCTTAGCTGACCCTCCAGTGGGTTTTCAGAGGCAGTTAATTGTACGGGAGGAGATTGCCCATCCTTCTCCCATGGAGCAATTTGTGGCTTTGAACCGCATGCCTTCAGGATTGCAGCGCAGCTTCTTGCCACTAGGCCACCAGTTTCAAATCCACGCTGTGCTCCCAGAAGGATTCAAAAAAACCTCCAACTGGTTGCCATCGAGTCGACTCTGACTTCTCTTGACCCTCCATCAGGTCTCTGAGTCTGTAAATCTTCACAAGAGAAGATTTCCCATCATTCTCCTGTAGAGCAAGAAGTGGATTGGAACCACTGGAGACACACCAACCTTTGGTTAGCAGTGTGACACTCTGGAGACTAAGTCACTAGAGACGTTTCCCTCAAAAGATCGTTATTGTTGTTGTTGTTGTTGTTCTGTACCGTCAAGTCAGAACCAACTCACAGCTGACCTTCCAGTGGGTTTTCAGAGGCAATAAATCACCTTAAGAAAAAGATGGGCAGCTTCCTCTTGTGTGACGTACAGCCTGGGACAGCCCTCTGGAGGGGCAGCTATGACTCATTTCCTACCCAATGGCTACAAGGGCTGAGTAGCAAGGACTTGAGGCAGCTGTGGTTGCATCCGGCCTTAGCGATGTCCTGCTAACCCGGGGCTATTGTGTCTTAAGCGACTTGAATTCATCAGCGACTCCATGGAATAAAGAAAGGTTTCCTCCTGTGCGATTTAAAGTTTTGGAAACCCGATGGAGGGCCAGCTATGAGTGGAACTGGTTTGACTGCAATGGGTTTGAGTTTGTATCTGAAGGTTGGCAAACTATTTCTTCAAGGACTAAAAACCCATTATTGTCAAATCTCTTCTGATCAGTAGTGGTTCTAGTGGGCAGAGCAAAACTGCCCACATAGGGTTTCCAAGTTGGCCCCCTTTGTTGTTTCTTGTTGTTGTTGTGTACCATCAAGTCGGAACTGATCCATAGCCGAGCCGCTGGCAGGTTTTCGCAGTTAATCACGCGGGAGAGAGTGCCCATCCTTCTACTGCAGAGCACCTGGTAGATTCGAACAACGTGCCTTCCAGATTGCAGCACAGCTTCTTGCCACTAGGCTACAAGTGCCCTCTTTATGGGACCTAATTACTGGCTCTTTCTTTCAGGGAAGCTCTGAGAGGGTTCAAACTGCCAACCTCACACTCTCTCCTTTTTTCACTTATTTTTTAAAAAGAGTGTGTGTGTGTGTGTGTGTGTGTGTGTGTGTGTGTGTGTGTACTGTCAAATCAGATCCAACTGGTACAGGAGGAGATTGCCCCTCCTTCTCCAGCAGAGCATCTGGTAAATTCGAACCATGCACCTATGAAGTTGCAGTGCAGCTTCTTGCCACTAGGCCACCAGAGCTCCTCTTTTTTTTTTTTTTCCACTTCTTTTTCAAGAGACATCTGTTGTTGGATTCGAACCCCGTGCCTTTGGGTTGGCAGCACAGTTCCTTAACACTAAGCCACCAGAGCTCCCTGTATGTTTTTAGAGATTGTGTAAAGATCTGCTGCTCCCAATCAGGAGCATAGTCCAAAGGGAGTTTTACTCCTACCCCAAAGGCTTAGCCTCCCTCAGGTTCAAATCCACAGGCCACTCTAAGGGAGAAAAATGCTAATCTTGTTCCCTATAATTTATGTCGTGGGAAACCCAAGATGAATCAGTTCTAAGTTGGCAATGAGAGAGAGAGAGATCCCCAGCAAGACTTTCTCATTGATGTAATTATAGGAATTGAAAGAAATAGACTTTGTCGCAAGCTGTTTCACACACGATCTCACTTTGGCACGTGGACATCCCTCCTCCACGTTGGAAACTTAGCAAGAGTTGTGTGAGGAACACCTGACAACTTCTGTTGTGTGTTACCCGATGAATTCTTCCCACCAGCCTGTGGAGTTAGGAGTTAGTCCCTTCCAGGGCCTCAACCCTTAAACTGCAGAGCCGCCACCCAGCTGGGCACAGTCCAGAGGCCGCCATCTTTCCTTTACCCACTAGCCTCAAGTGAACTTGTCTCCACAGGTGCTCGGGTCCGCCCTGCTCGTCCTGTACACCACCAGCGTGGCTGTGTCTCTCTGGGGAATCCAGAAGGGGAGGCCCCAGGCCCCGGAGTTCCTCATCCACCCCACCGTGTGGCTCACCACCATGGTAAAGCCCTCCTGGTCAAGGCCACTGGCAAGGGTGGAGAGGGTGTGTCCCTGGGCCCGCCTAAGGGTCCCTTCCCGACTCTTGGTCACTTGTCCAGAGTTTCGCCCTGTACGTTGTCCATGTGGAGAGGATGAAAGGGGTCCAGGCTTCTGGGTTGCTGTTCGGGTACTGGCTACTCTGCTGCCTCTCACCGGCCACCAGCGCGGCCCAGCAGGCCTCACAAGGGGTAAGTGGGGTTCTGAGCCCACAGGGGAAACCAATATGGTGCTTTCAGGTCTTGGGGCCCATCTTTTCTCCATTCCTTTCCATACATAATTTATCCTACACACACAGAGTCACTTATGCTTTTTTGCTGTTAGGTGCTGTTGTGTCGACCAGGGCTCATATTCATCTAAGAACAACAGATCAGAACCTTGCCTTATCCTGTGTGATCTTCACGATCTACACCTGATCAAGCCCATTGTTGCAGGCACCTGTCAGTCAACCCATGTTGCTGAGGGCCTTCCCTTCTTTCCCTGACCTTTCCCAGCATGATGTCTTTTCCTAAGGGCCTAGTCTTACTGACAATGTGTCCAAAGTCATATACGAAGTTTCACTACTCTTGCCTCTAAGTAGCAACCTGCTTGCACATCCTTCAGTACAGTTTTGTTAGGCCTTTAGGCAGTCCATGGAATATTCAGTACCCTTCTCCAACAGCCCAATCCAAAGGCATCGATTCTTCTGCTTACTCACTGTTCTACTTTCAGCTGCCTGTGAAACAATTGAAAAGACAGTGGCTTGGATCAGGTGCTCCTTAGTCTCTAAACTGACATCATTGCTCTTCAGCACTCAAAGAGAGCACTTACGCTTTAGAGATAGACAAATGTACTCCCTCACTGTTTACACTACATGGGGATTCCAGGAGTGTTTGTGCACAGGGAAAGATGGATTATTTTCAAGCCATCATCTTTTTTAAAAAATTTTTTATTATTAATTTCAATGAAAATTTACAGAGACTTTGGATTTCCATTCATTCATTGTTGCAATTTTCTCCCTTCCCAGCCCTCCCCCCAGTACACTACCCTCTTGGAAAAGTAAAAGAAAAATTCTTTCATTGTTTTACAATCCCTCCCCCCAGGTCCACTTCACTGTGCAGCCTTCGCTCTGGACTCCTGTCAGGAAAAAATACCTAATCATATTTCCCCTTTTAAACAGTTTTCTCCCTCATCTGTTTCAATGCAGTATACATTATTGAACCCATCTTTATCAGTCCCCCCCAACCCCGATGTCAGTCCTGTTTTACAACAGTGGCACCATGCAGTATTTGTCCTTTTGTGACTGAGATACTTCACTCAGCCTAATGTCCTCCCAGGTCACCCATTTTGAATAATATTGCATGAGTTCCTTGTTTTTCAATGCAGCATAGTATTCCATTGTGTGACTATACCACAGCTTCTCTATCCATTTGTTGATGGGCACTTAAGTTGTTTCCAGCTCCTTGCTATTGTGAACAAAGCTGCAATAAACATGGGTGTAAGCCATGGTCTTTTTTCAATTGTCTTGTATAGCACTGGTCTGTCCATTTGCTGTACAGAGGTAACTCATGGTTGCTGTGGTTATTAACACTGTGACATTGATGTGTCAGATGCGAGAACAGTTACCCATGGTGGACAGTGTTTGGTGGAGCTCCCCAATTAAAACAAGCTTGGAAGCAGGAGTGGCATCCACTTCCAAAATAGCTTGCCTCTGGAAACCCTATGAATTTGAAGAAACGATGAAAATTATACAAGTGTTCAGATCTTTCATTCACAGGGTCACCATGAGTCGTCTATGACTCCATGGCACTTAACAACAACAACATGATCTGAAAACTAAAATTAACACTGCTGCCATCAAGTAGATAAGTAGTTTCTAACTCATAGCAACCTTATAGCACAGAGTAAAACTCCTGCCCCCTAGGGTTTCTCTCTCTCCCCTGGAACGGTAGATAAGTTCAAACCAGAGAGCAGCCTGATGCTTATTACACTAAGAGATCCTTGGGCAAATCAAAAACTGTAAACAAGACTTAAGCCTCCAATCAGCTTGAAATGTTATATTCTTGAGGGAGAAGCCTCCCTTCAGTAAACATTCCTGTTTGCTCTTAAGGCCTTCAACTGATTGGATCAAACCTATTAGCATATAAAAAGCAATGGCAGTAGCTTTACTTACAGGTAACTGATTATAAGTGTAAATCATATTGAAATACCGTCATAGTAATATTCAGACTCCTGTTTGACCCAAAAGCTAGGCACCAGAACCTCACCAAACTGACATATAAAATTAACTCTTACCAGTACACATCATCCTAAACATTTTCATCTACATGAATACCCATCGCCTTTCTCACATAACACATTTCACTTGCACTCTAGACATGCACTTAGTATGCCTGCTTCCATGCATCATAGAAGCACATACTGGCGTGGTTGTTTCCAGCAATAGGAGCATAATTCACATTTGCTTAAGCAAAGAATAATAAGAGGGAATAGTTTTGTTCATACATGTGAGATCTTCAGAGGGAGTTCAGGCATAGCTGGATCCAGGTGTTCAACTGGCACATTCAAATGGTACCACTAATTGTTATTTATCTGTCTTTCAGTCCTGCTTTTCTCAGAGTTAGTTTCATTCTCTATTCAGGCTGGCAAGATGGGCTGCCAGTAGTTCCCTCCAAATTTATGTTCTGGACATCAAATAAACCCAGTGGAAGGAACTTCTGATGGTTCCAGAGCTTACTGTATCCATTCCCAAAACACCCACAGTTAACTAGAATATTCTCATGGGTAAAGCCTGGGTCATCTACTGCCCTTTGGGGTGAAATCAGTTCCCCATGAGCTCCTGAGGGAAGAAAACTAGGCGCTAGAATGAAACAACAAAAGGGCAGACAAGCCAGACAGCAGAAGCTGACGATCTGGGTCAGAGAATCTCTGTGCCCTTGAACAGGGTCCAAAAACTTCGAGGCTTAGTGTCCCTGTAAAACTGATCAGGTGATCACCTGCATGCAAAAATCTTCATTGCTACAGGCAGAGTCACTGCTCAGTCAAACCAGATCCTTCTCCTTAAGCTAGAGGACCCTGGCCAAGCAGATGATGGGATGGGAGAAGGGGGCTCGGAGTTGAAACGCAATAGGAGTCCATGGTTATGGGCAGACTGTGTAAGTCAGTGCTTGTGAATTAGGACTCTCGGAATGCTGGGGGACTGGTTTCTGAAGCTCCAACTTGGCAATGTTCTCAGCTGCAGAGAACCTTCTTCAGTCCTTTTCTTTCTATGCGGGCACCCTCTCCAACCTCCACTATTTACAAGACCCGGTGGGCTGGCGCCTGTCTGTCCAGACTCAGTGGGATTTCTGCTTTCTGTCCCTCAGGGCTTCCAGAGCGACCCTTTCTATCACCTGTTGACCTACCTGAGCTTGATTCTGGTTGGGGTGCAGTTTGTGCTTTCCTGCCTGGCGGATCAGCCCCCTTTGTTTCCTAAAGACCTCCAACAGTCTGTAAGTCACCTCATCTCCGACCCACTACCTCCTTTGTCCCTGCTCCAGTTCAAATCTCTGTATTCTTATGTGACCTACGGGACTTGAACTGGAACTTTTAAATTCATTTGGTAAAATGGGCATTGAATGTCTATTATTGTGGCAAAGGTTAGCCAGGGTAGACTGTAAATATTTTAGGCTTTATGGGCCAACTGATCTCTGTTGCAACCGCTAGACTCTGTTACTGTAGCTCAGAAGCCGCCACAGGAATTATGTAAATAAATGAATGTGGCTGTGTTCCAATAAAACTTTATTTGCAGAAACGGATGGTGGGCCAGATTAGACCCACAAGCCATGGTTTGCTGACCCTGGCTCCATGCCTCAGCTAGTTTCTGAGGACTGTCTGGTGACCAGAGATGTGTAGACAGTCCTGGCCCTCACACAGCTGACTGTCAAATAGAGAGCCAAGCATTAATCTCATAGTTACATTGCTGTATAGACAAGGTTATCTGCGCTAAGTGCTCCGAAGAAAAAAGTTCTGTGAACTTGAATAATGGTAACTCATCTGAGAAGTTAGGAAAGACATTTTGTGGAAGACAGAGTTGATCTGAGATCATGCACAAAGATGTTAAACTACTCAGGTTATCAAAATTATAATGGAGCATTTTGTTTCATTTGTGGCAAACAATTTTAAAAGTTGATAATGAGGTTCTATCACACCAGTAATCATTTTTAGTTTTATTCCACGTTTACCAATGACCCCCGAGACTGTGGCCCTTAGTTGCTTTAAGAACATGGAACAAAAATCACCCCAGGGCTCAATTCTCAACCACCAATAGACAGACCCAGAAGGTGAGCAGTAACACTCATTCCTTAGACTATCTAACCATAAAAGATCAAAACAGCAGTAATTGCTCAAGGATAGAGTACTGAAAATAGGGAGGGGTGGACTCCAAGGATGGATGGAAATGAGACTCATAGGGAGGGAGTAGGTAAAGTGCAATTATGTGTATTAGAATTAATGATATTACATAAAGTATGTATGAATGGTTGAATGGAAAACAGATCTGTTCTGCCAGCTTGCACTCAAATAAATCATTATTAGAGAAATGGAAAGATGGCAAAACCCAAAATTTATAACAAGCTGTGATGGCTAAAATGTGTAAAATGGCCAATTGAAGAGAATAAACTAGAGTGGTCTTTCTAGATAGCTGGAAATCAAAGGGTAGAAAATTAAATTGTCTTATTTGTTGAGAGACACTTTTGGCTATACTTTGTCTGTAGTGTATGTGGTTGTTGCTTGAGAACTGGTTTTGTGTTAATAAAAGTTGTTATTTCTGACCTGTGAGCGCTGTAGGCTGGTGTCCTCGTCCCTATTCTCCCTTCCTCCCTGGAAGCAGTTGGGCCCACTGTGTCCACGTCGGCAAGCTCTGTGTGTTTTTGCTTCAAAGCTTCTGACCTGTGTATCCTGCTTTCCTGGCCTTGGTTCCAGCCACCATACATTGACCTTGGAATGTGAAAATCAGGTCTACCCTTCCCGTTGTAAACAAAGCACATTTACAATTTACTTTGTAAACTTTCAATCCAATCACAATAATAAAATACGATTATTGTTGTTATGTTCCGTCAAGTCACCTATGACCCATAGTGATCCTGTTTGTAACAGCTCTGCACCCTGCCCTGTCCTGAGCCAGTCTCACTGATTAAAACACACACACCCTCATTGCCCCAGTTACTGTATCAATCCATTTCATCTGAGGTCTTCCTCTCCTGTGCTGTCCCTCCACCCTTCTGAGCATGATGTCCTTCTCCAAGGATCAGGCCCTCCTGGCCACAGGCCCAAAGTATGTGAGACAGAGCGTAAGATAATTTATTATTGTGATTAGATTGAAAGTTTACAAAGCAAATTGGCTTTTCATGCACAGTTTGTTTCATAACATTTATTATAATGCCCACAATATGACTGCACTTTTCCTTTTCCCTCCCTGTAATTCTCATTTCCACTAATATCTGCTTATGTTGCTGGGCTGCCTGCATATATTTGCTGCTGACTGTATTTCTGTGTGCTTCTCTGCATTTTCCTTTTCTGTGGTGGATTTGTGCTGGCCATCATCCCCTTATTGTATATTGCCTTCCCTCTCACATCTCTTAATGTGTGACTACTATTTACTAATTTTTCACTCCTCTCTTCCTCCCTTCTCATCCAGGAATGATTGTTTCTGTGTGTAAGCCTTTCTTGAGCTTCTTTAAGTAGTGGTGTTGTCCAAGATTTGTTGCCTTCCCATCATTTGTCTTTTCCAGAACCCATGTCCAGAGGCCGGAGCCTCCTTCCCCTCCAAGGTCATGTTCTGGTGGATTTCTGGGTAAGTAATAGCAAGAACCAAGTGATTGTAGCTAGGGAGGATAGAAGGAGAATTAATGCCTTTGAGCTGTAGTGTTGGAGAAGAGTATTGAATATATATGGACTGCTAAGAAAACAAACAGGTTCATCCTAGAGAGGGTTAAACCAGGCTGCTCCTTGGAGGCAAGGATTCTGAAACTTTGTCAGACCTACTTTGGACATGTTGCAAGGAAAGACCAGTCCTTGGAGAGGGATGTCATGCTTGGGAGGGTGGAGGGACAGCGCAAGAGAGGAAGACCCTCAATGAGATGGATAGATTCAGTGACTGGGGTAATGGGGGTAGGTGTATTGGAGACAGTGCGATTGGCACAGGATAGAGCAAGGTTTAGGGCTGTTGTACATAGGGTCGCTGTGAGTCGCAGGCAATTCCAGGGCACATAACAACAACAATAGCAAAAAAAAGCCTGGGACAGCGCCCCCTTCTGCCCACCTTCCTCACCACCAGCAGGGCCAAGACCACCAGCCAGGCATTCACCCAGCCTCACTTACCCCCTGAGCCTGGTTTTGTTTTGTTTTTTTCTTTTTTCCCTTCATCTGTAAAATGGGTCCAGAATAATCTCAGTTCACATAAGAATGAAATGAGATGGTGTTGGTAACTCATTCAACTTACAGCTGACCTCTCAGCGCTTTCCAGGGCTATAAATTGCATGGGAGACTAGCTTTCAAGACATGCTGTGCAGCTTGCTACAGACTATACCATGAGACTGCCCTAATTTTAGGAAAAACACCAAGATAAAAATCAAACCCATTGTCATCAGGTTGATTCTGACTCAGCAATCCTCTAGGACAGAGCAGAACAGTCCTCAACATCAAGAAGACAAAATTTCTCACCACTGGGCCAATTGGCAGCACCATGATAGATGGAGAAGAGATTGAGGTTGTTAACAATTTCCACTTGCTCGGCTCCACAAGCAACATTCTTGGCACTAGCAATCAGGAAATCAAAAGATGAATTGCATTGGGAAAATCTGCTGTCAGGGACCTCTTCAGAGTACTGGAAAGCAAAGATGTCAGTCTAGAGACTAAGGTGCGCCTGATTCAGGCCATGGTCTTCGCGATTACTTGGTATGCATGAGAGAGCTGGACAGTGACTAAGGATGACAGAAGAGTTTTGGTGTTGAGTTGTGGTGCTGGAGAAGAGTCTTGAACATACCATAGACCACCAAGAAAACAAAAAGGTCTGTCTTGGAGAGGGTGAAACCAAGTTTCTCCTTGGAGGCTAGGATTTTGAAGCTCTGTCTCACATACTTTGGGCATGTGGCTAAGAGGGACCGGCCGGTCCTTGGAGAAGGGTGGAGGGACAGCATGGGAGAGGGAAGACCTCGAATGAGATGGATAGACATAGTAACAGGGATGATGACGGCAGGTGTGTCAGAATCAGTGAGACTGGCTCAGGGTAGGGCAGGCTTTAGAGTCACAGACGACTCAACAGCACATAACAATAGCAACAACAACAAATCTTTATGGAAAGAGCTCTGGTGGCCTAGTGGTAAGGAGTTGCCCTGCCAACCGCAGCATGCAAATCAAATCCACCAACTGTTCCTTGGGAAAAAGCTAGACAATCTCCTCCTGTGTAATTTACAGCCTTTGAAAATCTGAGCTGGTTCCAACTTGATGGCACCTAACAGTCTTTATTTTAAAAGACAATGGTAATTGTCTGCAGAGCATTTGGCTTATTTAGATTGTTTAGACTTTTTGTTTATCAGTTCAGTGCTATCAGCTGAGCAGTGTCTTGCAAATAGGAGCTTTCATTTTACAAGGAGCCAGCAAAGGCACAGAGGGGCGAGGTGATATGCCCAGGGTCACACAGCTGCCCGACAGGACTCTGCAAGAGATGGATGGTAGGATAAGCCCCTCCCCTGATGACCCTCTTTTACAGGCTTGTCTGGAGAGGCTACCGGAGACCCCTGGGACCAAAAGACCTCTGGTTACTTGGGAAAGAAAACTCCTCCAAAGAACTTGTTTCCCAGCTCAAGAAGGAATGGACAAGGTAAGTGTATGACCATCAAAAGCTCAGCCATCATAGGACGTGTTTGGACAAATTGACAACAGCAAATTGAAAGGTTAGATCATAGGTCAATGGCGTGTAAATGATATAAGACACAGTGTATAGGAATGACTGTATGAAACTCAATGTGAGTGAAGAAAGGTGTGAAACACTACGTATGTGAATGAGACATAATGCATACCCAAAAAAGCCCAGCCCCAAATAAAACTCAGGACCCTGCTCTGAGCTCCACCTCCCCACCGCCCCTGTCTGAGGGCTGGAACTGACTAGGCTCAAAATCCAGTTGCTCCCAGAGTTCGTCTCAGGGTTCAAACAGGAAGCTGACAAATGGAGTCTCCGAAGGAAGCCATGATGGTGGAATGGCAGGCAGAAGACAGAGGGATATTTTAAAACTGAGGGGTGTGGAATTAGGTGGCAGCTATAACACCTGCACTTATTTAACTTTAGAAATGATCTTCCCAGGGCGCTCTGGTGGCATTGTTGCCATTAGGTGCCGTTCAGTCACCTGTGACTCAGAGGAACGTTGCCCCATCCTGTGCTGTCATCACAGTTCCCACCAAGCCTGTGGTTACAGTCACCGTGCCAGCCCGTCTCCTGGACGGTCTTCCTCTCTTTCTCTGACCCTCTATTTCACCCAGCGTGACCTCTTTCTCCAAGGACTGGACCCTGACAATGTGCTCAAAGTATGTGAGGCAACATTTCACCATCCTTGCCTCTAATGAGCAAGTTACACTTCCTCCAAGACAAATTTATTATTCATTTTAATGAATGTTTACAGAGACTTTGGATTTCTGTTCATTCCTTGTTGCATTTTTTCCCCTGCCCCACCCCAGTTCCCTCTTTTCTTTGAAAAGTAAAATTCTCTCATTGGTATACAATTCCCCCCTTCCCGAGTCCACTCCGCTATGCAACCTTCATTCTGTACTCTTGTCATAACCATCATACCCAATCACATAGCCCTTTTAAATAGTTCTCTCCCTCATCTGTTTCAATGCAGTATACATAATTTATCCAATCTTTCTCAGTCTCTCCCTAACCCTGCTGTCAGTCCTGTTCTACAACAGTGGCACTATGCAGTATTTGCAAGACAGATTTTTTTAAAATTTTATTATTTTTTGTGTGTATATGTACCATCAAATCAGATCTGACTGGTACGGGAGGAGATTGTCCCTCCTCCTCCAGCAGAGCATCTGTGGATTCAACTGGCAAGACAGAGTTTTGACTGTTCCTGGTGGATACTCTTCTCCAGCATCACAACTCAAAAGTACTGGTGGCATCATCTATAGCCTGGCATGCTGCTAATCAAAAAGCCTCGCATCTCCAGTGGTTCGAATCCACTAGCAGCTCTTGTGGGAGAAAGATGGGCAGTTTCCTCCCACTAAGCGTTACAAGCTCAGAAACCCGAGGGAGGGTCACTGTGAGTCGAAATACACTCAACGGCAGTGAATTTGAGTGGTTGTGTTTTAAATTTTTATTAAATGTAGCCTCTTAAAATTTTCTCCTCTGTTCCATGAGCATGCCATAAGTCTCTAACTACTCCAGTTCAGTTTGGGGCAGGGGTGGGGGTGCTGGGATTGATGGGGAAAAAAATGTGATTCATAGGAAAAAAATGAACAAATTCCTGGAACATGGTTAAGAACTTGAGCATATCAGTGCTGTCCATGTGGCCTCATTCTATTTTATCTTTTGTTTTCCTACCATTTGTAATAGGTTATATGTTTTCTTTTCCTGTCTTTCAATTACATTGTGTTTATTTGACAACAGTATACACAACCAAACATACATCTATTCACAGTTTCTACACGAGCAGCTCACTAGCACAGATTACATACGTGATGCCATTGTTCTTGTCATCTCAGCCCACATTGCTTCTTCACTATTCATTTAGACTTCCTGCATTTTAAGGCTCTTACTTATATGCTTTGCATCAACTGTTGTGAGTTTACACTCAAGATAGCTGATTCATTACAAGAATGTTCAAAGGGAGCTCTGGTGGCAAGAAGCTGCACTGCAATTCCAGAGGTACACGGTTCAAATCCACTAGATGCTCCACTGGAGAAGGAGGGGCAATCTCCTCCTGTACCAGTCGGATCCAATTTGATGATACACACAAAAAAATAATAAGAGGGAAAAAATTTTTAAAAAGATGGTTCAAGGTGAATATTCTTTATTAATTGGGCTAAACTATGGTGGCCTAGTGGGTAGGGAGTTGTGCTGACAAACCCAAAGGTACTCGATTCTAATCCACAAGCTCCTTATCAGGAGAAAGATGGGAAGTTTCCTCCCATGCAGTTTATAACCTCGGAAACCAGACCAGAGGGTCAGCTATGTGTTGGTTCTGACTCTATGGCAATGAGTATAAGTTTTAAGTTTAGTGTTTAGTTAAACAGTTGCTTCACAGGATAGTTTTATTTCAGGGTTTGAAGATTATTTCCATTCATGGGTGCCCCCAGCCTCAGTGGCTCCAGGAAGTCTGGTTTCCGTGTGAGCTGGAACTTCTGTTCCGTGCATTCCCACCTTTGGATCCGGATCCATCTATTGGGCTTTTCATCAACATTTTCAGCAATGGTAGCCAGGAATGACCCATTTCTTCTGATCTCCTAGTAATGGATCTAATGCTTTGTGGAGGTAAAAGAACACACAATCCAGTCCCTTTCTTAATTCCTTGGTATCTTTCTTCCTCTGCTGTTCCAGGCAAATGGAGACTGACTCTTAGGTCATGAGTGGCTTCTCCTAAACTGTTAAGACCCCAGAGGCCACTTAACAAACTAAGAGGTAGAACCGAATCTGTCTCTTACCCTATTTGATATTTCTGGAATCTTTTGTGGGTCCCTCAGAGTCTGAGGAATCCAGTTTGAGAACCACTGATCTGGAGAACTAAGCCATCAACGTAGATTAGGTTAACCAGGTTGAACACTACTGCCCTGCTTCTGAATATAGCCTTGGACAAGTCATCTGACCTCAGTGTTTTAGGAAACTAAGCTCTGTGGGAAGAGTCACAAGGGGTCCCCTGCACATTCTAGGAAGTTTGTTGTATTTGTTGCAGGTGGCTAAATCCCACAGATTAGATGACGAGATAGAGCTACAGATAGACTAGTTGTTTACTTAACTGATAAGGTCATGTTAGCTTCAGGCATGGCTGGATCCAGGGTTCTCTCCCAGCATCTCTCAGAGCTCAACTGTTTTTTGTGTAGTGGTCTCTCCAGAAGAGTTGTCCCAAGACAAGCGACTAGGGATGATAAAGGGAGAATTGATGCCTTTGAGCTGTGGTGTTGGAGAAGAGTGTTGAATATACCATAGACTGCTAAAAGAACGAACATGTTTGTCCTGGAGGGGCCGAAGCCAGGCTGCTCCTTGGAGGCAAGGATTCTGAAGCTCCGTCTGACATACTTTGGACATGATGTAAGGAGTGACCAGTCCTTGGAGAGGGACGTCATACTAGGGAGGGTGGAGGGACAGCGCAGGAGAGGAAGATCCTCGATGAGATGGACTGATTCAGTCCACTGGGGTAATGAGGGTAGGTGTGTGGGAGACAGTAAGATTGGCAAGAGATAGAGCAGGGTTTAGGGCTGTTGTACATAGGGTCGCTATGAGTCACAGGGGACTTGAAGGTACATAACAATAACAACTAAGGGAACAGGGAGCACTTCTCTCCCAGAATCAATGAAGAAAATCCCAAGGAAGGGCTAGATTGAGTCACATGCATACCAGGAGCCAGTCCCAATGCTAGAGGCAGGGATTGGAGAACCATGAGTAAGGAGAGGAGCTACTCCCACAGAAAGGGGGGTACTGTTTTCAAAGGTGGAGGAAGTGATGTCAGTTTCCCTCTCACTACAAGCATATTCTGCCATGTTGTCCCTCCAGCCTGACACAATTGTAAGGAAGTGTCAGAATTCAAACAACCTGCCTGGTCTAGCTCTCTGTCTCACAGCTTCTGGCTTCTCCAGCTGGTTGTGAGCACCATAATCCTAATGTTGGAGCGAGCAGACAGAAACATTCCTTAGGATGGTTGGCAAAGCCTCTCATGGGCACACGGCGGGCAGGGAGGGGGAAGGAAAAATCAGGCAAAGACCTGACCCCGTCGTTTTCTGATCGGATTGATTACACGTAGAACAGACTTTGGTTTCTGAGATATTTTGCAACCACTCAGGGAAGGTGGGGGACTTTGGTGAGCAAGGTTACAAGCTCACTGGCCAAATCAGGTTCATTAATTGTGTTTGGTCTACATGATATTTTGGACTGGTTTTTTTTTTTTTTAAATAAGCTGCAAATATTTAAAACTCTGGACATGTCCCATTTGAAACGAACAAGATTTCTGACTTGAAATAAATTTGGCAGCACTGGTCCACCTCCCTGCCTGGCAACAGGAGGTGAGATCTGGGTAAAGGCTGTGCCATTGGACAGGGCATGTGCTCTTCACTTAACCACAGTTTTCAGCCCTCCCTTGTGTGTCCCCTAACTTACCTGACCTATGCTACTCCCTCATACCCTTGCCTCATTCTGTAGTCATTTGTGAGCTCTGCAGTGAATGACCTTCAGCTCAGAGACCAAAGTTTATACACCAGTCAGTCAGATCTCTTATTCCAAATCCCTGCTCTGTCCCTTCACCTTCAACACTGCTCAGCACTTCTTAGACCCTCAATCTCTTCTTCAGTAAAATGAATCTGATAAAAGCGTCACCTCTTAGACCCTCAGCCACTTCTCCAGTAAAATGAAGAATCTTCCTCAATCCTCTTGGACCCCCAATCTCTTTCTCCATAAAATGGAGAGTCTAGCTCTGGTGGCCTAGTGGTAAAAAGCGGCGCTGCAATCCTGAAGGCACAAGGTTTGAATCCAGCAGCTGCTTCCCAGGAGAAAGATGAGAAGAAGTCTTCCCCCGTCTGTCATAGTGTAATTAACTGTCTCTGAAAATCTGTTGGGGCCTCGGCTACTTGACAGTACACAACAACAATAATAAGTCATTAAACAGAAAGAGGTCTTGCTATAAAGGACTGGTTGGGGTGTCAGAATTAATGATAGCTTGTAGATCATCAGAGCTGGGAGAGATCCAGGGAATAGGAGCAGCCCCGTCCTTTGACACGCGGGAGGCTCATAGCACAGAGAGGCACCAGTCTGTTCAAGGCCACACAGCAAAGAGGAGGGTCAGCCCCAACATCACCCTCTCTTACAGCTGATGGCCTCAGGGAGGGCTCCCTCGCTGCCCTCACCTTTTCTCTTGTCCTGTAGTCCTGCTATAACTAAGGTTTTAGGCTGCAAAGCATCCTAGTGTCTTAACCCAGGACCAGAGCATGGCCCTCTGTGCCAGCATCTCTGGGCTGGTCAGTGCAGAGTCTGGGGCTGATCCCTAGTGGTGCTGTAACACAAATTACTGCTTTGGGAGGCAGCCTGGGCTGATGTCTTAATCTTGCTGGTTCGTAGCAGTGTGTTTGGGCCCGGTTCACTCTGACCCTCCATCTCTTCATCTGTGGAATGGAGATAGTACCTGGCTTGCTGGGTTCTTAGGAGTGCTTGACACATAGTGGGGCCGCATTCACACCCTCTTCTGTCATCACCCATGAGGAGGTGCAAGCAGAGTGCTCCCTGGAGGCAAAGATGGCAAAGCTTAGCTCATATTTTGGGCATGTTATTAGGAGTGGCTATTCCTTGGAAAGGGACATGATGCTTGGAAAAGTGGAGAAGACCCTCAACACGGTGGATTGACACAGTGACTGTAACAATGGGCTCAAGTGTGTCAGAGATGATGAGGACGGCACCGGAGAGCTGAGGGTCCAGGTCTGTTGTTCAGAGTACTTGACACGGGGTCACCTAACAACAACTCAATGATTGTCTCAAATGCGGGGGTCCCCTTAAAAACATCACGAGGAGTGAAGCCAGTTACATGAGGACAAATGAAATACTGTGTGATGTCACTTAGAGGAAATAAGCAAACAGACAGACCCCAAAGAGGATCGGCGGTTACTGAGGTGGTGGTGCAGTGGTTAGAGCACCCAGCGGCTAAACAGAAGGGCTGCTAAGTGAAAGATCCCACCAGCCACTCATTGGGAGAAAGTTGTGGTGCTCTGTTTCCGTAAAGGCTTACACAGCCTTGGAAACCCGTGGGGCAGTTCAACTCTGTCCTACTCCATAAAGATCACTTATGAGGCTACGTCCACGTTCAACAGTGGGCGTGATTTTTTACCTCAGAATGGGAGAGGGTAAAGGGGCATAATCTGAATCTGACCTGGGGAGCTTTTGAACGTATGCTGATGGTGGTAGAGTGTTTTGGGGGGAAAGAATAGGGCCAGAACAAAAGAATGCCTTTGAAGGGTGACGGTAGAGGCGATTATGCTGGGGCCACTTCTAAGATGTACGTTTGTCTCAAAATTAAATAGTGGGTCCTCTTCTCTCTCCCCCTTTCTCTCTCTCACATACACGTATTCAAGAAAAATGACCAAAAGAACAAACATCTTACAAATTAAAAAAAAAAAAATTAAATAGTGGGTTTGCTAGTTGACAGGAAGTGGGGTGTAAGGCTGGTTCCAGGCAAGGGCACCCATCCCCCTTGCTGGGAATATTACCTTTTAGTGTCTGGCCCTGCTACCGGCAGGCCAGCTGCCACCAGGCCAATTTCTCTCCCTCTCAGGTGCACCAGGACCTGTGACGGGGAAGCCAGCAGCCATGCCGAGGCCCAGGAGACAGTGGCCTTCCTGCCGACGCCAAAAGCTGAGAGGGGCCCCCTGCTGTGTGCCCTCTGGAGGGTGTCTCGCTCTGCTTTCCTCCTGGGCACCCTCTGCCTCATCATCGGTGACGTCTTCAGGTTCCTGGTGCCCAAACTCCTCAGGTAGGTCCGGACCGTGGGCATCTGTCTCTCGGAGGTCTGCTGTCCCTGCACGCTGTTCCTCCGCTGTCAGCGGGGCCTCACCTCTGAGTCTGCCCTCAGTTACTCTCTGTCATTAAGGGCCTGCTGGCCCTGGGCACCAGAGGGTAGGTGAGAGGGCTCCAGAGGGGGAGAGTGGCACATGAGAAAGCTGAGCTTAGTAAGAGAAGGATAATAAGCCATCAGTTAGTTTTTATGAGGTGACAGACCATCCCAAGAGTGCATGACTTAAATGGTAAAACCTTATTTACTTGGCTCAGGATTGGGCACAGCTCAGATTGTTCATGGGCTGCTTTGAGCTGTAATCAACTCAGTGGCATGTGTGTGTTGTATACCGTCCAGCAGGAACCCTAGCTGACCCTCCAGTGGATTTTCAGAGGCACTTAATCACAGGGCAGGAGATTGCCCATCCTTCTGCAGAGCTGCTGGTGGCCTCAAACCGTGTGCCTTCGGGATTGCAGGGCAGCTTCTCACCACTGGGCCACCAGAGCACCAGCAATGGCACCTGCCAGCATGATAATCTGGAAGCAGCAATCTGGACTGGGCTGCAGCTGGTCAGCTCCTCTGCTGTTAGTGGGCTCACTCCTGTGTCTGCGCTCAGCTGCTAGTTTGGCTGTGGACTGGCTGGTGTGAGGTGGTCTCGGCTGGAACCCCTGGTGTCTTGTTCACATGAGCTTCCGTGTTCAGACAGCCAACACAGGCTTGTTCCTCTGGCAGCTCGCTGGTGTCCCGGGAGGTTAACAAAAGATCCACACCCTTGTGGGCCTGAGCTCTGAACCGGCACTGCTATGCTCTGTCTTCTTCTGTTGGCCTAAACTGGTCACAGGGCCAGCCCAGACTCAAGGCATGGAGACAGAAACTACCTCTCATGGGGAAGGCTGCACACAGAGGAGGAATGGGCAGTGAGGGGTAACAGTTGTAGGCATTTCTCCTCCACACCTGGCCAAGTTAGGGCAAAGGTAATACAGGGTTCCCCTACTTTGACCAACTGTACCTTCTTCCTCTCTCACTAAGCCTTTTCCTGAAGTTTATTGGTGATCCCGCGGCCCCAGCCTGGAATGGCTACCTCCTGGCAGTACTGATGTTCCTCTGTGCCTGCCTGCAGACCCTCTTTGAGCAGCAGCACATGTACAGGATGAAGCTGCTGCAGATGAGGCTGCGGACGGCCATCATTGGCCTGGTGAACAGAAAGGTGAGCCCTGGCACCTGATGTCCCCACTTTCACCTGCGTGCAAAAGTTCCAGTGAAGAAGAGTGAGACCGCTGAGCTGTTAAATGTGAGGCCACTGAGCTGTTAAACACTGTCAGCGACTGCGAACTTACTCTCGTTACTCATATTCTTTCACCTCCTGAGCTAGTTCCCTAAGACCTTTAAATGATCTGACCCCTGAGAATTCATTTTCGTAACTCATATTCTGCTTTCACCTTCTGAGCTATTTCCCTAAGACCTTTAATGATCTGACCCCTCAGGATCTCTCTGAACTGAGTCACACATATAATGTCATTCACGCATCACACAACCTCACAAACACACGAAGCACCCTCCTATCTTAAGACCTTTGCACCTGCTACTCCATGGCCAGAAATTTCTCTCCCTCCCCCGTTTTTGTAATATGAAGGTTTACAAAGCAAATTTGTTTTCCATTCAGTCATTCATACACATTTTCTTTCGTACCTTTAATTATAATAATTAATTATAAGTAATTAGGAGTCTTTGATGGCCCAGTGGTAAGAAGCTGCACTGCAGTTTTGAAGGCATGCAGTTTGAATTTATCAGCCGCTTTGTGGGAGAAGGATGGGCAGTCTCCTCCCGTGCAATTAACTGCCTCTGAAAACCCACTGGAGGGTCACCCATGGGTCAGCTCCGACTCGATGGTACACAACAACAACAGTGTCATTGTACTTTATTCACTTACTCCCCATAATTCTCACCTCTGTTCATCCTTCTGTCCTCCTCCTGTCTGCCTTCTGGGAATTATCCTTGGACAAATGCTGCTATTTTGACCTTGTATTGTTGGTTATTCCAAGGAGTCCCTCCCTGGTGTTATTGGCCCCGTTATAGGCCTGCCTGTTGTTTGGTTGAAAGTGGAGCCTCAAGGTTGAGTTTTGTTCCAAGTTTGAAGGGTGGTAAGGTTCTATCCAGTCTCTATCAGACCCATAAGCCTGACCTTTGGAAAAGTGTTTTAGTTCTCTTCCACATTGTCCCCTACTCTGTCCAGGACTTTCTACCGTGATCTGTTTGAAAATGGTCAGCAGGGGTAGCTGGACACCAACTAGATCTTCTAGTCTCAGGGTCATAGAAGTTGGGGTTCAAGTCCATTGCACTAATTGCTTGAGGACATCTTTCCTTTTCTTTCTTCTTTTCTGTCTGGACAAGGAGGCACCAATAGTTACCACCTCGACGGCTGCTCGATATTGTTTAAGACCCCTGCCAGGACGTTCTGCTTGGTCTAATTAATTAACTTCCACTTGTGAAGAAAATGGTGAACTCTCTGGCTGAGTGGGGCCTGGATCAAGGTGGGCTGTCAGCCCTGCGGTGATAGAGTACATGGTCAAAATGACCCACTGGGTGATGGCTTGTGTCTGGACGGTAAGTCCTGTCATAGAACACAGCCTTGGGTGTTGGAAGCAAGTCCTACGACCTGACTTAGAGAAACACCAGCTGCTGTAGGGCCTGTGATAACGCAGCCAAGACAGCATCCCCAGTGACTGTTTCGTTCTCTCACACCTGAGCTGTCACCTGTGGGCAGCGGGACAAAGAGGACAGCTTGTGAATGAACATACCCTGTCGTTGAGCTGTGTGTCCCAGCCTGAGTCCTCTGTGCTGCGTGTAGAGGCTGTAGAGGAAGAATGAAACACACACACACACACACACACACACACACACACCCCGGTCCTGCACCATCTCCATGGTTGGTGCTGATTAGTCCCTGTGTCAGTCCATGTCACTGTGGCCCTTCCCACTTTGTCACCAGCCCTCTGCTTTCCCAGGCAGGATGCCTTTCCCCAGGGACCAACCTCTCCTGGTAACAATGCCCAAGGTATATGAGACGAAGCCTCACTATCCTCGCCGCATCCCGGCTTCATTTCTTCTGGGAATAGTTTATTTATTGTTCTCATCATCCATGTGAAGCTCAGCATCAAGAAAACAAAGATTGGGGAGCTCTGGTGGCCTAGTGGCAAGAAGCTGCAACTACAATCCCAGAGGTTCACGGTTCGAATCCACCAGATGCTCTGCCGGGGAAGGAGGGGCAATCTCCTCCTGTACCAGTCAGATCTGATTTGACGGTACACGCACACAAAAACAATAAAATAAAAAATAAAAAAAATATTTAAAAAAAAAAAGAAAACAAAGATTCTCACCACTGAGCCGATCGACAGCATCATGATAGATGGTGAAGAGATTGAGATTGTTGACAGCTTCAGTTTGCTTGGCTCTACAGTTAACACTCTTGGTACCAGCAGCCAGGAAATAAAAAGACAAATGCCATTGGGAAAGCCTGCTGTCAGAAACCTCTCTAAAGTACTGAAAGAGCAATGATGTCAGCCTGGAGACTAAGGTGCGCCTGATCCAGGCCATGGTGTTTGCAATCACTTGTTACGCATCAGAGAGTTGGACAATGACTAGGGAGGATAGAAAGAGAATTGATGCCTTTGAGCTGTGGTGCTGGAGCAGAGTGTTGAATATACCATGGACTGCTAGGAGAACAAAGAGGTTCGTCCTGGAGAGGGTGAAGCCAGGCCGCTCCTTAGAGGCAAGGATTCTGAAGCTTCATCTGACATACTTGGGACATGTTGCAAGGAGGGAGCGGTCCTTGAAGAAGGACTTCATGCTTGAGAGGGTGAAGGAAGACCCTTGATGAGATGGATTGATTAGGTGACTGCAGTAATAGGGGTAGGTGTGTCGGAGACAGTGAGATTGGCCCAGGACAGAGCAGGGTTTAGAGCTGTTGTACATGGGATCGCTGTGAGTCACAGGCAACTCAATGGCACATGACAACGACAACAGCTGTTCATGCTTCCTCACCAGCACCATGATTCAAAGCATCAGTTCTTCTGGTCTTGCTGTTCTGTGCTTTGTAACCAATTCGGGGTTTTAGCAAAGGAATAGATGCCCCTAATCCAGCTGCCTTCGGATCGATTCTGACTCGCGGTGTCCCTGAAGGACAGAGCAGAAGTGCCCCATGGCGTTTCCCAAGGCCGTAAATCTTCGTGGAAGCAGACTGTCACAATTTTCTCCTGCAGAGCAGCTGGTGGGTTCAAACCCTGATCTTCCCTTTAGCAGCTGTGTGCTTAACCACTGGACCACCAGGGCTCATTGGTAAAGGTGTGTTCAGTGAGGGAGCTTCTGCACTCAGACATCCCATCGCTTCTCCCATGCACCCAGCAAGCATTCCTTCAAGAAGATAGCAAATGGAATTTCGGCTCAACTGAGCCGGAGGTGGTCTACTGTGACCCAAGGACAGGGGCACGTTTGTGATCTCCAGGGAACAGACTGGTCTTTGGGAAAGCAAGAAATGACACAAACGACATGGTCAGTCTGTCTAGTCCACGCCGTGGCTGCAGTCCGGACGGGGCCTTTTATGAGCCTTCTGACAAGGCTCGTGACTTGGCTTCTCTGGGCTTCAGTTTCCCTAGCTGTAAAACATGAGTGGTGTCACTTCTCTGTGCCTCGGTTTCCTTGTCTGTAAAATGGGGGTACTCATTCTGTAACTCATTGATTTTAGTCTCTTTTTTGTTGCTGTGTATTTTAACTCATCTAGCAATGATTCACTCCTCGTTGTTATTGTTGTTGTCAGGTACCATCAAGTCTTCTACAACTGACAGCAAGCCCGTGAATAACAGATGGGATCCTTGCCCCTTCCTGCACCGACCTCCCAGTCTCCACCAGACCCAGGCCCATTGCAGTCACTGTATCAGTCCAGCTTGTTGGAGGTCTTCCTCTCTTCTTTTGCCTTTTGTGTTTGTTTGCTTTTTTTCTTTCTTTTCTTTTTTTTTCTTGTGTGTGTGTGTGTGTGTGTACCGTCAGATCAGATCTGACTGGTACAGGAGGAGATTGTCCCTCCTTCTCCAGCAAAGCATCTGGTGGATCCTAACCACGTACCTCTGGGGTTGCAGTGCAGCTTCTTGCCACTAAACCACCAGAGCTCCCTTCTGCCTTTTGCATGATGTCCTTTTTCTCAGGACTGGCCCCTCCTGGCAACAGACCCAAAGTAGATGTGACAAAGTCTCACCGTCCCTGCCTTCTCAGCGGCACCCTGACTGCATTTCCTCCGGGACAGACTCGTCTGTCCTTTTGGCTGTCCATAGACAATCAGTGCCCTCTGTCAACACCACAGTTCAAAGACGCTAGTTCTTCTTCTGTCATCCTTATTCATTGCCAGGCTTTCACATGCACAGGTAGTAATTGAAAAGACCAGAATCAGACACACCTGAGTCTTTAAACTGACATCCCTGATCTTTACAACTATACAGAGGTCCTTGACAGCAGATTTTCTCAGTGCAACGTGTCTCTTAATTTCTTGACTGCTGTTTCCATATGCGTTGACTGTGGATGTAAGGGAAATGAAACGGTTGTCAATTTCAGTCTTTCCCCCATCTATCATAATGCTGGCTGATGAACCAACGGTGAAGACTTTTGTTTTCTTACTGTTGAGAGCCCGTATTGAAAGCGGTTGTCTCTGACCTCCTGCAACAAGTGTCTGAAGTCCTCTTTACTTTCTGCAAGCCAAGAGGTGTCATCTGCATAATGCAGATTGTTAATAGCATCACGATTCCTCCCTTAGTGATATGAAAATAGGAATTGTTATCTCGATGGATTTCTTTTCTCTTTTTAAAAACTTTTCCTTTTTATTAATTTTAATGAACGTTTACAGGGACTTTGGATTTCCATTCATTCATTGTTGCACTTTTCTCTCTGCCCACTCCTTCCCCCAGTTCGCTCTTCTCTTTGAAAAGAAAAAGAAAAATTCTTTCATTGTTATGCAATCCCTCCCTCCAAGTCCACTCCACTGTGCAGCCTTTGTTCTGGACTCCTGTCATCACAATAATACCTAATCATATATCCCTTTTAAACAATTCTCTCCCTCATCTGTTTGAAACACGATAATATCTCCTACACGTTGATGTTGTCAGCCTTTCCAGAAAGAAGGAAGCTCCTTGTTTAGCACTGTGCCTGAGATGTAAAATCAAAACCAAACCTCATTAGAGTTGACCCTGCCTCATTGTAACCCCGTGTACATCAGAGTAGGACTGACCCCTGTAAGTTTCCATGGCTAATATTTCAGAAGTTGATTACCAGGCCTTTCTTCCGAGGTGTTTCTGAATGAACCCATTTTCCAGATAAGGAAACTGAGGCTTCAAAGGAGAAGAGACGTTGTCCGTGACAATACAGGCTTGCTTGGTGGTCAAGTTCTCGTTCTGTCCTCACTGTGGAATGCCCTCCTCCATGCTGCCCTTCTTACCCCCCACTTTCTCTGACTTCAGGCCTCTCCTCCTGCCCCTGCCCAGGTCCTGGCTCTGTCCAGCAGCTCCAGAAAGGCCCGCGCCGTCGGGGACGCAGTCAACCTGGTGTCTGTGGACGTGCAGCGGCTGACCGAGAGCATCCTCTACCTCAACGGGCTGTGGCTGCCGCTTGTCTGGATAGTTGTCTGCTTTGTCCTCCTGTGGCAGGTGTGACGGGGTGGGGAGACGGCCACGCAGAGCGCCCCGCTCTTCTGTCTGCACAGTGAGACAGGCAAAGGGGACAAGGTTTCAAGTAGGGTAGGATGAGCTTGATGTCACCCTCTCTGGGCCTCAGTTTCCTTGTCTGTAAAATGGGAACAATGTGATATTCTTTGCGTATGGTGCCGAGCATCTATTATGGAACGGTAGGATATCCCGAAGGCACCAGGGAAGCAGCCAGAAAAAAAGGGAAAACTCGGGGAGGGGGGACACTTGGCTGCTTAGTTTACACTATGAGTCTGTACGGAATTTCATTGGGAACTCAAAGGCAGCTTTTTTTTTCTGGTAGATCAAATCCACCTTGCTCTGCGGGAGAAAGATGGGCAATCTCCTCTCATGCAATTTGCAGTGTCTCGAAAGCCTGCTGGAGGTTCAGCTGTGAGTTGGTCCCACCTCAATAGTAATGAGTTTGAGGGTTTTTTAGTTTAAAGCGATCATCAGGCTAAAACTCAGGGCTTTATCTTGACTCCCTTGTATTTTGTGGTTCTGCAGGTGGGTTTGTCTTTTGGGTACTTCTCTATATCGCCACTTGGTGGCGCCATTGCCGCACAAATCTAATAAACTTGTTTGATTCGCAAGGATCAATGAGAAAACTTGTTCCTGAAAGTGAATACCTGAAATAGAGGCCCAGACTAGCAGTGAGCTTTGTCTGTTTCTTCATCCCACCCTCCTTCTCAATTTCCTGAGCATAAACCAAAGCTGAGAAAGAGTGCGAATGTCCCAAAGTCAACAGAGTTGGATGGGTGGGGGGTGGGTAGGGTTGCCAGATAAAAACCAGAAGACCTGGTTACATTTGAATTTCAGGTCGAATCTATGAAGCTCAAATTCACCTCTGTAGAGTCGGTTCCAATTCCTAGTGTCCTTCGATTGGGTTTCTGAGACTGTGGGTAACAACGGCAGCTGGTGGATTTGAACCACGGAAGATGCACACAGCCTTTTGATTGGCAGTGCAAACACAACAGACTACACCTCCTGAGTGCCTCATTAAGACGAACAGTAGTTAATTTCTCAGTATAAGTACGTTCCAAATAAGGCATAGAGTATGCTGTTGTTCTCGTTATGGACCCTCAGGTTAGAACTGACTCCAGCAGGTTTTCTGAGGCTGCGAGTCACATGAGAGGAGATTGCCAATAATCTCCAGTGGAGCAGCTGGTGGATTCGAACTGCGTGCCCCCTCAGCCCCTAGGTCACCACTCTATATATTTATGCTAGAAATGTATTTGCTGTTTATTTGAAATCCAAATGTTATCACGCACCCTGTATGTTTATTTGCTAAGGAGAGCCTGGTAAAACTCACTCACTGCTATCGAATCAGCACTGACTTGACGCTGACCCTCCAGGTGGTTTGTGGAGGCTGTAAATTGCGCGGGAGGAGACTGGCCGTCCTTCTGTCTTAGAGCTGCAGGTGGATTCGATCCACCAGAGTGGAGCCACGCTTGGATTAGCAGCATAACTCTGTATGGACTACATCAGAGCTACTGCCATACTAACAGCTCTGCAAAGGGGGTGAATAAAGACTAGGACAAATCAGATAACCTGAAGCTGGTAGAGTGTGTGTCTGATCTTCAATGCGTTTCATGCATTCGTCTTTGGGGTACTTCTCTATGTCGCCACTTGGTGGCGCCATTGCTGCACAACTTCAATAAACCAATAACAATAGCGTATGTTTAGTAGTATTATTCTTGTTATATATTATTTTATTATTTATTAATGTCTTATATAGTTTATTTATTACATATTTATTGTTTTAAAATATTTATTATCTATTTAATGTATTATTTTATAATATTTATGATTTATTATTATTGTTATTTTATTATTATTAAACCAGGTTTATTGTAGTTATGGGGCAATGGCGCCACCAAGTGGCGACATAGTTCCTGTTAGCTGCTCATGTGACCCCATGTACCTAAGGCACACACATCCCTGTGGTCATTTGCCATTGAACCACTGACTGGGTTTCAGCAGCAGAGCCCCAGGCCTTGTTTTCTAGTCCACCTTAGTCTAGAAGCTCTCCTGACACGTGTTCAGCTTCATAGCCACATGCAGCCCCCACTGACAGGTAGGTGGTAACTATGTGCGAGGTGCCGTGGCTGGGAATTGAACTTGGATTTTCTGCATGGAGGGTGAGACTTCTACCGCTGAGCTACAATGCCTCAATGGGTTTCCATTTCACAGGTGAAGTGATAGAGCTACAGGTTTGGAAGGCTTGTCCAGCACCACACCAGTCAAATCCTCAGCAGCCAGCCAGGATTTGAACCCAGGTCCTGATCTTAGAGTTCTCGGCCTCAGTCTCTTGCCCTGCGCATCGTGATGCACATCTTAAATACAGCTCACCCCCCAGGATAGAGGGACCCAGTTTCCTCAGGACTCGCACTCCATGGACCCCATGGCCTTAGTCTTTCTACTCTGGAAGCTGTCACCCCCCATCTGACCGGTTCCCCACCTCAGGGCCCACTGTGAGCTGACCAAGCCCCTCCTGTCCCTTCTCTCTCCAGCTCCTGGGGCCCTCGGCCCTCACCGCCCTCGCCGTCTTCCTGAGTCTCCTTCCGCTGAACTTCGTCGTCACCAAGAAGAGGACCCTCCACCAGGTTTGCCTTGAAAGAAGGGGAGCTCTACACAGGTGTCCTGAGTTCTAGGGGTGGCACCTGCCCTCCAGGCCAGCCTTGGTGCAGGAGGTAGTGAAGGCGGGGGACCTTTCCAAGGCTGACTCTCAAATCTTGTCCCTGCTCTGCCCCATGTTGGTGGGAAGTGGCCCCAGCCCCTCGTGTGCAGACGTCCTCTGTCACACCCACAGGGATCCAGCCTGCCCATCCCTGCAGACCCCCACGCTCCTGCTCTGCACACTCCCCACACCGTGGAGTCTTGCTGCTCCGTTTGTCTGCATCTGTGCTGCCCTCTCCCTCCTCGCCCTCCTCCCTGGCCCCCTTCCTTCCTCTCTACTCTCTTCCCTTCCTGCATTCATTCTCCCCTCACCTCTCTTTCCTCCTTCCCACTTCCTTCTTCTCCCTTCCCACTCTCCCTCCTCCTCTCCTTCCTCTCTCCATTCCTTTTCACCTCTCTTCTATCCTCCCTCCACTCCCTTCCACACTCATCCCCTCCTTTCTCCCTTCCCTCCTCCCCTCCTCCTCTCCTCCCTCTTCCTCATCCACCCTTCCCTCCTCCTCTCCTCCCTCTTCTCCGTTCTCCCTTCTCTCCTCCTCTCCTTCCTCCCTCCCCTCCTTCCCACCTCTCTTCTATCCTCCCTCCACTCCCTTCCTCCTCTTTTCCCCCTCCCTCCTCCGTTCCCTCCTCCTCTCGTCCCTCTTCTTCCTACTCCCATCCCTCCTCCTCTGCTCCCTCCCCTCCCACCTCTCCCCCCTTCCTTCCCTCTTCTCCTTTCACATCACCGCCATTCTGCGGTGTCACCAGGAGGGTGTGGGGTTTCAAGCTGTCCTGGGGGACATCGTCAGAGAGTGACATCAGCATGACTGTCTATAATACTTGTGCAGTGTTTTAGAAGATACTAATTTTTATAAAACTCTCCTGTAACAACAAAAGCAGAGTTTTTGTCAGCCCAGCTTGAGTGTATATTCACACACCTGAAAGGCCAGGAGCTCTGGGCTGACCTGCTTTGTGTCTTCTCCTGAACTCTGTCCGATCAGAGCTGCCTTGCCTCCCTGATCATGTTGACACATTGAGGAGCGTGGTTTTGTCCGCATGCACTACGAGCACACACTGTTGTTTTCAGTGCTCCTGATGTTTTTATAGTCACTGATTTCTGTCAAATTTGTGGTATTTTATCTATAATATTATAATAATTAGTGTAGATGTTGTTATGTGCCGTCCAGTTCTTTGCGACTCATAGCGACCCTATGTACAATAGCCCTAAATCCTGCTCTATCCTGTGCCAGTCGCACTGCCTCTGACACACCCATCCCGATTACCCCAGTCACTGAATCAATCCACCTCATAGAGGGTCTTCCCCTCCTGCACTGTCCTTCCACCCTTCCAAACATAATGTCCCTCTCCAAGGACCTGTCCCTCCTTACAACATGTCCAAAGTATGTCAGACGAAGCCCCAGAATCCTTGCCTCCAACCTGGTTTAACCCTCTCCAGGATGAATCTGTTTGTTTTCTTGGCAGTCCATGGTACATTCAATACTCTTTTCCAGCACCACAGCTCAAAGGCATCAGTTCTCCTTCTATCCTCCCTAGTCATTGTCCAACTCTCTGATGCATAACAAGTGATTGCAAAGACCATGCCCTGTATCAGGCACACCTTAGTCTCCAGAGAGACACCATTGTTCTTGAGTACTTTAGAGAGGTCCCTAACAGCAGACTTTCCCATCACAATACGTTTTTTAATTTCCTGGCTGCTGGTGTCAAGAGTGTTGACCGTGGAGCCGAGCAAACTGAAGCTGTGAACACTCTCAATCTCTTCACCATCCATCCTGATGCTACCAATTGGTCCAATGGTGAGAATCTTTGTCTTCTTGACAGTGAGCCTCAGTCCATACTGAAGGCTGCAGTCCTTGACCCTCTGCAGCAAGTGCATAAGGTCCTCCTCAGTTTCGGCAAGCAGGGTTGTATCATCTGCATAATGCAGATTGTTAATAGATCTTCCACCAATCCTGACGCCACACTTCTCCTCATAGAGCCCAGCCTCTCAGATAATCTGCTCTGCATACAGGTTGAAGAGGTATGGAGATAGGACACATCCCTGGCGTACACCTTTCCCAATTTTGAACCATGCAGTGTTACCCTGCTCTGTTCTGACTACTGCCTCCTGGTCCAAGTATAGGTTTCACATTAGCACGATTAAATAAATGTTCTGGGATTCCCATTCTTCTCAGAGTCAGCCACAGTTTGTTATGATCCACACAGTCAAACACCTTTGCATAATCAATGAAACACAGATAGACATTCTTCTGGTATTCCCTGCTTTCAGCTAAGATCCATCTAACATCAGCTACAATATCGCTAGTACCACTACCCCTTCTAAACCCAGCCTGGACTTCTGACAGTTCTGTGCTGATGTGCTGTTCCAGTCGTTTTTGGATAATCTTCAGTAGAATCTTGCTTGCATCAACTTATGTTGTTTTGTGCCGTCAAGTCGGCACTGACCCATAGCTGACCCTCCAGCAGGTTTTCAGAGGCAGTAATCCCACGAGAGGAGATTGTCCGTCCTTCTCCCTTGGGACTGCTGGCAGATTTGAACCACGTGCCTTTAGGATTGCAGCACAGCTTCTGGCCACTAGGCCAATTAATAGACTTCTAGCAAGCATTGCACAACATGTTCTAGACAGTCATTTGGTGAGAGACTGAAGAAACAAAAAAGAATCAAAAAGGCTTCTCTGCACAGTTACTGACAATGTTATAATTCAATGTGGTTAGATCTTACAGTTTTGTTAGAATTCACATCACCTCAGAAATTCTACGTTTACACAATTGCACTCATTTATTGCTGGTGAATCAGAACTGACTCAAGACTGATTCTCCTCCGTGTTTCCAAGGCTGGGATTTGTACAGGAAGAGATTGCCCATCTTCCTCCCCCGGGACCACTGCTGGATTCAAACCACAGCCTTTGGGTTGGCATTGCTACTCTCTGTGAACTAGGCCACTGGCGTTTCCTGAATACATTTTACAGCCCTATCCCGTGTTATTCCATGATTTATAGTGAGATAAGAGCATGACTAAGGATTCTGTGATTTGTTCTGGGAGGAGACCCGTGGGAGTGGGGGTGACACTGATCCTGGTAGCACCCTGCTTGTTCCTAGTATGCTTGGCAGCACGTGGCTTAAGCTGGAATTGAGATGTCACCTCCTCCAGGAAGCCTTCCTGATGGCACCACATAGGTGGCAGGGGACGTGCTCTCTCCTTTGGCACCGGGGGTCCCCTCCATGTGGCAGTACCACCCTGAGAGGAGAGAGTGGGTGCGGGCAGTAGTCCAGGTGGGAGGGCATGTGGCTCTGGCCAGGGTGTATGGCAGAGCCTGGGGCACGGTCTGGAGATAGAGTCACAGGATCTGCCAGCGGGTGGCTGTGAGGCTGGAGGGGAGTGGGGGTTCTAGGCCCCAGCCCTCCTTTCTCCTGTGATCCCAGGAAGAGCAGATGCTTCAGAAGGACGCACGGGCCCGGCTGTCAAGCTCCGTCCTCCGGAGCGTGAGGGTCATCAAATTCCACGGCTGGGAGGAGGCTTTCCTGCAGCGAGTCCTTCACATCCGGGCCCGTGAGCTGCGCGCCCTGCGGAACTCCGGCCTCCTCTACTGTGTGTCCCTGGCGTCCTTCCACATGTCCACGTTCCTGGTGAGGTCACTGCTCTCACTGCAGAGCATGGGGTCGGGGTGAGGGGAGGAGGAGGTTCTGGACACAGTGAGGTGGGGTCCCAGGTCCAGTGACATGCCCTGCCCCTCAGAACCTGCTTGTGCCCCCACCCCAGCTGTCCCCAAGCAGTCACACCATTCCCAGCAAGCGAGCACTCCCTTCCCATCTCTTCCTGAAAGGAACCTGGTGGTGCAGCAATTAGAGCATGGTGCTGCTAACCAGAAAGTGATGAGTTCAAGTCCACCAGCTATTCTGAGGGGAAAAAATTGAGGCAGCCCCTTCTGTAAAGCTTTACAGCTTCGCAGACCCCGTGAGACGGTTCTAGCCTGCCCAGTGACCACTGCCAGTCAGAATTGACCCAGCAGTGACACGTTTGGGATTTTTCCTCCAAAGTTTCCACTGGAATGCAGAGGTGGTTACAGGTACAGTGTTTGCCCTGGTAGAAGTGGCCTCTGTGGCACTGCCACGTTCCACAGCGCCCCCTCCCAGGACTGGGAGCCTCTGCTTCCTCTGTTTATCCTCAAGTGGCTGCTGACGTGGCCTGCCGGAGGTTAAGCTTTGATGGCAGGCACGTCCCTGATCACACACCGCCAGTGGCTCCCAGAAGAATTCACACTCTTCATAAACATTCAAGGCTGGTGAGACGCAGGCCTTCAACATGGTTTCTACCACGATCTGACCACAGGGATCGTCTGTAGAATTCTAGACCGCAAACACAGTGTGCTAACACAGCTATGTGGCCCAGTCCTTGGACCCGGGAGACCTCCCCAGCTCACATCCTGAGTCACCATCACACCAAGTGGACAACATGCTAAGTGACATCCCCCTCAAGTGTCCATCACACCCACTGACCATCATATCAAGGGTCCAGCCCATCAGGGACTCTCACACCAAGTGGTCAGGACAAGTGACCATCAGCCCTCTTGATCTCTACACCAAAGGAGCATCACATCTGGGGCCCATCAGAGAGAGTGTCAAGCCAAGTGACCATCACGAAATGTGATCATCACCCCACATGGCTGTCGTATCAAGTTGTTGCATCAAGGGACAGTTAACCCAGTGGTCATCTTACCGAGTCGCCAAAATGACGCCTATAAATATCAGCAACATCTGGTCCCAGCCATCCCCTAGTGACCTCTACACCCACAAATGCCACCCATGCTGACAGCCTTCAGCGTCGCTAATAGTTACAACACCCGTCTCAACCCCAAAGGGGTTCTGTTGTTACGTGGTATTGAGTCAGAACCGACCCATAGCTGGCCCTCTGGTGGGTTTTCAGAGGCTGTAAATAGCATGGGAGGAGATTACCTATCTTTCTCCTGAGGTGGATTTGAACCACCTGCCTTTGAGTTGGCAACAACAGCTCCTTACCCACTAGGCTGGCCACCAGAGTTCCAATACAAAGGGATTCTAGAATCGCTAAGATCGTTGTTTCTAGAACCAGCAAAATACTCAACACTCAAACTCATTACCATCGAACTGGCACCGACTCACAGCCGACCCTCCAGCGGGCTTCAGAGGATGTAAATCCCACTGGGGAGATTGCCCATCTTTCTCCATTGGATCCAGTCATGGATTTCAACCGCCAGAGAGGCTCAACCTCTGCATTAGTAGCACCTGTGGACCCCCGCTATAGACGGTCCCACTAGAGCTCTCCACAAAAATGCTACCAATATATGAAATCACAGTGTAGCCCAGTTACCTAGAACCAAGAGAGCTTCTGGTCCCTTAGAATGATGAGTCCTTATGGTCTTTCTCTTTCATCAATGAACTCAATTATTTTTTTATTTTATTTTATTATTTTTCGTGTGTGTACCATCAAATCAGATCTGACTGGTACAAGAGGAGATTGGCCCTCCTTTTCTAGCAGAGCATCTGGTGGATTTGAACCATGTACCTCTGGGATTGCAGTGCAGTTTCTTGCCACTAGGCCACCAGATGAACCTGATTATTTTAAGAGTTTGAATATTTAAGAGTTTAAGGTATTTTTTTTAAAAAAGAGTTTAAGGTATTATAATTACATCACCTTCTGACCTGGGAGCCTAATGGCGAGATAGTTAAAGCACCCAGCTGATAATGGAAAGATTAATAGTTTGAACCCATCAGTGACTACATGAGAGGAAAGACCTGGTGACCAGCTCCCGGGGTCAGTAAAGGCTGGGAACCCTGCTGGGCCAGGTGGTCTCTGTCCTTTAGAGCAGCTAAGAATTTGAATTGACCTAGTGACACACAGCAGTGACCTCAGAATGAGGCCTGAGGTCAGAGAGGTAAAGGAATTTGGGGTGATAGCTAAGCCGTGAGAGGCTCATTCCCACAGCGTGTGTGCTGGGCCGTGGGAGACGCAGAGCTTGCCCGGGTTCCTTGGCCAGGAATGACCACCTCCTCGTCACCCGCCCCATGTCTTACCCAGGTCGCACTGGTCGTGTTTGCTGTCCACACTCTGGTGGCTGAGGAGAGCGCCATGGACGCCGAGAAAGCCTTTGTGACGCTCACAGTTCTCCACATCCTCAACAAGGCCCAGGCCTTCCTGCCCTTCTCCATCCACTCTGTCGTCCAGGTGAGGCGAGGAGGGGAGGCCGTCCTGGAAGAGCCTTACAGGAGGGTCAGCTCTGCCGGCACTGGGTCCACCCTCTCCTCACCGGCCCACTGTCAGCAAAGGGGAAGTGGGGAGGGAGGAGGGGGGACGTAACCTTTGTTCAGATGGCAACATGGTGACCTCAAGATGGACAGGCAATCCCACAGTCATCCCCTTTCCTTTCACGCAGAGCAGTCATAGTTCCCATTCTTTTTTCTCTGTTTTCAATTCAAATCGTGCCCAGTGACGTAGTGGGAGTAAGAAGATAATTGGACCACCCAGCATCCATATTTCAAAGGCCGCTTCTTTAGTCAAAGAGGTGTGGGGTTTGCTGAGATATAGGAACTCCCAGGGCGACAGAGTTTGAGATTAGTTCTTATAATGACTGATGACACTCTGAAAAGACACCACCAGCCCCTTCCCCAGTTTTGTCTTCAGAATAGCAGGTAGTTTGTTCCAGTTATGAGGGGTGAGGCAGTGGAGGGGAGAGTCACCATGGTGGTCACCTCTGCAGAGTGTACTGTGTGCATAACCGAGCAAGCCCGGACTTGTTGTTGTTGTTGTTGTTGTTAGATGCCAGTGAGTCAACCATGACTTACAATCTCATAGTGACTCTGTGAACAGATCTGAATCTCTCCCCGCCCAGAACCATCTTCACTGCCTCTGATAAACTCGAGTTCATTATTATACTCACTGGATCAGTCCATCTTTTTAAATTATTATTTTGTTGTTGTTACATGCTGTCGAGTCACCTGCGACTCATAGCGACCCTATGTACAATAGCCCTAAACTCTGCTCTATCCTGTGCCAATCACACTGTCTCCAACACACCTACCCCCATTACTCCAGTCACTGAATCAATCCACCTCACAGAGGGTCTTTCTCTTCTATGCCATCCCTCCACCCTCCCAAGCATGACGTCCCGCTCCAAAGACGGGTCTCTCCCCACAACATGTCCAAAGTATGTCAGACGAAGCTTCAGAATCCTTGCCTCCAAAGAGCAGCCTGGCTTCACCCTCTCCAGGACCAACTCATACTAGTTTATTTACAAAATTCGAATACATTGTCTTCCAGTCCATCTTTCTGAGGGTCTTCCTCTTTTCCTCTGATCCTTCCTGCACCCTTTCCCAGCATGCTGTCTTCTTCAAAGGACTGGCCCTCCTGAGAACACACCCCAAGTATAGGAGAGGAAGTTTGATTATCCTTGATCCTAAGAATTCCCAAATGCTTGGAGCTCAGTGGACATGGAATCCCGTCCATTGTGGGGCTGGCAGCACTGGAAGCCCAAGATGTTTGCTCTCGGCGTTGGTGACCTGGGCTTTTGGTTTCCGCAGGCCACGGTGTCTTTGGAGCGCCTGGTCGCCTTCCTTTGCCTGGACGAGGTTGACCCTGGCGCTGTGGACTCAAGTGCTCCTGGATGCTGTGAGTTCTGACTCCAGTGTGGGCAGGGTGTGGGGGATTGTGGGGCTCCCCTAGTCCTCACTGGCGGGGGGACACTGGGGCATTCAGGAGCAGAGGGTAAGTTCACCTCTTGTCACCCACCGTGCAACTTGGAAGCAAGCCCGTGACACGGCTCTTGCTCCCCGCCGTGTCACAGCTGCTCACTGAGCACCTACTGTGTGCCACCCTGGGTATGCAACAGTGAGCAGAAGGGACCCATATTTTGTTCGGGGAGACCAGCATGGTGACACTTCAACTCTGAAATCCCTGTCATTTCAGAGGAGCACCATTGTACATGAGGCACTTGTAGCTCTTGTTGCCGGGCCTCCCGACTCTACCTCATCCATTTTTAACCCCACACCTGTGGGTCCAGTGGCATTAATTACCACATGGGAAGGCTACTTGTCACTAGGCCAACTCCCATTCCCTTATTATCACAGAGATAGCCAGCCTGCTTACCTGGAGATCACTAGCGTGTCCAGCTGGTCATGTTAGATGACCCGGGACCCAGTCACACCCCTCAAAGAAGTATGATGAGCTATTAGTCTCTCAGAGCCTCAGTTTTTCTATCTGTGAATAGGGTTGATAACAGCATCTCTGACATAGGGTTGTTGTAAGGATTGAATAAGTCCATATAATACTGCTTTAAGAGTCAAGCCAGGAACAAAGTGAAGTTCTATATTATTTTATAATCACTATGACATTCTAGTTGTTTTATGATAACTCTGTAATTGTTATGTGCCGTGAAGTCAGAACCAATTCATAGCCAATCCCCCAGCAGGTTTTCAGAGGTTGTAAACCACTCGAGAGGATATTGTGCATCGTTCTTCCTCAGAGCTTCTGGTGGCTTTGAACTTCCTGCTTTGGGATTGGCAGCGCAACTCCTTACTCACTAGGCCACGAGAACTCCCTACAGTAAATCTAAGCTAGTTACTGTAGTTAGTATTAAAACTCATTTTCCTTATGCTTGACACTGATTTTTGTTATTGTTTCAGTTGGTTCTTTAATAATTCATAGAAAAATAGATACATAAATAACATGGAAGTGAGGAAGAAAGTCTTTGTTGTTGTTGAAAAATTAAAATAAAAGGAGACAATACAATAAAATTAAAACAATCAATGAAAGGTAACCCAAACCTCAAACTTCTAGCTGTGATGTTGGAACTGACTCATGGCTGACCCACTCTTTTATAGATATTCAGAAGCGGTAAGTTGCAGGGAACCTCTGGTGACCTAGTGACTAAGGAGCTGTCTTGCCAACACAAAGACGTGTGGTTCAAATCCACTACTACCCCATGGGAGAAAGATGAGTGATCTTTTCTTGTGAGATGTACAGTCTCTAAAAACCTACTGGGGGATCAGCTATGGGTCAAATCTGACTCGACAGCTCATAACAAATCACAAGGGAGGAGATTGCCCGTGTTTTTCCTGCGGAACAGCTGTAGATCTGATGGTGGATTCGAACTGCCCACCTTTGGGTTGGTGGTGCAACTCCTTACCCGCTAGGCAACCAGAGGTAAAAGAAGCAATAAATGGGAAGGCCCACTGCAGGCAATGCTCATCATTTCTGGTCCCTGTTTATTCTGGATTTACTGACACCAGAGCACATTGCTTCCGCCTCTACCATACAATAAGATAGTTGAGCTCTGGAGGCCTAGGGGGTAAGGAGTTGCACTGCCAACCTAAAGGTTGGCAGTTTGAAGTCAACAGTTGCCCTAGGAGAAAAAGATGAGCCCTCTACTCTCCTGTGATTTACTGCCTCTGAAAACCAACTGGAGAGCCAGCTAGAATTGGCTCTGACTTGACAGAACATAACAAGAAAAAGATGACAGATTAGATTTCTGATGTGCTTCAGAAGCCAGCCATCTCCCTGCTAAAATATATCTTTATCTCTTCTAACAACTACGGAGAAGGAGGTGATTATAACACAGCACATTCGGGCACCAGTAAACACTTGTTGTCCTGGGGAAATCAGTGCCACAACCACCCACCCTTCTAAATATCTGGATTGGGCGACACATATCAAGGATTCCACCCCTTCTCTGGGAAAGGCCAGGCAGGGCATATTTTAGCCTTAGGAGAATCTCTGTCCATACTATTCAGCTCTACCTTTGGAGTGAGAAAGCAGCCACAGATAATTCATAAACGAATGGATAGGTTGCTTACCAATAAAACTTTATTTACAAAATGAGGTAGCGGGCAGGATCTGGCCCTTGAGCTATGGCTTGTTTACACCTGAGTTCTATAGATGTTTAACAGGGCAAGTATGTGGCCTCCATAGCAACACACAGGGAGCCTGGGAGGAGGAGCAGACTGGTTTGTTCCCACTTACCAGCTGTCTCTTGGGGGCCAGTACTAGGGTGTCTCCCTGAGAGGCCGAGGACCCGAGCAACCAGCCCTTCCTGTCCTCCAGCTTCTGCGAATGGCAGTATCGCTGTGCACCGTGGCACCTTCGCCTGGTCCCAGGAAGGCCCTCCCTGCCTGCAGAGGTACTGAACGGCGTCCCTGCTAACACTCTGCATTTTACAGGGTCTCCTGCTACTTCTCATACGAGATGGTGGGGAGCTTCCACTTGGAACCAGAGCCAGCGCTGGGCTGGGCTAGGCTTTGCATGGGGAGATTTTTGTGATTCCAGTCCTGAAGCAGTGTCTAGAGGAAGGAAAAGCTTATAGTGGAGTGAGAAGCAAGTATGGGCAATCCGCTTCCCTGCGTTTTGCAGGCTCATGAAAACCCACTGGAGTGTCAGCTATGAGTAGATTCTGTCTTAATGACATTGAGTTGAGTTGACTTGTCCACCAGGAGGAGATACCCAGGCTGGTCAAAGTGGAGCCATGAAAACCTGGCCAAGAAATGTCCCAAACTCAGTCCTACCTGTCTCCTCCTGTTAAAGTCCTCAGGCCACTGTCGCTTCTAGTCTCCATTTCCTTGACTACTTCTAACAGAAAACCCAACCCAGCTCCCAGATTCACTAAGAAGAATAAGAAGGTTCAGTGCACAGTAACACACACACATGAAGCTGTTGTTTAATTTTTTAAATTATTTTTATTTTGTGTGTGTGTACCGTCAGATCTGACTGGTACAGGAGGAGATTGTCCCTCTTTTTCCAGCAGAGCAGCTGGTGGATTCGAACCCCATGCCTCTGGGACTGCAGTGCAGCTTCTTGCCACTAGGCCATCAGAGCTCCCTTTATTGTATAAATTCTTACTTAAACCAAACCAAATGCCAATTTATACTCTTCCGCAGGACAGAGCAGAACTGGCCTGTAAGACTTCCGAGGCTGCAGTCATTACAGAAGCGGCCAGATGCCTCTTTCTCCATGCAGCAGCTGGGGGGTTTAAATACCTTCCTTTTGATTAGTGGAGCTCTTAACCCCTGCATCACCGGGGCTCCTTTGATTCCTGCTTGTGCCTGACCTTTCAGAAGTGGATCCCCATGCCTTTCTTCCAGTGCACACCTGTGCAAACAATGCCAGCCTTCAATTATCAGCCAGGCGCCCACCATTGGCACTGCATAGGACTCTACCCTGCACTGTAGTTCTACCATCATTCATTCATTCCATACTATTTATTGAGCACTTGCTATATGTCAGACCCTGTTCTGGGGATATCACTGTGAATAAGGTAAATGAGATCCCTGCTCTCTGGGGGCTGATAGTCTAATGCGGGGGCACCAAGAGATAATCGGAGTGATAGGCAGAGTGTGATGTTTTTTGGGTTTTGGGTTTTTTTTAATTTTTTAATTATTATTTTTGTGTGAGTGTACCGTCAAATTAGATCTGACTGGTACAGGAGGAGATTGTCCCTCCTTTCCCAGCAGAGCATCTGGTGGATTCGAACAATGTGCCTCTGGGATCGTAGTTGCAGCTTCTTGCCATTAGGCCATAGAGTGTGATGTTAAGGGTTATTTTAGAACAGGAAGTGAGAAAGGGCCTGGAATTTAAGCTGAGATTGTAATGAAGAGAGGGCAGGAGCCTGATAAGTGTCTGGGAAGGAGCTTTATATGCAGCAAAAATAGCAAGTGCAAAGGTCCTGTGGCAGACTGTGCCTGGACCAGGCTCCCTCCGCCTGGGAACTGCTGACATGTGGACTGATGCTTCTTTGTCGTGGGGTCTGCCCTGTGCGTTGGAAGATGCATAGCAGTATCCTTAGTCATTTAACTGCTAAACACCAGGAGTAACCCCTCCTGGTTTAAACAGCCAGAAAATGTCTCCAGATATTACCAACAACCCCCTGGGGACCCAAGTCATCCTCAGTTGAGAGCCACCAGCCTCCTGGGTCCAGAAACAGCAAGGAAGACGGTTGGCTAAAGCAGAGCGGTTGAGGAGGGTGGGAGGAGAGGTTGAGATCTTGGGCCTCGGTGTGCAGGCTGTGGTCAGTGAGTGCAGGACGTGGCTGTTAACCAGGGAGAAAAGGGAATCAATCACTTAGCCAAGGTGTTCAAAGTGCCACCTTGGGGCAGGAATAGATTTTGGGACGCGATGGGGGGAAAGAGTGGCCTGTGAGAGCAGCTAGGAACTGATGCAATCTCCTGACGCTTGTGGAACCTCCTGTCACCCAGAAAAGCCTCTGTGTGTGTGTGTGTGCGCGCGTGCATGCATGAGTGCAGTGTGTGTGTCTGCACACCTGTATACCACATTCATGTGTGCACGCGTGTACTTGCATCTGTACATTGCATGACCGTGTGCGTGTGTGTATGTTTTGTGTGAACACTTGTACCATACATTCATATACAGGTAATGTGCACATGTGCACTTGTATGTATGTATTGCAAGAGGATGTGCACTTTTTGCATGTGATGTGCACACCCTTGAACTGTGCACGCACACACACACACACACACACACACACACACATGTATATGGGCACGGTGGGTGCATTGTGTGAGCCCGCATGAGGATGTGTGTATTTGCATGGACGTACGTGTGTGGATGAACATGTGTGCACCTGGTGTACATGTGTAAGGAGACATGCATTAGTGAGTGTATAGGTGTTTGAATGTACGTGTGGGGTGTGCCTGGGCACAGGCATGCACTTCAATGAATGCCTTTGTGCACCTGTGTGATTGCATGTGCACCTGTGTGTGACATGCCATCATGAGGACATGCATGTTAACTGTGTGTATACTGTACATATACCTGTGCAATGAATATGCACGTGTGCATGTGTGTGCGTGCAAGTGTATACACAGGTAAGCATAGGGGAATGGTGGGTCAGCTGTCTGGGAAGAGCTCCCCCTCATGGCTTCTTGGTGACATCCTAATCAATCACCAGCAGAAAAGGCAGACTCTGTTTGGGGCACCCCAGTTCTGCACAGACCCAGCCTGGACCCTAACCAGGGCTGCAGCTCCCCTCCTCTGTTGCCAGGATAAACCTCACTGTGCCCCAGGGCTGCCTGCTGGCTGTCGTTGGTCCAGTCGGGGCAGGAAAGTCCTCCCTGCTGTCTGCCCTCCTCGGGGAGCTGTCCAAGGTGGAAGGGTCTGTGAGCATCACGGTGAGGCCATACTCTCCCTGACTATGCACTGAAACTCCTCCCATCCCACAAGCCTTCCTGGCCCTCCCCTCACCAGCCCCCACCTCTTACCTCCCCTCTCCCACCTCTCCTCCAAAAGATCCTCTGTCTCTCTGCCCCATCCTCCCACCATGGCCAAGGTGAGCTGTGTTGTAGGGTCCTGTGGCCTACGTGCCCCAAGAGGCCTGGGTGCAGAATGCCTCCGTGTTGGAGAACGTGTGCTTCCAGGGAGAGCTGGACCCACCGTGGCTGGAGCGAGTCCTGGAGGCCTGTGCACTGTCACCGGACATGGAACGATTCCCCGCAGGGGTTCACACCCAGGTTGGAGAGCAGGTAGGGTCTCAGGCCTGTAGGCAACTGTGGGGGATCCATTTGCTTCAGACAAAGAGGAAGTAAGAAGAGAACGGAGACCTGGGAGAGAAGAGGAAGTGAGCTCAGAGCCAGGCACATAGAGCTCAATAAGTGGGGATGAATGGATGGGTGGCTGAAAATAGAGATGGAGGGGTCAGCAAAAGAACTGTTCAGGGGCTGGTGGTGGTGGGCTCTCCAGCTCTGGGGTGAAGAGACCCATCTTGTTTGATGACACAGGCAAATTGCTACCCCTCTGTGAGCCTCAAGGAAAGGTCTAAAAGATGCTGATGTCCAATAAATAGGACATATAGAGTTAGGGATGGGTAGGGGTTGGCAAGCTACTAGCCATGGGCCAGATGCATTTATACACTGTAATGTGGGGTCAAGATTGGTGGACGATTTATCAGCAACCTGCGTTATGCGGATGACACAACCCTGCTTGCTGAAACTGAAGAGGACCTGAAGCACCTGTTGCAGAGCGTCAAGGACTGCAGCCTACAATATGGATTGAGGCTCAATGTCAAGAAGACAAAGATTCTCACCACTGGACCAATTGGCAGCATCAGGATGGATGGTGAAGAGATTGAGATTGTACACAGCTTTAGTTTGCTTGGCTCCACAGTCAACACTCTTGGCACCAGCAGCCAGGAAATGAAAAGGCGCATTGCCATGGGAAAGTCTGCTGGTAGGGACCTCTCCAAAGTACTGAAGAGCAATGGTGTCTCTCTGGAGACTAAGGTGCATCTGATACAAGCTATGGTCTTCGCAACCACTTGTTATGCATCAGAGAGTTGGACAATGACCAGGGAAGATAGAAAGAGAATTGATGCCTTTGAGCTGTGGTGCTGGAGAAGAGTATTGAGAATACCATGGACTGCTAGGAAAACAAACAGATTTGTCCTGGAAAGGGTTAAACCGGGTGGCTCCTTGGAGGCAAGGATTCTGAGGCTCCGTCTAACATACTTTGGACATGTTGTGAGGAGGGACCGGTCCCTGGAGAGGGACAACATGCTTGGGAGGGTGAAGGGACAGCGCAGGAGAGGAAGGCCCTCTATGAGGTAGATTGATTCAGTGACTGGGATAATTGGGATGGGAGTGTCAGAGACAGTGCGATTGGCACAGGACAGAGCGGAGTTTAGGGCTGTTGTACATAGGGTCGCTATGAGTCACAGGTGACTCGACGGCACATAACAACAACAATAACATTTATAAACAAGGTTTTAGGTTTTCAGAGGCCTGCAGTTTTGGAAGTGGATGGCCAATCCTTCTTCCTAGTCTGTCTTAATATTAATGCTCAGATTTAGAGAAGTATCAGACAGACAAGCATTTTACAGAAAAAAAGCAAAAGATATTTCTCTAATTGTGGAATTAACATTAGTTCCAGTGAGCTATGGTGTCACTCTGGAGACTAAGGGGTGCCTGATACAGGCCATGGTCTTTGAAATCACTTGCTATGCATCTGAGAACTGGACAATGACTAGGGATGAGAGAAGAATTGATGCCTTTTAAGCTGTGGTACTGGAGAAGAATGTTGAATATACCATGGACTGCTAAGAGAACAAACAGGTTCAGGCTGGAGACGGTTAAACCAGGCTATTCCTTGGAGGCAAAGATTCTGAAGCTTCGTCTGACATACTTTGAACATATTGCAAGGAGGAATCAGTCCTTGGAGAGGGACATCATGCTTGGGAGGGTGGAGGGACAGCGCAGGAGGGAAAGGCCCTCCATGAGGTGGATTGATTCAGTCAGAGACCATGAGATTGGCACAGGACAGAGCAGGGTTTAGGGCTGTTGTACATAGGGTCACTATGAGTTGCAAGTGACTCGACAGCAAATAACAACAACAACAGCAACATTTATAAATAAAGTTTTATTGGAGCACAGCCATGCGCTTTCATTCACTCTTGTCTGTACAGGCTGTTTTTGTGCTATAAAGCAGCAGCGCTGAGCGTTGTAACTGGTTCTTGAGGACTAACATAGTCCCATTCACCCTTTAGAGGAGCCCTGGTGGCAAAGTTGGTTAAGTGTTGGGGTGCAAACTAAAAGGTGGGCAGTTCAAACCCACCAGCCTCTCTGCAGGTCAGTGAGGCTGTCTCCTCTCGTTACAGTTTACAGTCTTGTAAATCCAGTAGAGGTTGTCATGGATTGGAACAGACTCAAAGACCAAAAAAAAAAAATCCCCCTCAAATTTATTGCCATCAAATTGGAACCAACTACCTCTAGCTGACCATCCATCAGGTCTTCCGGAGTCTGCAAAACACAAAGGAGGAGATGGCCCGTCTTTCTCTAGGGATTCGAACCACCAGAGAGGTGTGGCCTTTGAGTTAGCAGTACAGCTCCCTGCCCACCACAACACCAGTGCTCTATTAGCGATTTAAGAAAACGTTTGCCATTGTCAGTGGCCAAGTGGGAAATGACATTAAGGAAGTGAATGTGATTTCCTGGAGAAAAAAAGGAGAGAGCCTGGGAAGGGTGTCAAGAAACCTGCATGTGGGCTGAGGGTAGAGATGAGCCCGGGAGAGGTTGAGAAGATGCAAGCAGCTAAGTGAGTGGAAAACCAGGAGAATGAGAGGTTATCACAGAGCCAAGGGCAGAGTCGAATAGACCTGAGGGATACCTGGGGCCATTTAGAGGGTGTCCACCAGTGGTGACATGTCTGATCTGGAATCTCCTCCTCCTGCCACCTGTCCAGCCTGTGTCAGGGAAGCTCCATCCTCCCAGACACTTGGGTTCCAAACCTTGAGATCATCCTTGAATTCATCTTCTCTTATGTCCATATCCTACATGTCCGCCTTTGTAGCCTGCATGGGAAGATGTGGTCATTCCACCATCAGTCTCACTATTGGCCTTCCTGTTGCCTTCTTCACCCAACCTAGCAGCAAGGAGATCTGTTAAGATGTAGCTGGGACACACTCCTCAGCCTGGGGCTACCAGAGGTCCCCCCATTTTCCTCAGGGTGGAACCCAAAGTCCTGACAGTTTCCAGACAAGCCGTCTGAACGACCTTAACCCAATTCTGACTCCATCTAAAGTGTGTCCACCAGTGATATATGTCTGGTCTTCTGGAACCTCCTCCTGCCATCTGCCCAGTGTCTATCAGGGAAGCTCCATCCTCCCAACGACTTGTGTCTCAGACCTTCGTCTTAATGGGGAGGCCTTCCTTTACTGCCTCCCTCAACACAGCAACCTGCGCACGTCACTCTGCTTTGCTATTCCTCATAGCACTTGACACCACCTGACTGACTATTTAATTCTCTTATTTGCTTATCTATGGCTCCTTCCTTCCCTCTCGCTTTTAAAAGGAAAGATCTGTGAGAGTTGAACCTTGTGCTTTGTTCACGGTTACGTATCCAGAGCCAGTTGGATATGTGGTAGACCAGTTGCTCGCAAGCTGATTCTGACTCACGGTGACCCTGGCGCGGCAGAGAACACAGGGTTCTCAGTAGTTGATTTTTTGGAAGGAGATCCCCAGGCCTTTCTCCCAAGCACTTCTTGACAGACTCAAGCCTCCTATCCAAGCATTTCAGAAGTTTGCAGCACCTGGGAACCGCCAAGGACTCTGAGTACAATGTTGTTAGGTGTCCTTGAGTTTCTCATGACTCATAGCGACCCTGAACTGTGTCACAGATCTGTACCTTGTCCTGTTCTGTGAGCTGTTCCCGGCCCATTGTTACAGTTACTGTATTATCCGTCTCATTGAGAGGCTTACGCTCTTTCTCTGATCCTCCACCGTTTCCCCGTCTTTTGCCAAGGACTGATCCTTCCTGACAGCATGCCCAAAGTAGATGAGGTGGAGTTTCACAGTCTTTGCCTCTAAGGAGTGATCTGGTTGCCCTTTCTCTTAAGACAGACTTGTTTACTCCTTTGACAGTCCATGGGATACTAAATATTCTTCTCCAACCCTATGATTGATAGGCATCAGTTTCCAACTTTCAGGTGCATTGAAAATGCCATGGATTGGATCAGGCATACCTTAGTCTTTAAACTGTCATCTTCATGCTTTAGCACTTTGGAAAAGTCCTTGATAGCAGATTTTCCCAAGGCAACACATCTTTTGGTTTCTTGATTGCTGTGACCATGGGTCTTGATCGTGGATCCAAATAAAATGTAATCACTGACAACTTCAGTCTTTTCTCCATCTACCGTGATGGTGCTTATTGGTTAAAACTGAGGATATAGTAGACACGCAGTAAATATTAGGAGAAAGAATGAGTGAAAATAAGGCCTGGAAAACAACCCCCAGGTTGGACAGTGAGGGGGTGATTGGTGCCCTTGAAGAAAGTGGTGTTAGTGTAGAGATAGAAACAGAAGCCAGGTGCAGGAGACATGAATAGGAAGAGAGAAAGCATTGGAGGAAGGAGAGGACAATTCTGGGGACATTTGGCTGTGAAGGGGAAGCAATAAATCAGATACAAGCTGGAGGGACTGTTGGTGTGAGAGTAAAGAATGAAAGCTGGGTAGTGGCACTGGTGGGTGGACGCAGGAAACAGCACCCTTCTCTGAGGCTCAGACATGCTCCACCCAGGCCTAGCTGGTAGCATCTGCCCCACTCCTGTCCCTCTCTCGTGACTACAGGGCATGCATCTCTCCGGAGGCCAGAAGCAGCGGCTTAGCCTGGCCCGGGCTGTGTACAGAAAGGCCTCAGTGTACCTGCTGGATGACCCCTTGGCTGCCCTGGATGCCCACGTCGGTCAGCATGTCTTCCACCAGGTCATCGGGCCTGATGGGCTGCTCCAGGGAACGGTAACATTGGGGGGGGGGGGTGTGCAAGAAGAAACCCAACTCAAGTCTTTGACAGCACCACTCTTCTTTTTAAAAATTTTATTTTTTTACAGTTTTTTTAAAAAATTTATTTCTTTTTAATTTGGTGTGCCGTCAAATTGGATCTGACTGGTACAGGAAGAGTTTGCCCCTCCTTCTCCAGCGGAGCATCTGGTGGATTCAAACCATGCAACTTTGGGATTGCAGTGCAGATTCTTGCCACTAGGCCACCAGAGCTCCTCAGTCCCACTCTTCTTAAGTTCAACTCTCCTGTCAATCAGCACTTACTGATGGTGCTGTGTAACACATCCCCCAAAGCTCAGTGACTTACATCAGCAAAAAGCTATTACTTGTGTACGGTCTGTGGTCCACCTTCCCCAGCTCTGCCCTGGTGTGGGGACCAGGCGCAGTGGAGCTGCCATCTTATTAGGAGACACAGGCGGAAAGAGACCTTTTCCACCAAGTCATACTGTTTTCCCAGAGTGAGCAGGGATACAATATGAGTCTGCCGGCCACTACCTCTCTCCACTCTTAGCACGTCCCCAAATTTCTGGAAGGCTGGTCAAGCAAATGAGTGTCACTTCTATTCCTTCACTCTGCAGACACGGATCCTTGTGACCCATGCACTTCACGTCCTGCCCCAGACTGACCTGATTGTGGTGCTGGTGGATGGAGCCATTGCCGAAATGGGCTCTTACCAGGAGCTGCTGCATAAAAAGGGGGCCCTGGTGGACCTTATAGACCGGGCCAGGCAGCCGGAAGATGGAGAAGGAGGTACTGGCTGCACCTGCAGATAAACTATGCTTAACTCTTGCTATACTTAGGGGGAAGAATCGTGCTGGCATGACTGTGGTATCCTGGCTGCACCCCTCTTTGGGTGCTGCACCTGGGGGCAAACAGCACCAACAGACCAACTCTCATCTCAGTAAGAGCCCACTGCACCACCTATAAGCCTAGAGCTTTGCAAAGTCCTTCTAGAAATGTGCATGTTTTCACAAAACCTCTGTGTTGTTGTTATGTGCTGTTGAGTCAGAACCAACTCACAGCTGACCCTCCAGTGGGTTTCCAGAGGCTGTAAATTGCATGAGATGAGATTGCCCATCTTTCTCCCTCAGAGCTGCTGGTGGTTTTGAACCATGTGTGTTTGGGTTGACGGCACAACTCCTTACCACTAAGCCAACAGAGTTCTTTTATATCTCTATAAGGCACCTGCAGTCATTGCTGCCGTTTGACACATGAGCACATGGGAGCACAGCTGTCGTTAGGTGTCATTGGGCCAACTATGACTCTTAGTAACCCAGTGAACAACGGATCTGAGCTTTGACCTGTCCAGCACCATCCTCAGCTTCTCTGATATGCGTGAGCCCGTTGATAGAGTCATCGATCAATCTATCGTGTTGTTACAGTGTGTCTCTATTTTGTAAAGGTGTTTAATAATTTGTCCAAGTTCACGATGATAGAGCCAAGGCTGAGACTTGAGTTTGTTCAGCTCCGCAATCTGTGACATTAACTGCTCCAGAGTCTGAACAAGAAGGTCACTGGTGTGTTGTTGTTGTTGCTGTTGTTAAATGCCATCGAGTCGTAGACAGCTCATAGCGACCCTTGAAACAAAAGACCTGAACACTTGCATAAGTTTCGTAGTTTCTCCAAATTTATAGAGTTTCTGGAGGCAAGCTATTTCAGAAGTGGATGCCACTCCTGCTTCCAAGCTTGTTTTAATCCAGGAGCTCCACCAAACACTGTCCACCATGGGTAACCATTATCACATTTGACACATCAGTGTCATGGTGTTCAGCTTCACAGCAACCACGAGTTACCTCTGTACAGCAAGTGGACAGACCAGTGCTGTACCACTTAGAAGAATGTTTGACCAAGAACAGTTAAAACCAGGCTTGAGGGCCACTGATTATAATCTCCCACCTTTGGCTTGGTAACATCACTTTCAATCCACTAGGCCAAAAGAGCTCTCCCGTTGTTGTTGTTGTTAAGTGCCATCAAGACTTAGATGACTCATAGTGACCCTATCAATGAAAGACTCTATACACACTGGTGTCTAGAAACCAGAAATCCCATGACTGATTCATGAAGGCCCCTAAGCCAGAGAACATAGTGGCTGCTAGAGAAACAATGAGGTTTTGGAAGGACGGTGATTGATCCAAGTTCATACACCAAACCCATTGCTGTTTAATCTAGTCCAGCTGGCTGACCCTACAGAACAGAGTAGAGCTGCCCGCAGGGTCTCTGAGGCTGTAATATTTCTGGAGACAGGCTATCACATTTTTCTTCTGTAAGGTAGCTGCTAGATTTGAACCACTGACCTTATGGATAGCAATTGAGTCTTTAACTACTGGGCCATCAGTTCATACACAGTGACACTTTTCATGGGCTTTCTTCATTTAACCATCATGATACCCATGTGAAGATGATACCATGATTGTCTTTGTTTTGTAGATGAGTTAAGGACAGGGACCTCTGGTGTGACCCCCCCTTTCCTAACAAAACTCCCTTAATCTTGCAGGTACAGACCCTGTAATTCATGCTGAAGACCCCAAAGGCTCCCCTGGAGGCATAGTGTCCCTGGGAAGACATAATAGGTCAGTGCAGAAGACCTGATGAGGGGTAGAGTTCAAGGGTAGAGCATTCGACTGCAGAAGACACAATAGGTCAGTGGTGTTGAGAGTGGAGAGCTGCCTTTATCACAGACATGCAGGGAACAGGAGGCAAAGCCACCATGGATTGAGTCCCTGGCAGACACTCATCACTGAATGGTGCTTACAAAGCTTATTGACAAGCCATCTGCAAAACGATTAAGCTCCCAGATGGCCAGTTCACCCAGTGACCAGTCTGAGTGCCTAAAAGTGGACCAAAGATGGCTTGTCACGCCTGTGTCCTTCCCCAGAAGCAGGCTGGACTGATTCTAAAGAAAGACCCTTCGTAGAGTTGATAATAACCACACTGGGCCCTATAGTACATGATTAGACGTATGTGTCATGCAAAGGTCGTGGACCGACAACTGTGATAATCTCTTGGAACTGGCCAGACACATGGGCAGAGGGACATCCTGTCCACTTCTCCAGCCTTCTCTGAGACAGTACAGGGTCCAGGTGCAGCTGGACTCTGGAGTCTGCATCAGACGGACCGTCCACCAAAGTGTCCTTGTAAACAGAAGAGCCATTGGGGCTAGATGGCCTGAACTCAAGTTCCAGCCATGGTGGGGAGCGTGAGGAGATGTTGGGGGACTTTTGCCTCCAAGGAAAGTTGAATCTAGGAACAGTTCCTTCCTCTGTCCAGCTCCTCATCCTGAGAGCACCCCTGGATAATCTTACTAGTCTTCACAGTAATCCTAAGAAAGATGACTGGGTCGAGATGGATGTGGTGGGTGGGTGAGTGAATGGAAAGATAATTATGATGGGTGGTGGGTGGATGGATGGCTAGGTGGGTGAATGGACAGACAGATATGATAGGTGGATGGATGGATAGATAGGTAGATAAAAATAAGGGTGGGTAGATGGATAGATATGATGAGTGGGTGAGTGGAAATATAGATATGATGGATGGGTAGATAGATGGAAAGAAATGATAGACATGATGAGTGAGTGTATTGATGGATGGGTGGATAGAGGTGATGGGTGAGGAGGTGGAGAGGAGGGGAGGGAATTAGACGGGCAGATGGAGATAATGTGTAGGTTGGTAGGTAGGTGGATGGCTAGATAAAGATGGGGGTAGAGAGATGGGTAAAAGGATAGGTGACTAAATAAATAGATAAGTATATAGGCATGATGGATAATAGGTAAGTCGATAGATATTTCTGTATAGATTAAAAAGATGAGTCAATATGTGGGTTGTTCGATGGATGGATGGATAGATAGTTAATGAGTTGGGCAGATAGATAGCACTCGTCCACAGAAAGCCTTTGAAAAAAATCTCCAGCATCTGAATTGAGCAAAGTGGACATTGTGCTGAGCTGGGCTGAGAGAAACAGCAGAGAAAGCGATTGCAGCAAAGATTAGACCAAAATGAAAACTCTGGAAACCAAGTTTCTATGTTGAGCAAATAGGTCCCTTTGGGGATGGGTTTGGCAGAACAAGATCCCTGGGCGTTGAAGGCATAGATGGTGGTTATGGGCGCCTCAGAGAGAGAGGGGAGCATGGTACAGAGTTAGCATGCAATATGTTTGTTGATTGGATGGATAGATGAGTGGGGAGTACCCCCAAACTCCATGACCATCAGTGAGCATGGGGTTGGGCATACTCCCCACAGGGAGAGACACTCATTTGTCTTCATTTCCTCCAAGTATCAGGTCTATCAAATTTGTCCCCAAGAAAGACACCACCACCTCAGAGGCGCAGACATGCCTTGCCTTAGATGACCCTGTGGAGACAGGAGAGCCGACTGAAGAAGGCCGAGTGTCATTTGGCAGGGTAACCACCAGCTACCTCCTCCATTCCCTACCTGCTGCTGCTGCTACCTCTGCCCCCAGGGGTCCCGGATGCACCAGCAGACACAGCACAGGGTGGGCGCAGTTCACCTTTATGAAGCACCTACTGTGTGTAGACCCTCAGCGAGATGGATTGGCACAGTGACTGCAGCAGTGGGCTCCAGTGCGTCAAAGCTGATGAGGGCGGCACAGGACAGGCAGGGCTCCCATCTGTCGTCTGTAGGGTCTATACGAGTCTTAACAGGGCTCAGAGGCATCTAATAATAACAACACTGTGTGTCCACCTCAACTCCAGGTTCTTCCTATTTCTCAAGTACAACAAAAAATAGATGGTATTATAGCTCTCTGTTAGAGATGAAGAAACTGAGGTTTGGAAGTTATGAGACTCATCTGTATTGTTCTTGTTAGCAAGTGGCCAAGTTAAGATTTAAATGTAAATCACTCTGAGTCGTGTTGTTGTTAGGTGCCACCAAGATGAGTATGACGCACAGCGACCCTATGAACAAAAGATCTGAACCCTGTTCTATCTTGTGCCATCCTCACACACTTCCCGACACACAAGAGCCCATTGCAGCAGTCACCGATCGTCCATCCTTCCCACCTTCCTGTCCCTCTCCAAGGAGTAACCCCTCCTACTTTGAATCTAGAACTTGCATGTATCTCCTCTTCTATGCTATTTTATCCATCTACCTATTTAACCATTTATTTATTCATTTGTCTATCTACCCAACCAACTGTACACTTATCCATCCATCCATCCATCCATCCATCCATCCATCCATCCAACCACCCAACCACCCATCCACCCATCCACCCATCCACCCATCCACCCATCCATCCATCCATCCATCCATCCATCCATCCATCCAACCATCCATCCACCCATCCACCCATCCACCCATCCACCCATCCATCCATCCAACCATCCATCCATCCATCCATCCAACCATCCAACCATCGATCGACTCATTCTTACCCATCATCAACACACTCACTCATCCATCCACCCACTTATTCAGGGATCAGCTGAAATATCACATCTCAGAGGAGACAAAAACAGATCCCTAGTCACAGTTGCTCTGCAAGTCCTTACCTGCTTTATTCACTTTTTAGCATTTATCATTGTCTGCGCAAGAGGGGAAGACCCTCTATGAGATGGATTGATTCGGTGACTGGGGTAATCGGGATGGGAGTGTCAGAGACAGTGCGATGGGTACAGGATAGAGCAGGGTTTAGGGTTGTTGTACATAGGGTCGCTATGAATCGCCAATGACTCTACGGCACGTAACAGCAACATCGTCTGCGATGTTACATTGTTTATTAGTCTAATAATTTGCAGGTTGCCTCAGCCCAGCTAAGATAAAAATCTCCACCAGGACAGACACTCGACCTGGGACCTGGTGGGTGCTCTGTAAATGTTTGCTGAGGGGATGTTTTTGTCTCCTCTGGGAGGAGGTATTTCAGCGGATCCCAGAAGGATGTGCAGGAATGAGGGATAGAAAGAAGGGAGGAGCATTGCAGGCAGAGGGAAGAGCGGGAGAGCGGGGCTCCGTGAGGCTGGCGGAGGGTGGGCTGGGGTGAAGACACAGAGGTAGACCAGGAGTTTGGATTTTTCTCCAAGAGCAAGGAGGAGCCATGGGCAGTCGGCAGCAGGAAAAGAGCACCAGACGAAAGTGTCTCAAAGTCACTCTGCTTTCAACGGGACCTTAAGTTGCTTAAGCTCTTAATGCCTCAATTTCCTGCTGTGTAAATTAGGGGTGATTGTGAGGCTTGAGAGCACTCGCCAGGCCTGTCCCGTAGTGAGCGTTCCATGAATCTCTCCCAAGCCAGAAAGTGGTCCAGCCCGTCACCATCAGTCTTCCTCTGACCTTCTGGTGCTTCACAGAGGAATGGGGTCCGGAAGCTGGGGCTGTCGGGGAGATGGTGAGAAGGTCTGAAGCTTCCGATGGCTGCGCCACCTGCCCTGCTGGGCATCTGTTTAGGAGCCGCTCTGGGCCTGGGCCAGACCCTCATGACCACCACCTCCATGCCGTGTCCCACAGGTGAAGGCCGCCATGTACCTGACTTACCTACGCGCCGTGGGTGCCCCACTCTGCCTCTACGCCCTCTTCCTCTTCCTCTGCCAGCAAGTGGCCTCCTTCTGCCGCAGCTACTGGTTGAGCCTGTGGGCGGATGACCCCGCCGTGGATGGACGGCAGGCCCACGCGACCCTGCGGGGCTGGGTGTTCGGGCTCCTCGGCTGTCTCCAAGGTGCCCCTCTCCTGTCCCCAGGTTCCCACTCTCCCAGCTCCACCCAGGGGGACCAGGGCTCCCCTCGCTTGCCCGTCCATCCCGGGCTGGGCACACTTGTGCAGGTCGTCACAGGTGCTCACACAGGGCTGTGTCCCTGAGATGAGGCTCGGGATGTGTGAGGGAGGCAGTGACCACCCCTCCTCTTCTGGAACCTTCAGGTGGGGTGGTCTAACCAAGGTAACAGTCAGGGCAGCCATATCATAGTCATTGTGCGGTGTGTGGGGGGCCTTGCCCTAAGGACTCCACCTCCCCTCTCTGGCCCCTTCTCCTCCGCAGCCATCGGACTGTTGGCGTCCATGGCCGTGGTGCTCCTCGGTGGGGCCCGGGCATCCAGCCTCCTCTTCCGGAAGCTCCTATGGGACGTGGCACGGTCACCCATCGGCTTCTTTGAGCGGACACCCGTTGGAAACCTGCTGAACCGCTTTTCTAAGGAGACAGACACAGTGGACGTGGACATCCCAGACAAACTCCGGTCTCTGCTGACCTACGTGTTTGGACTCCTGGAGGTCATCCTGGTGGTGGTGATGAGCACCCCAGTGGCGATTGTGGCCATCTTACCCCTGATGCTCCTGTACGCAGGGTTTCAGGTAAGGAGAAGCCAGGGGCCTGCTGAGGTCCCAGCCTCTGTATGGGACGCTGTGGGAGAGGCTCTGTCCAGCTCACCGTCTGCTTGCAATACCCACTGGGCTCTCTGTTGCCCTCCACGGCTGTTGGCTTCTTCATCTGGGAACCAGGAAGGACTCTGGTCTTAGGCCGGACTCCCTCGGTTGGCAAGACAAAAAATCAGCTCCAGTTGGTCCAAACAGGAAGGCAGAGCGGAATGGTTTAAGTTTATGGGGTGCAGTGAGCCTCACTATTATCAGGACGTCTGTCTCTCTCCATATTTTACGTTTGGTGGTTCTCGAAGTTAATCTGAGACCAGCAGCATTATCACCTGAAAGTTTGCTAGAAATTCACTCCTAGGCCCGACCCAGAACTACTAAATCAGACCTTACAAGTCAGGGCACCTGGCAGTCTGTCAGCTAATGAGCCCTCCAAGCAAACACCCACCATTCTGATGTATTTGACAACTACTGTCTTCACTCTGCTTGGCCAAGTTTTATAAACTACTTTCGCCAAAGCAGGCCCGATTGCCACTGTTGGCGTCCTACTTAATATCATCCCACCAATGCAACCTCAAAGCGAAGAAAACTTTTCTCCAGCTCAACATTCAAACGGTAATCCCAGGGAAGATTCTGATTGGCTTTCTACAAGTCATGTGCCCATCCTTGAACTATCACATTGGCCAAAGGGATAGTGTGCCCTGACTGGCTCAGCGGGGTCACATGACCACCTCTGTGACCAGGTCCCATGATTGACATCTCCTTAGGAAGTCAGAGGTAGAATAAGAAAGCTGTGGTCGACAAATCCCATGGTTGTTGCTGTCTTTTGTAGCTGTTCCGTTCCTCACTATGTTCATTTTACTTAAGAGGAGGGGTTATTTCTCTGTTGTAAGCTTTTGACTCAGACAGAGGTGGGTTTGAACACCATATACCCCCTCGAAACTTTTGGACCAATCATATGGTTACCCATTTAAGCCTCAGTTGTTCACATCTGTAAAGTGGGAACAGAACTAACGCCCACAAACATTTAACGAGGTTCACAGCACAGCTGGTGCCCAGCCAAATATGAGTTCTTCCCAGCAGCCTGCCAGCTGCATGTAGCTTGTGACTGACAACCAGGTAATGACAACTGTATTATATATATGTTGTGTCCCTAGCAACTCGTATGTCACCTTGGCTTAAATGAGTGAAACTCGAATCATTGCTTCTGCTGTGTTATATTATTCTATCTAGGATTTACCTACAGTGAATCACTTGCCAGTTCTCCTGTGAAGTGAGATGTTTAAACTTAGTTGCTGGTCTTGATCACAATAGAATCATCTTGCAGCCTTTTAAAGTTTTATTTATTTTTAAAAAAATACCAAAGTTGAGGTCACAACCCAAAAATTCTGCTTTAGATGTTCTGGAGTAGGACATCTGAGGTTCTCAGAGCTCCCACTGAGATCTTTCAAAGGATCCCAGCACTTTGATTGCAGGAAACTAGGGCCCAGAGAGGGGAGGTAACTGTTCCAAGGTCACACAGCACAACAGCTGGGCTGGAAGCCATACTTGGGACTTGCTGTGCTTCTGAATGCTGCTTCTCTCTCTGTCTATCGCCTCTGCCTTCCCCATCCACTCCAGAGCCTCTATGTGGCCAGCTCTTGCCAGCTGCGACGCCTGGAGTCTGCCAGTCACTCATCCGTGTGCTCCCACGTGGCCGAGACGTTCCAGGGCAGCACTGTCATCCGGGCCTTCCAGGCCCAGGGCTCGTTTGTGGCTCAGAGTGACATTCGTGTGGATGAAAGCCAGAGGGTCAGTTTCCTGCGGCTGGTGGCTGACAGGTAGGAAGAGCCTGGGGGACAGAGGAGTGTCAGAGTAAGCTGTGTGAACAGAGGGGTCCAGTGGGCCGCCTGAAATCACACTGCAATGTGGGGACAAAGCTGGGGCTAGCTCCCTCAGGCAGCCCCCACAGGCAGCCTCTCCTCAGGCAGAAGGAACCTGGCCCAGAGGGTCCCCAACGGTAGCTGAGCAGGAGGTCCAGGGCTCAACAAAGGGCAAACCCCTCTGTTGCCAGGCAACTAGATTAGCCTCTGTTGCCTTGGTGACATAGTAGCTATATAAGCATCTCTGACCTCTTTTGGGTACTAAATAAGAACAAGAACACAGCTATGAGTACAGAAAGACACAGGTTCAAATCCAAGCTGTGCCGCTTACTAACTGGCTAACCTCAGGCACATTATGTGAGCCTCAGTTTCCTCATCTGTCAAATGGGAGTAAGCATGTTGTTTTGTGGTGTTATTTGAAAGATAAAATGGGAAAGTCCAGGGCTTCCTGAGACAGGGTTTTCATGTTTGTGGGCAGCTGTGTCTTTAGCCCTTTGAGTATGCTTGGCACACAGTTGTTGTTATGTGCCGTCAAGTCGCTTGCGACTCATAGCGACCCTATGTACAACAATCCTAAACTCTGCTCTGTCCTGTGCCAATCTCACTGTCTCCGATACACCCATCCCGATTACCACAGTCACTGAATCACACTCCTAGAGGGCCTTCCCCTCCTGCGCCTGCTGTCCACCCTCCCAAGCATGATGTCCTTCTCCAAGGACTGGTCTCTCCTTACAACATGACCAAAGTATGTCAGATGAAGCCTCAGAATCCTTGCCTCCAAGGAGCAGTCCGGTTTAACCCTCTCCAAAATGAATCTGTTTGTTTTATCAGTTAATGGTACCCTCAATATTCTTCTCCAACACCACAGCTCAAAGGCATCAATTCTCCTTCTAGCCTCCCTAGTCATTGTTCAACTCTGATGAATAACAAGTGATTGTAAAGACCATGGCCTGTATCAGACGCACCTTAACATTGCAAAGACCATGGCCTGTATCAGACGCACCTCAGTCTCCAGAGAGACAACATTGCTCTTCAGTACTTTAGAGAGGTCCCTAACAGCAGACTTTCCCATTGCAATACGTCTTTTCATTTCCTGGCTGCTGGTGCCAAGAGTGTAGGTACTCATTAAATATCTGTTGGCTGATTGAATGAACAAACAGGAGGTAGTGTAGCTGTATTTGTTCAGCTGTCTGACCCTGTGCTAGAAGGTGGGGATGAAGCTGTAAACAAGACAGGCAGGTCTCTGCCCTCGTGCCGTCCACGTTCTACTGGTGGAGACTCACAGTTCATGCTGCTTAAAGGTTTGTCGCTGTAAGAAGAGTGGTGACCATTAGGAAGGAAGCAGCCGGTGATGGGATAGGAAAGGGAGATGCAGCCAGGGAAGACTTTCCGGAGGAGGTGATGTTTATCTTACCAGCACTGGAACAGGAAGGCTGAGAGGGCACAGGGCTTGGCATGTTCCAGGAGCAAAGCAGTGCTCCATTCGGTGATGTTCAAGCAAACACTGAGTGTGCTGGGCCCTGAGCTGGCCCAGGAGACAGTGTGTCACCTTCTCCCACTCCCTGAACTTGGCTGGGGTTCAGCAGCCGGACGTCATCGCTGGGATCCCTGCAGTGTATCAGCTGGCCTGAAGACCAGGCCTTATGTCCAGAGAGTAGGTCCCAGCAGTCAGGGCACCTCCAACCCCTGCTACCCAACTTCCCCCCACAGGTGGCTTGCTGCCAACATGGAGCTCCTGGGCAACGGCCTGGTGTTGGCGGCCGCCCTGTGTGCTGTGCTGAGCAAGGCCCACCTGCGAGCTGGCCTGGTGGGCTTCTCTGTCTCCACTGCACTCCAGGTACTTCCTTCTCCTCCCACCTGGGCTGGGTGAGGGGCAGATTCAGAGCCAGAAACACCTCCCAGTAGGACCTTCAAAGACCCAGAGACCAAATCATCAGTGGGTGCGGAAATACAGTTCTACTAAGGTTAGGCTTAGCTGAGGAGATCTTGCTGGACCTGGGGCAATGGCCTTCCTGCTCAGAGCCTCGGTGTGTGAATCTGAAAAATGGGCAAATATCCTGTCACTTCAGGTATTGTGGAGATGAAGCATTCAGCGTAGACGTCTCCCTCCTTGCACTTACTCTTGTTAACTGTTACTCACTGTGGTCAGGCTGGTTCCAGATCATCATGGTCTTCCCAATGGGTTCCCAACGGAGCCCTGGTGGCCTAGCGATAAGAAGCTGCACTATAATTCCAACGGCACGAAGTTCAAATCCACCAGCTTCTCTGTGAGACAAGGATGAGTGATCTCCTCATGTGCGATTTACTGCCTCTGAAAACCTGTTGGAGGGTCAGCTATGGGTTGGTTCTGACTCGACAGCACACAGAATAACAGCATATCATAAAGGAGATGGTCCATCTTTCTCCCTGGGAGCTGCTGGTGGATTTGAACCATCAGAGACATGGCCTTGGGGTAGCAGCGTAGATCCCTATGGGCCACATGAACAGCGCTCCTTTAACTCTCACCAACAGTATATAAAGTCTCCAACTAAAACACTCACAACAGTTATACTGTCAGGTCATGATCAGCGCATGGAGGACAGAAATAAACCATGTTCCCCAATCCACTGCCTTTGAGCCTATTCCAACTCATTGTTCATGGTGAGTAAGAATTTATGTGCTAAACAAAATGTGTATGAATGGTTGGAAGGAAAGCCAGTTTGCTCTGGAAACTTTCATCCAAATTACAAGTTTGTAAGAAAGAATATGTTGCTGCTGTTGTTGTAGTTGTGTACTGTAGAGTCGGAACCAACCCTACAGCTGACTCTCTGGTGGGTTTTCAGAGGCAGTTAATTGCACAGGAGGAGATTGCCCATCTTTCTCCAGCAAAGCAGCTGGTGGTCTCGAACCATGTGCCTTTGGGATTGCAGTGCAGCTTCTTGCCACTAGGCCATCAGAGCTCCCTAGAAAGGATGTGGTGGTGTTGTTGTTGATTGCCCTTGAGTCGTGCACGACTCATAGTAACTCTATGAACAAAAGACCTAATGCCTTTCTACACCTATCGTCATTTCTCCAAATTCATAGAGTTTCCAGAGGCATGTAGTATAGAATCCTATAAAATGTATGCAGTACTAGCTACGGCTCAGACATTGTTCTAAAGGCCTTATAAATGAGAAGTTCTTTAATCTAACTCATGACTCCATTAGGAAGTCTTACTCAGAATTTGTTCCGGGATGGTGAAGGGTTTAACTACCAACTGGAAGTTGGTAGGACGGCAGGACAGTCACGGCCTAGGGAACCCCATGGTTCACAGGTCTGTCCTGCACACGTGACTCAGAATGCACTTAACGGCCAGTTTGAACTCCTGCCTTCATTTCACTCTGGAGGCAGCTGAGACAGAGAGAGGACAAGGCAGAGTGAGAGGACACAGGTTGGTGGGGTTGTTTTCTATGGCACAGCCAGGAAGGGCCTTGTGAGGAGGGGGCTCTGAATGAGGTGACGGTGACAGAGGGCACTGGGGAGGAGGCAGAGGAAGGTCAGCGTGGCTGAGGGTGTGAGTGAGGGTGACAGTGGAGGGTACCAGGGTAAGAGAGGAAGTGGGAGGCCTGCTCCATGAAACATTCCCCCAGGGAAAGCTCTGGGAGCCACATCCTGCTGTGTGGTGTTGGGAGTGTCACTCAGCCTCTCTGGTCGTGTCTCTCAACTGTAGCAAGATGGGCTGCAGAGTTAACATGTGAGGACACCTTTCTGTCCTGTGAGCCTTGGCTCTAGGGAGAGAAGGAGAGAGAGAAAGTAAGGAAAGGGAGGAGGGAGGAGCGAGGGAAGGAGAGAAGAAAAATAATTGAGAGAGGATGAGGGAGAGAAGGGAGGAAGGAAGGATGGAGACGGAAGAGTGGAGGAATGGGGAAAGGAAAGAAAAGCCCTATTTCCTGACACCAAAACCCCCCTATTTCCTGACACCAAACCCCAGGCTCTTGAATCTCCCATCCCTGCATCCCTTCTGGTCCCCAGCCCTCCTCAGGGGCCTCGCTGAGGCCCAGCCTGAGGGATCTCCCTGCACCAGGTGACCCAGACGCTGCAGTGGGCTGTGCGCAGCTGGACAGACGTGGAGAGCAGCATCGTATCTGTGGAGAGGATGAAGGACTATGCCCGGACACCTAAGGAGGTGATGGGGCAGGGGTGGGTAGGTGGGACTCCCAGTCAGGACCCAGCTCTACACCTGACACAGACTTCGGAGCCTGCACCCTCTCCATCCCCACCCAGCCCCTCCAGCTTGGACTGGGCGTGCACAGTGGGGTGTCAGTAATGGTTAAGAGCAAGGGCTCTGAAGCCAGAGCCAAGTCCTGCTTCCAGTTCTCCTCACTCAGGCAAACCAGGTCACCCCACTGAGCCTCAGAGGGACATGGGGGTAAAAGCAATGTAGCAGCAGCATTACAACAAAACAAAAGCATTACAAGGACATAGCGGTAACGGAAGAAACACCAAACAAACCCAGAATCACCCAGATCTGCTGCCATCTGTCATCAAGTGAAAAACCAAACTTTGCTAATTGAGTTGACCTGTGCTCACGTTGACCCCAGGCATTACAAAGTAGGTTCTGTTGATTTTCTTAGCTATAACTTTTATGGCAACAGGTTGCCAGCTCTTTCTTTGGCTGTGCCACTAGGTAGGGCTGATTCACCAAGCCTTAAGTTAGCAGCGTTTTGAAGACCACTTGCCTCACCCAGTGGTGATGTTACTCCTGTAACATAATTGGGAGAATCAAATGAGCTCATCCAGTAAGAGACAGACTGGTGTCTGGCCCACTCTTAGTGTTCAATCTGTGTCTTCTGCTCTTGTTAGACTCTCTGCACGATGGGGAAATCAAAGCTCAAGGACACTGATGAAAATCAAAAGAATTGCAAACAAATATTTCCACCACAGCCTTGCTGCTCTCTTCACAACGTTAATTCCCATTACTGATAGAAAGAACAGTATTCATTGACAATGAACAGCAGCTCCTTATTAATGATACAATGAAAAGCTAGTCACCACCATTATTCTTTTCAGGGAATTGCACATCGATAGATTTCTTCTTCCTCTCTTTCTCTGGGGTATTCATTGGGTCTGTGATCTTGTCTGCGTTTTTAGGAGAAGGCTTATTTTGCTTTTTCATAACGTTTGCGCTCGCCTGCTGCTGCCTTGACATGATGTGAAGTTTTTGGTATGGAAACAGTTTCTGTTGTGTCTGTCTACATTGTTGTCAGTTCCTTAGCTTTAGGATGCTATTGCTAGAGATGCAAACTTTAAATTTTGCTCCTGATTCAGTTTCCCAATGGCAGTCTTCTCCCCTGGTCATCTGTGGGTGACTCTCTTCCCCATTTCCTATGGCAAGCTTCTCTTCTGGTTGTCCTTGGAGTGGTTGGGAGCTGTGGCCTCTCTCTGTGCCCAGCTATGGTGAGTTCACTTCTCTGCCCTGTCCTGTAGTTTGATGGAAGGGAGTAAGCAAAGTCCCAGGAGGGCTGTTGGCGATATTTTCCTCCCCAAGTCTCCATCTTGAACATACCATGGACCGCCAAGAAAACAAATAGGTCTGTCTTAGAGAGGGTGAAACCAAGTTTCTCCTTGGAGGCTAGGATTTTGAAGCTCTCTCTCACATACTTTGGGCATGTGGCCAGGAGAAACTGGTCCTTGGAAAAGGACATCCTGCTTGGAAGGGTGGAGGGACAGCTTAGGAGAGGAAGACACCAGATGAGATGTGATTGGGGCAATGGGGGCTTGGTATGTCAGAATTAGTGAGACTGGCTCAGGACTGGGTGGAATTCAGAGCTGCTATGCATAGGGTCACTATGAGTCGCAGGCGACTCAAAGGCACACAACAACAACATGTTGTTGTTATGTGCCGTAGAGTCGTTTGCGACTTATAGCGACCCTATGTACAACAGTCCTAAACCCTGCTCTATCCTGTGCCAATCTCATTGCCTCTGACACACCCATCCCGATTACCCCAGTCACTGAATCAATCCACCTCAGAGAGGGTCTTCCCCTCCTGCGCTGTCCCTCCACTCTACCCAACATGATGTCCCTCTCCAAAGACCGGTCTCTCCTTACAACATGTCCAAAGTATGTCAGACGAAGCCCCAGAATCCTTGCCTCCAAGGAGCAGCCTGGTTTAATCCTCTCTACGATGAATCTGTTTGTTTTCTTGGCAGTCCATGGTACATTCAATACTCTTCTCCAGCACCACAGCTCAAAGGCATCAATTCTCCTTCTATCCTCCCTAGTCATTGTCCAACTCTCCGATGCATAAAAGTGATTGCAAAAACCGTGGCCTGTATCAGGCAGACCTCAGTCCCCAGAGAGACACCGTTGCTCTTGAGTACTTTAGAGAGGTCCCTAACCGCAGACTTTCCCATTGCAATACGTTTTTTGATTTCCTGGCTACTGGTGCCAAGAGTGTTGACCGTGGAGCCGAGCAAACTGAAGCTGTGAACACTCTCAATCTCTTTGCCATCCATCCTGATGCTACCGATTGGTCCAGTGGTGAGAATTTTTGTCTTCTTGACATTGAGCCTCAGTCCATATTGAAGGCTGCAGTCCTTGACCCTCTGCAGTAAGTGCATGAGGTCCTCCTCAGTTTCAGCGAGCAAGGTTGTGTCATCTGCATAACGTAGATTGTTGATAGATCGTCCACCAATCCTAACGCCACACTTCTCCTCAAAGAGCCCAGCCTCTCAGATAATCTGCTCTGCATACAGGTTGAAAAGGTATGGAGAACTACTACAGAACAATATTGATTTCACATGCAAGCTTGATTCTACTGAAGATTATCCAAAAATGACTGGAACAGTACATCAGCAGAGAACTGCCAGAAGTCCAGGCTGGGTTTAGAAGGGGTCGTGGTACTAGGGATATTGTAGCTGATGTTAGATGGATCTTAGCTGAAAGCAGAGAATACCAGAAGAATGTCTATCTGTGTTTCATTGATTATGCAAAGGCATTTGACTGCGTGGATCATAACAAACTGTGGCTGACTCTGAGAAGAATGGGAATCCCAGAACATTTAATCGTGCTAATGCGAAACCTATACTTGGACCAAGAGGCAGTCGTCAGAACAGAGCAGGGCAACACTGCATGGTTCAAAATTGGGAAGGGTGTACGTCAGGGATGCGTCCTATCTCCATACCTTTTCAACAACAACATGCATGACCTAAATAATAATAAATTAAATTGTACATGAAAAATGAGAGAAATATATTGGAAGCAGGAGTGGCATCCACTTCCTAAATAATATGCCTCTGGAAATTCTATGAACTTTTAGAAACGATGATAGTTTCTAGAACAGGGTTCAGGTCTTTTGTTCATAGGGTTACTATGCGTGGTGCTTGACAGGACGGCAGTCAACAACAACAACAGCAACAGGTCTCCATAGGTGCTAGTGGCCTAACCATCATTCTTTTTATGCTTTTAGTTTGTGTTTCATCCCTTCTCACTTAATTAATATTTAGCTATAAACTTAGTTTCCATAACAACTCTGAGAGATACCCATTTTACAGAAGAGAGAACTGAGACTCAGAGAGGAAACCTTGGAGAAAGGCCCTGCTAACTCAGCATCCCCTCTTGCCACAGGCCCCCTGGAGGCTGTCCATCTGTGCAGCTCAGCTCCCCTGGCCTCAGGCAGGAAAGATTGAGTTCCGGGGCTTTGGACTGAGGTACCGGCCCGAGCTCCCGCTGGCTGTGCAAGATGTGTCCCTCACAATCCACCCTGGAGAGAAGGTGAGTGGTCCCCCCGTCGCATCTTTAAATCATACTATCACTTCCAAGTTGGCTGTCACCTCACGTCTCCTCTCTGCAGACTCGCCACACTCTGTTCCTCGTCTTCTTGCTCATCTTAGAGCCGCACTCACGCAACAGCCAACCCCAGGTCCCAGACAAGGAGGCAGCTCCCAAGCCCCTTCTTCTAATGCTGGCTTAACCCTTTTTGTTTGCCATGCCTGTGCTGATTGTTCACCTCTGTTACGCAGTTCACATAGGCCTGGATCTGAATTGGCAATGGGATGATCTTGAGCAAGTCACTTGATGACTCTGGGGCCCCAGTCTCTACATCTGTAAAATGGACACAATACTATCAGCCTCATGGAATTGTGGTGTTTCACTGAGTTAATACACATGAAATGCTTGGACAAATTGGCAACAGAAGCTTGAAAGATTGAATAAGAACTCTGTCAGGCAGCTTGCTTAAAGTGAGGAGGACTTGGAAGCATTTGTTAACAGAAGGTTAAACACTGCAGCCTTCAATACGGATTGCATCTCAACGTCAAGAAAATAAAAATCCTCACCACTGGACTGATAGGCAACATCATGATGGATGGAGAAAGGATGGAGACTGTTATCGACATCAGCTTACGTGGATTGACAATATACTTGGTACCAGCAGCCAGGAGATCAGGGGACATATTGCACTGGGAATGTAGTCAAGGACTTCTTCAAATTATTGAAGACTAGTGATATCAGCTTGAGGTCCAAAGTGCTCCTAACTCAGGCCACGGTCTTATCAATCACTTGATATGCATCTGAGAGCTGGACAGTGTCTAAGGATAACAGAAGAACCTACGCCTTTGAACTGTGGTGCTGGAGAAGAGTACTGAATATTCCCCAGATTGCCAAAAAACCCCAAACAGATATGGTCTAGGAGAATGTGCAACCAGAGTGCTCCTTGAAGTCAAGGATGATGAGCCTTCATCTCACATACTTTGGACATGTTGCTAGGAGAGGCTATTCCTTGGAGAGGTATATCAAGCTTGTAAAGGTGGTAAGACGGTGAAGGAGAATGAGACCCTCAACCAGATGGGTTGACACAGTGACTGCAGCAATGGGCTCGAGTGTGTCAGAGATTGAGAGGACGGCACGGGAGAGGACCGTGTTTAGCTCAGTTGTTCTTAGGGTTGCTATGAGTCATACTGGACTCAATGACACCTAACAACAAAACAACTGTCAAACAGCAGATAATAATAAACAGCTCCTAGCTGACCCCCCCCAGTGGGTTTTCAGAGGCTGTAGATTACACACGAGGAGATTGCCATCTTTCTCCTGCAGAGCAGCTAGTGGATTTGAACCACTTACGTTTGGGTTGACAGTGCAACTCCTTACCCATTAGGCCACAAGTCTTCCTTCTCATGCAGTGCATTTATGTTAATGGAAGAGAAACAACTCAGGAAAAAGAAATGAGAATGGGTTGTATGAGTAGAATGGAATCAGTGTCACTCAACTGTGCATGTAGAAACAGCAAAATAAATTGAAAAAAGTGTTTACTTAGAAAAGTGGCCCATAGCAAGCACTACAGAAATGTTTGCTGGTGTGTCTGTTTATTATTATTTGCGTGTCTACGCTCACTCCAGGACGCCCTGGGGCCCCAGTGGAACTGCACTGTCAGCCCAAAGGCGTGCGGGTTGAACCTATCAGTTACAACACAGGAGAAAGATGGACATTCTCCTCCAGTGCGATTTACACCTTCCGAAAACCCACTGGAGGGGCAGCTGTCAGTTGGTTCCAACTCAACAACAAATTTAACAACCACAAGGCTCCCAGCCACGCTGTGAAGGAGCTGGAGTTATCCCATCTTACAGATCCTGCTTGGGGCTCTCCTTCCATGCTCCCCCTTCCATGCTGCCACCCTCTTGTGCTCCCAGCCAAACGCCCAGCCTCCACTCTGCTCACTGGTACCCTCCCCAGCTTTGGGAACTCTTAAGAGGCAATTCTATTCTGTTACGGGCCAGTCAGAATTGGCTTGATGACAATGGGTGTTGATCACACCATGTTACAATTCAGTTTATCTCGTTGTGCTATTTCCAAGACTACCTGGTGAGCCCTGTGGAGCCAGGACTTTTAACTTCCATGTTTTGAGGGCCTGAGGACCCTAGCTTACCTGTAGGCTTAATGGTAAAGAATTGCGCTGTCAACACAAATATATGCAGTTTGAATCCACCAGCTGCTCCGTGGGAGAAGGATGGGCAGTGTCCTCCTGTGCAATTTACTGCCTCTGAAAACCCACCAGAGGGTCAGCTATGAGTCAGCCTATTTGAGGATACACAACTACAACAACAACAACAGAGAATCAATTATAAGTGGGGTAATTCACACATTCCTTTTGTTTGTTAAACACATAGTATTTTTTAAATAAAATTTTTAATTGTGATTTAACAAAAGTTTACAGAAAAGTTAGATTTCCATTTATTCATTGTTGCATATTTACCCCCTCTCCCTCCCTTCCTCCTCCACAATTCACTTAAAAAAAAAAAAGAAAAACCACCCAAACCATTCATTGTGGCACAATTACCTCGCTGCCCCCAGTCCTCTTTGCAGTGTACCTCTTATTCTGGGCTGTTGTCGTACATATAATGCCTAATCATACATTCCTTTTAAGCAGTTCATTGGGACAGATGAAGGTAAATGCACGGCTTTGATCCTCACCACAGGGCAAGTGGTGCAGATGCAACAGTACACAGAGGAGAGACGAACTGGGTGGGGGGCGGGAGGGGAGAATCAGCGATGGATGAAAGAATGAGGTTTCAACAGAAGGCTGGTGGATTGAAGGGTGGAGGAAATAGATGAAGGGATACACTATAGAGAGGAGGAGGAGGAGGCGGAACAATGGAGGATGGATGGATGGATGGATGGATGGATGGATGGATGGGGCTAGACGGATGAGTGAAAAGAATGTGACAAGGGTAATGGGATGGATGGAGGATTGAGGATGGAAGGAAGGATGGAAGGTTAGAGAAAGAGGGGGAAGGTTGGAAAGATAGAGGAACAGAAGGATGGGTGCTAGGTGTGAAGCTGGGTGTTGAGAAGCTAGAACGCATGCAGGGCAGGTTGGGTGTGTTAGGGGTGGATTCATGGAAGAAGGGACAGATAGGGAATCATGCGGATGGATGCTCAGAGGAGACAGATGGGTGGGCAGATCTTGTTGTTAGGTGCCATCAAGTTGTGTACAATTGATAGTGACACTATGAACAAGAGATCTGAACCCTGTCCAATCCTGTGCCACCCTCATCAGCTCTGACAGACTTGAGCCCATTGCCGCAGTCATGAAACCAATTGATCTCATTGAGGGTCTTTCTCTCCCTGTTTAACTCTCTGTCTTCTCAAGCATGATGTCCTTCACCCGGGAATAGCCTCTCCTAGAAGCGTGCCCAAAGGCTGTGAGATGAAGCTTTGTTGTCCTTGCCTCCAAGGAGCACTCCAGATGCACTTTCTCCAAGACACATCTGTGTGTTCTTTTGTCAGTCGATGGGATATTCAGAATTCTTCTCCAAAACCAGAGTTCAAGGGCATCAGTTCTCCTTCTGTCATCCTAATTCATTCTCAAGCTTTCAGGTGCCTAGCGCATAATTGGGAAGACCATGGCGCACCTTAGTCCTCGACTGGCAGATCTAAGCACAGAGAAAGTCCCTCTGGACTCTGGCCTGCCTCCCTCTGGCCATGCCTGGTCAAAGCAGGTCTGGTCTTGTGCTCCCTGGCAGGTGGGCATCGTAGGCAGGACGGGAGCTGGGAAGTCCTCCCTGGCGAGGGGCCTGCTGCGGCTCATGGAGGCAACAGAAGGCGGCATCTGGATCGACGGAGTCCACATCGCCCAAGTAGGGCTGCACACGCTGAGGTCTAGGGTCGCCATCATCCCCCAGGTGAGGCTGGGGAAGCCAGGGAAGCTGGGGGCCAGGGTGGTGGGGTGAGCTGGGCATCTCTCTGATCTGCTGCCTCCTGGCCAGGACCCCATCCTGTTCCCGGGCTCTCTGCGGATGAACCTGGACCTGCTTCAGGAGCACACAGATGAAGCCATCTGGGGGGCCCTGGAGACGGTGCAGCTCAAAGCAGTGGTAGCCAGCCTTCCTGGCCAGCTGCAGTATGAGTGTTCTGACCAAGGGGACAACCTGAGGTAAGATGGGCCTGCTGTGGCCAGGACTTTGCTGGGGCTCTGGGGAGGGGGCAGAGCCCTGGAGGATGCTTCAGGAAATCCCCTTTCCCCGTGGTATTATCATCCTCGAGGCCTCTCGGTGGAGCAAACATTTATACTCAACTACTAATCCGGAAACTCTCTGAACTTTGATAGTGTAGATAGCTGTAGAGGGGCTTCAGGCCTTTTGTTCATAGGGTCGCCATGAGTCATGCTCGACTCAAAGGCAGTCAACAACCACCACCACCACCAATCTAGAAGTTGGTGGTTCGAATCCATTAAGAAGTACTTCAGAAGAAAGTCCTGGCAATCTGCTTCTGATATGATTACAGCCCAGAAAGCCCCACGGAGCAGCTCTGCTCTGTTAACAGCTGGGCTGCCACAAGTTAGGCAAGTGTTTTGAGGGTTTGTTTATTTCTCTGGTGACCCAGAAGGTAAGGAATTGCACTGCCAATCTAAAGACAGACAGTTCGAATCCAGCAGCTAATTCGTGGGAGAAAGATGAGCAGTCTCCTCTTGACAACCCACTGGCAGGTCAGCTAAAAGTCTGTTCCAGCTCAACAGTACAACAGTAATAATAACATAATATCAGCTTCAGTTGGTACATGGAGAAGACAATAGAATAGAAACAGATGTACCCATTTTACAGATGAGGAGACTGAGGTACAAAGGGTTTGAATGATGTGTTTGAATGTGGCCTTTCTGGCTGAAGCCTTCTGTGGGACACACACATACATTTCCACTTCTGTGCTTATTGTAAGAACCGTGGGCTGGGCACACCCTAGAAATGATCCCATGCAGGCCAGCATCCCCCAGCCTGACTATCCCATTTGTTCCCAGTGTGGGCCAGAAGCAGCTCCTGTGCCTGGCACGTGCCTTGCTCCGGAAAACCCAGATCCTCATCCTGGATGAGGCCACGGCTGCCGTGGACCCAGGGACTGAGCGCCAGATCCAGGCGGCCCTCGGGAGCTGGTTGGCCCAATGCACAGTTCTGCTCATTGCCCACCGTCTGCCCGCCGTGATGGACTGCACCAGGTACAGTGCCTGCCTGCTGTCCCCCACTCTCATCTGGGAATCAAGGGTCTCAGGGTCCCTGAGCAGATAGAGGAGGGCCTGGGTATGCTCGGTCCCACCCACAGGAATCTAGAGCTTGAAGGATCCCTTCAAGCATTGCATTCTCAAGTGCCCATTGTACAGGTGGCAAGACTGAGGCCCCCAGGGGAAGGGATGCACCCAAAGACATATGCTCATCAGACGTGTTAGGCAGTTCCCCAAGGCTGGGCCTGTGGGAGCTCACCTGGGCACACCTTTGAGCTTTCAGAAGTGCCCAAGCTATTGTTAAAAGAGCTTTCTCTCCCTCTACCCAGAGTCTTGGTCATGGACAAAGGTCGAGTGGCAGAGAGTGGCAGCCCAGCCCAGCTGCTGGCCCAGAAAGGCCTCTTTCACAGGTTGGCACAGGAGTCAGGCCTGGTCTAAGCCAGCTCCCTCTTGACCATGGAGAAATGGCAGAGCAGCTTGGAGCACTGGACTTCTGGGGCCATCCAGACCCGAAGGCTGGGCCAGCTCTCAGCCTTGATGAACCACTGAGCTCATGTGGGGAGCTTAAAACATACCCGTGCTCCAGAAACACACAGATCTGTGCCCCAGGATCCTGGCTGGAGCCTACGCCATAGTGTATGCTATGTGCACGTACTTTAATTAGTTATGACTTCCTTGAAGTAACTGTAGACTCGTGTGTCGTGCAGATCCTGCACTCCCTTTCTCTCTTCTCAGCCCGGTGGGACAATATTGCAAGAACAATAGTTCAGTGTTACCATCAGGAGATGGACACAAGCCGCCTGACTTGGTTTACTTTTCATCAGTATGTATTTTCTGTGCAGTTTTATTAAGTGTGTTAGCTCCCTGGACATCAGCCTACAGGCCTGTTTTTGGTACTTACGCCTCTGCTGCTGGCCACTGCCACCCAGGGCCCTGTGGGTGGCATGACCCAAGTCAGGATTCCAGCTCAGAATGACCCGAGAGGACAGAGTGGAACAGCCCCACCCCAGGGTCTCTGAGACTGTCATCCCCCCCCCCCCCCACCGCCCGCGGGTGCTTTTGAAGCACTGACCTTTCAATTAGCAGCCAGGGGCTTGACCCCTGTGCCGCCGGGTCTCCTTGGACTTGTCAGGGCCTTGACTTGCTGTGCCGTCCTGTGTGAATGGGGAACCTGGTGTCCTTCTCTCACCGAAGATGGTGAAACAGATGCTGAGCTAAAGGACTTGCCCACAGCAATGATTTAACACACACACCCCACGGAGGGATTTGAGCCTAGGTGGCCGAGCTACACACACACACACACACACACACACACAGAAATCCGGAGAGGGATTTGAACCTATGTGGCCTAGCTACACACACACACACACAAACTCACAGGATTTGAATCTACGTGGCCTAGCTACACACATACACACGCACGTGCGCGCACACACACACATATACACGCACATAAACAGAAACCCACACAGGGATTTGAACCTACATGGCCTAGCTACACACACACACACACTCTCTCTCTCTCTCTCACACACACACACACACACACACACACACACACACACACACACACGTTGAGCTGTCGATCAGAAACAGACTGTATCTCTTACCTATCTGGAACTAAGATGACTGAACAGCCCATCGATGACACCACCAGCAGCTGTCAGAGGATGAACAGTCTCCCCGTGCAATTAACCACCTCTGAAAACCTGCTAGAGGGTCAGGTATGGGTGTGAGCTCCAACTCTGTGTTATACAACCACCACCAAAGAACAAGCCGATGTGCCCTGGAGAAGGTGCAACCAGAGCGCTCCTTAGAGGCAAGGACGGTGAAGCTTCGTCTCACATTCTTTGAGCACGTTGCTTGGAAAGGGACATCATGCTCGGAAAGGTGGGGCGTCAGCCCAGGAGGAGAAGACCCTCAATGAATGAGATGGATTAAAAGTGACTTTGGCAGAGGGCTCAAGTATGTCAGAGGTGATGAGGATGGTACAGGACAGGATGGGATTCAGATCCATTGTTTACAGGATCACTGACAAAAACAATCATCCAAATATCACGACCAACTTTAACGGTGATAATCTTGTTGCTCGCTGCCACTAACTCATGCTGTTATGTGCTGTCAAGTCAGAACTGACTCATTACTGACCTTCCAGCAGGTTTTCTGAGGCTATAAATCACATGGGAGTGTACTGCCCACCTTTCTCCCACAGAATCACCGGTGGAGTTGAACTCCCTGCCTTTGGGTTGACAGCACAACTTCTTATTGCAAGGCCACTGTTATTGTTATGTGCCGTTGAATCACCTGCGACCCATTGCGACACTGTGTACAGCAGCTCTGAAGCCTGCCCTGTCCTGAGCCGGTCTCACGGATTCTGACACACCAACCCCCTGCCCTAGTTATTTTATCAAACCATCTCATCTGGGGTCTTCCTCTCCTACGCTGTCCCTCCACCTTTTCAAGCATGATGTCCTTTTTCAAGGACTGGTTTCTCCTGGCCACGTGCCCTAAGTGAGATGGAGCTTCGAAATCCTAGCCTCCAAGGAGAAACTTGGTTTCACCCTCTCCAAGACAGACCTGTTTGTTTTCTTGGGAGTCCATGATATGTTTCAAGACTTCTCCAGCACCACAACTCGAAGGAATCTCTTCTTCTTCTGTCATCCTTAGTCATTTTCCAGCTCTCTGTAGCATAGCAAGTAATTGAGAAGACCATGGCCTGGATTAGATGCGCCTTTGTCTCTAGACTTGACATTGTTGATCTTCAGCCCTCTGGAGAGGTCCCTGACAGCAGATTTCCCCAACCCATCTTTTGAGTTCCTGACTGCTGGTGCTAAGTGTTCATTGTGGAGCTGAGCAAGTTATAATTGTTAACAACCTCAATATCTTCTCCATCTATCCTGGTGCTGCCAGTTGGCCTAGTGGTGAGAATCTTTGTCTTCTTGATGTTGAGCTTCAATCCATATTGAAGACTACAGTCCTTGACCTTCTGCAGTGAGTGCTTCAAGTCCTTCAGTTTCAGCAAGCAAGGGTTTGTCATCTGCATAACTAAAGGTCTCTGTATACCATGAGATCAGACTATATCCCTAGGGTTTTCATTGACTGATTTTTACAAGTGAGCATTAGGCCTTTCTCCTTTGTCTGAAAGCTCTGCTGAACTCATTTGGCATAACCAACGTGCATACCTCCCCATGTTTGAGACGCACTGACCAGGAATCAAGCATGCCATCTTTCCCCTAGAAAACAAACATTCTCCTAGCACAGAGCCACTCACCACTACCCTTTGAAATGGTCTCACCAGCTACATTTTACCTCACTTTTCTATTTTGCAGCCCCAACACAAGCCAGTTCTTTCAGCAATGATGGAGGGAAAACAGGCTGTGTTGTAACATTCTATGCACACAATGGACTTCATGCACACAATGGACTTCATAGTTTTGGGTGGTGGTGTGTAACACTCACCCAACTTGAACTTTAGAGACCAAACAGACTAGCACAGAGAGAAATACTGGTCTTTCACTTGCTCCCTTACACTTCCCAGCATCCTTTGTGGTTTGTTGGAACCATGTGACAGATTTTGGCCAATGGACAGTGGGAGTTTGAGTTTCCTCTGCTCTAAGTGAGAATCTGAGTTATCCACATACTCTTCTCTTGCTTCTATGGTGACCAGGCCAGCCTGTGAAAAGTGGTGCCTTAAGATGTTCTAAGATTCTTACCGTCTGGATGGCTCAGCCTCGGTACTGAAGGCAGCCTTCCTTCCTGAAAACCGTCATCAAAGATCTCTGACCAAGCAAATAGCTCTCAGGTTCATTTACCAAGATTTCATGGCTCCTGTGTTAAAGACTGCAGCATGGCCTAGCCTAATACAATGGGGTTTTTAAGAAGAACCGGCCATGCGTTACTTTCAACTCACTACAGTCTCAGATCCTGATCGTATGTTCCATACACTCACGTCGCTGCTCGACCACACAAGTCTACACAGTAGCCACAATATTTTCCCATCTCAGCAGCTGATGTGCTGAGGGTAATCCAAAGTGACAGGGTCAGCAAGTGACAAGGGCTGCACTCAAGGCCAGGCTTGTCCTATGTCAGAGCCCAGACTGTCCACTTGCCATGTAGATGTTTCACAAAGCCCTGCCCCAATTCCTGACCTCCAGCTCCTTGCTTCTGACGTCAGTACCCGCTACAGATCACAGGAGAAGTGTTAGGTCCCAGAGGGTGCCCATCCCGTTCTACAGGCGTGGCGGCTGAAAGCTTGACGTCAATGCCAAAGAATGTGGGACAACCATTTAGAAAGAAATAAAATATATTTTTTTTACTGCAAATTTTCTTGCAAATGTTCACGTTTCCAGTGTAAGTCATTAAAAAAGATATTCAAGAAAAACTTGGCTTGTCTAATGTGAAAGAATGGTATAATTTACAAAAGAAATAAAATAAAATAAATATATATTTCCACCTAAAAGATGAAATATGCTTCGCTGGGTTTAAAGTCGGCAGGATAATCCACAACTGAACCCTCACCTGGGGCTGCTGTGACCACGCTCTGATTCTTCTTCGGGCCTCATGATGGTCGCTGACCAGGAGACTGGGAGAGGGCGGGCTTTGAAGGGCTCTACTTTTGTTTTTGTATTTCCCCCCCGGCCCCCCGGGAACAGAGGGGCCCCAGTCAGAGGTGGGGCCAGCTCGGTTATTCCCTGGGAACATGGCTTTGCCCCACACGCTCTTCTAAGATAAGTCAAAGTCTTGAGACGTTTTCTTCCTTGGGGTATAAAATTGAAAAAATTACCTTGAAACCAGAAGAAATATATGCTGTCCAATTACCTGACTATTCATCCTGACCTGGGACAGTATGTTGTCCAGGATACAAAATAGGAAAGAACTGGAGAACAAAACTAAAAACGGCCAGACTTACTGGGCCATTAGAGACTACAGGAATTCCCAGTACTATTGCCCTGGATATATCCTTTAAACGTAGAAATCAAATCAGTCCTGGTTGGCCACCTATCAGCCAGCAGACAGAGTGACTACAAAATAGCATCACCCATGAGTATTGTGTGCCTTCTAAACAATCATTTGAATGAGGCCTGGGAGTTAACACCTCGCCTAGGCCAGAGATGAGAAAGGAAGGGGCACACAGGGAAGCTAGATTAACGGAAACAAAACCACCAGAATGGAAATGATGACACACAGTGAAAAGTGGAACCAATGTCACTGAATAAGATGCACAGAAATGGCTGAAGGATAACCTCATTTGCTATGTAAATTTCTTTCCAAAGTCACAATACTAAAAAAATAGTAATAACGTAAGTGAAGGGGAAGACTCAACAGGACTGTTTTGGGTACCGACAGGTAATACTTGGGAGAGGTACCTAGTGCTCTTCACTGTGAACACTTTATAACCATCAGCGGACCTTCATCTCCTTTGGGGAACAGTTAACCCACTCTAAGCCATGAGTGAGGAGAGGCAGGGGGATGCGGGGTGGGGCGGGGAGCCCCTGAGTTGGGGAGTGAGCAGCGAGGCCCCGGGGTCCTCATCGTCCAAGAGCTGAGTCGAGTTCCTCCAAGAGAAGAAGGTGCGAGGTTGAAAAAGGCTGTTTGTGGCTTCTGTGGAAGCCCTTGCCATGGCCACCTGGAGATGTCAGCTCCAAGCATCTGAGCATCTGGAAGACCCCATGGTGAGTGGGAGGTGCGTCTGTGGCCTGTGGGACCCAGGAGGATGCTCCTCGGACCCCTGGCCTCACCACTGCAGCCCTGAGAAAGTGGGGCATTCTGGGTGGGGCTGGGAGCTTCCTGGTGACATCAGCTGGAGGTCCTGAGGCGGCTGGCAGGGTATGGGCACCAGCGTATCCCAACTTCTTCACAAACAGCCCCGTGGAAGCACCAGAGGGCACGGGTTTGCGATCCCAGGGCAAGAGGATGTGGCGTGTGGGTGTTTGACAGGCAGGGAGCTGCTGGAGGAGGGCGGTGCTTTGCTTGGTTGTTTTGGTTCATTCTTTTTGGTTTCAGTACTGGAGGTCTGCATTCCCAGAGCCCTGATGTACAGGCCCTGTGGCTTTGCCCAGACGGGAGGGCGCGGGGCTCACACCAAGCCAGCGTCCCTGGCCATGCTGTAGAAGAGGCCTCTTTGCTGCAGGAGGTCAGCAGGTGGTCCGCACTCCCGGATCTCTCCTTTGTCCAGGACGATCACCCTGCCGGAGGAGGGACACAGGCATGAGAGCAGTGAGGGTGGGGGCATCTCCTCCGGAACGCGCACCTAGGACGGTCAGGCTCCAGCACTTGCAGCCTCTGTGTCTTCTGAGGAAGAGTAACCCCAGGACCTGTGCAATGGCTGGGAGCCCCTGCCCCAACCCCTATTCCCAGTCAGAGCCACAGTCCTGTCCGTCTCTGCTCCCTGCCATTAATGCAGGTGGAGGAACAATACCAACGGCAACAGGTCAACCCTGCTCACACCTGACCCGTCGCTCTCAGGGTATAAAGGAAACATCGTACGTAGTCTACAGCCAGGAAAACCTGCCTCCACGAGTCAACACCCACTTGTGAGGGTCCTGTCGGTGCCAGAGTGGAACTGTGTTCCGTGGGGCTTCTGTGGCATTTTTTAGAAGGAGATCACCAGGCCTTTCTTCCTGGGCATTGCCAGGTGAGTCAGCACCACCAACCTTTCATATCTGACAGACACGGCTAGTAGTCAGATTTAGCCACGTGCACTACCCCAGAGGGTCTCTGTCTGAGGTACAGGCGGTTCCTAGCTTCCAACAGGGCTCTGTCTGACTTTGTCAGTTCCAACTTAAGTTCTGACTTAAGTTGAATGTGTCTGTTTTTATATTGGCCTGTTTTCATTATTACTGCTTTGTATTATCAGTGTCTGTAGACATCTGGTCTTGCCTTTGATGGTTAGAAACATTCATTACATAGAAACAGATATGAAGGTATCACTAGCACATTTCTAAGGCTGTACTAGTAAAGGGAAGATGTGTCAAAACAAAGGATGCTTCCAAGTGTGGTTCAATGTCATGAAAAGATGTTCTAAATAGGAACTCAGTCCTACTGAATTTATAGGGTGAAGGCAGCCAGGGACAGGATGTAAATGAAAATGACGGTCTTATGATAGCATCTCTATCAACAGGCGGTGATGGGCTGTGGCCATGGCACCGTCTGCTCACCCGACCCATGACGACGCCTCGCCCATTCTCACAGGGTCCAGCCTGGCCTATTTCTGACCTCACTTCCAACTACTCTCCCTTGAGTCTCCACGATGCCAGCCGTGCCCATCACAGAGGGGCTGAGAGCCCCTCTGCATCAAATATGGACTCTAGGGAATCAATTCTGATTCCTAGTGACCCTGGAAAACAGAAAAGAGCTGCTCTATAGGGTTTCCAAGCCTGTAATCTTTAAACCATTAAGAAATGATCCCTTTTTACTTGATATTGGGTTTACTGTCCCCTCCAGCTAAGTCAGCAGTCCCCGAGGCAGGCTGTGAGCCCCAGACGTGAGGCAGGCAGACAGCCTGTATGTGCTGATGGGTGCTGGGAAGGCCTGGCACTCCCCGCAGTGCAGACAGGACCACCAGTGGGCTGTCTCTAGGTGGTCAGTGTGCGAACAAGAGAGTGAATGTGCTGACCCGCGTGCTAAGGGCATCACCTAGTGTAGTCCATGATGGTGTTGAGTCGGTGTGCAATCGTGAGGACGGTACAGCCCTCGAACTGGGTCCGGATGGTGGACTGGATGAGGTCGTCCGTTTCCAGGTCCACGGCCGCCGTGGCTTCGTCCAACACCAGGATCTTCGTTTTTCTCAGCAGGGCCCGGGCCAGGCACAATAGCTGGCGCTGTCCAACGCTTGATTGGGGGGAAAAATCAGGGGACAAGTTGCCTCACAGATGCTAGACGTGAGGTGGTATGGGATTGACAAGAGGTTGTCCAAAGAATCTCACACCTTCTTGCACCTCTGCCATCACCATGGCAACCTGCCAGGGAGGGCTGCTGGAGGAGGCGAGGCCAGGCGAGCACAGCCGAGGCCAGGGAGAACTGCTGGGGCTGGAAGGGCTCTGGACAGGGGCTCCTTGCTTACTAGTCTAGAAAGCCCTCAATAATAACTGATAGCCACCCTCCACCGAGTGGAGCGGATGTCAGAGGGCAATATCCTGCCCATACTTAGACACCACAGTAGAAAGAGCCCATTTTACAGATAAAGAAATTGAGGTTCCAAAAGGTTAAGACACACTCTGGGACAAACCACTAGCTTACGGCAGAGCTGGGACTCAAACCTACTTCAGACACAGATCCATGAGGACAAACCTTTCAGCGCCTGCCCCAAGGTGTGGAGTCCACCCTACCACCTGCTCCTGCCGGCCACCTGCACGCCGCCCCGCCTACCTCAGGTTCTCCCCGCCTTCCGCGCACTCGTGGTTGAGCTTATCCGGAAGGGCCGACACAAAGCTCTTCAGGTGAGCCAGCTCCAAAGATGTCCACACCTCTTCGTCAGAGTACTGGTTGAACGGGTCCAGGTTCATGCGGAGGGAACCCGAAAACACAACGGGATCCTGTCAAGAAGGCAGACAACAGAATGGCATCTGAGGCACAGCTCAGGCTGGACACAGGGCAGTGAGGTTCTCGTCAGAGCGGCCAAAGATGGGGTTCCAGAATTGCTCAGGATGACGGCCTCTGGGGTAGATGTTAGTTGTGTGGAAGGCCTCAGGTTAAACAGAATGGAATACATGTGTTCTCTTTTGCAGGCCTTCTCAGAGCCTTTAATATGCAAAGGGGACCTGGATCTGGGCTGGGTGTCCCGGCGTCGAGTGTCCTCCACCACCCCCTCTCCTACTCTGTTTTGCAAGAGAGACTCTGAGAAGGGACTTCAGTGGAACACAGCTGCTGGATCCTAAGGAAATGCCACCAGGAGGCAGCATGTGAAGGAGTCACGCTCTACCAGGCTCACTTTAGGAGAGTCTTAGCATGAAGTGAGGGATTATCGCCCCCGATCAGCTAGCCGAGGAGCCAGGTTGTCCTAGGTTTTGCCAGGTGCCCAGGATGGCAATAGCTGAGGATGTGGAGGAAGGCCTGGGCTCGTGTCCACGGAGTTGACTGGACAGGTCTGGGGTGCCCATCCATGTGTGACCACGTAAGACCTATGAGACCCACTACGACAGATTCAAGGTCTGGCATTTCAGAAGTGGATCCCCACTGACTCCATGTGTCTCTGGGTGGGCTTGAACTGCCAACCTTCTGGTTCACAGTCCATCACTGAACTGTTGGCACCAACCAGGACCTCCCGATGGAGACTAACCCTTGGTCCACCCCACCCCGTGGCTCAGAGGAGTGTGGAGAAGAAAGGGGAGTGTAACGTTAAGGGACAGGAGATGGGCGATCAGGTGTGTCCTCGGTGGCCGCGCCCCGAGCCCCACCTGAGGAATGATGGTGATCTTGAAGCGGAGATTGTGCAGGCCGATCTTGGCGATGTCCACGCCGTCGATGACGATCCGTCCCTCGGCCGACTCGTTGATGCGAAACAAGCCCAGCGTCAGCGATGACTTCCCAGCGCCTGTTCGGCCCACGATGCCAACCTGTGGGGCAGGACAGGCTGGTGAGAGGGGAGCACTGCTCTCTGCGGGTCACCTCACCCCACTCTTCCCTCCTTTCAGGCATCTCCCCCAGAGCAGCTTTGCTACCCCAACTCCTGCCAGAGCCCTGTGCTCCACCAGCTTCCCCTGGAGCCAGGATATGACCAAAAGTTAACAAGGGACTTCGCTGTCTTTGCTGGGTCCCCTGAGGGAGGAATCAGTTCTTTTTATAACTCGGTGAGGCCCAAGGAGATAAGCCAAAGGATGAATTGCATTGGAAAAGTCTGCTGTCAGGGACCTCTGTAGAGTACTGAAGAGTAATGACGTCAATCTGGAGACTAAGGTGCGCCTGATTCAGGCCATAGTCTTTGCAATTGCTTGTTATGCATCAGAGAGCTGGACAATGACTAGGGATGATAGAAGGAGAATTGACGCCTTTGAGCTGTGGCGCTGGAGAAGAGTATTAATATACCATAGACTGCCAGGAAAACAAGCAGGTTCACCCTAGAGAGCATGAGACCAGGCTGCTCCTTGGAGGCAAGGTTTCTGAGGCTTTGTCTGACATACTTTGGGCATGCTGTAAGGAGGGACAGGTCCTCAGAGAGGGACATCATGCGTACAAGGGTAGAGGGACAGCGCAGGAGGGGAAGACCATCAATGAGATGGATTGACTCGGGTAAGGAGGGTAGGTGTGCTGGAGACAATCAGGTTGGCACAGGATAGAGGTTTCAGTGCTGTTATACACAGGGTTGCTAGGAGTCCCCAGTGACTCAAAAGCACATAACAACAACAACATTACTTTCAACTCAAGTTATGATGGAGGGAAGAGGCCTCAGGTCAAGGCGCCTGGGGACACAAGGATGATGAGCCTGGCTGCTAACCCAACGGGTGGCAGTTCAAACTCACTGTCTCCTTGACCAAGTGATATGCTCCTGTGAAGGTGACAGCCTTGTAGACCTTGTGGGGACCTTCTGTTCTGTCTGGAGGTGCTATCTGTCGGATCTTTGGGTATTTTTCCCACACAGGCTCTTCAGTCCCCTGCTGGTGATGCTCCCTTCCACAGCCGTTGAAATATTTCACGGATTCAAGCAGATCCTCCGGGAGGTCCCATCCCTCTTCTCAGGAGAGGTGAGCGCAAAGATGTTACAGATGTGACCTGGCTGTCACTTGTCTCCACTCGAGGGACCTGACCAGCTGCTGTCGAGTCTGCCCTGCTCACCGTGACCCCCTGTGTTTCAAAGGAGAACTCTGCGTGCTCCTGAGGGTTTTCAATGGCGGAGGCCTTGTGGAAATCCACTGTCAAGTCATTTTTTGAGGTGCCTCCAGGTGGATTCAAACTGCCAGCCTTTAGGTCAGCAACTGAGCACGTAACCATCTGTGCCACCGATGCTGCCGTGAGGGGACGCAGCTCCCCATCTAAAGGGGCTCCTGCCATCGAGTCACAGCTCTCCCTTCTCTGAGCTCCTGAGGGGAAGGCGTCCTCTTTCAGAAAAGCCACAGAGCAGTGAGCACGTGGATACCCTCTTGACAGAATACAAGCTATGAAGGCCCACTGAGATTCTATCTCTCTCTGTTTTCCCCATCACATTACTGAGAGAAATAATCTCCAGGGAACAGAACATTCTGAGTCTTGCAGACATTTCTGAGGTGGAAACGCACTGTCCCAGGGCAGATGGCCAGGAAGACCTTAGGTCAGATTTCTGAAGAAGATCTAAGTGTTTGAGGGAAATGCTTTGTTCCAGGACCAGCAAACGTCCAAAGTCCTAATTATTCCTGGCCTCCACTGAGACATCTCTTGCTATGACAGTGACATCTTTCCATCCCATCTACAAGGACAGGGTAGGGAGGGACTAGTCTTATCTAGAAAGAGCTAAGTGGGGAGTCCGGGCCCACTAATTGCTTGACAACCTGATTTTTCAAGAAAAGAAGTAAATGGGATTTTTATATCAACTCTTTCCCATTTTTCCATCCCTGAAATTTATTCACACTCAGAAATAAAATTGAAGAAATATGAGGCTCTCACTGGGCTGCACCCGTTAAATGCCCTCTAAAGTAGCTGCCACTTCCATGGATCCCCTCTCCGCCCCCCAGAGGGCCTCAGAAACTTGGGCGTGGAGGGGAGGTGACAGTGGCTAGTGCCAGGCACCCACCTTCTCTCCCCCTTCGATGGTGACATTGATGTGCTTCAGCACGAGGTCCAGCTCCTTTCGGTAGCGCAGCCCGTAGTCCAGGAACTCCACTTGGCCTACCTGAGGCCAGGTGCTGGGCGGAGCGGTTTCCTCAATTTGCCAGGGAGCCTGTGGTCGCAGGTAGGAGGGGTGGAGTCAGAGGACAGAGTAAGAGACGCAAGCCCAGGTCCAGGCCCCAGGCCACGTGAGCTGCCCCTCCACCGTCTCACGCCTGTTCTCTCGGCTCTGGCCTCACTGGCTACTCCTCAGAGACCTCGGCATGTCCAGGCCCTTTGACCTGTTGCCCTCTTTATCTGGAATGATCTCCCCCTAATGACCCAGCAGTGTGATTCCTCACACCTCCCAGGTCTCAAGTCAACTGCCTTCTCACTTCCCCTGAACACTGGCCACCTCTGACCATCCACATTTGTGCCTGCTGTCATTCAGGCTCACTGGACAGCCACCCCGAGGACAAGCCCTTGCCCGGTTTGCTCACTCTGGTACCCCCAGTGCATAATGGTGGGGTTGGGGGTGACCTCTTTTGTGTTTTTCAAATCTATTCTAAAAAAATAAATAAATAAATGAATGAATAAATAAATTAATGAAACTAATTTAAAAAAGCAAAAATATTTTAAAAATCTAACGTCTCACTCTAGAATGGTATGTCAATACAGCTGTTATCTAAAATAAGGAAAACTAGATACCACCAAGTGACCCGCATGGAAAACTCCTAGTGTTATACTCCCTTATTTCCCCAGAGGGCGCTCACACCACACTGAATGAAGCTTGCACATGAAGGCTAGGCTCACTCAGTGCATTGGAATAGGTCACCTCCCTGAATCCCTCAGGCCACCTTTTACAGCCCTGGTCTCGTTTTCATTTTTTTCCCCCCCTCTCTTTCTCCCTCTTTTATTTATTCATTTATTGCTGCACATCTTCTGCCCACTTCCCTCACCCACCCCACAATGCACAGTTCCAGACTATTACATATAATGCATGATCATGGATCCCTTTCCAACAGTTCTCTCCCTCATCTGTTCTAATGCAGTGTTCATTATCTACCCACCCTTTCCCTATTCCCTTCCCAACCCTCCCGTGTCTGTCCTATTTTATAACAGCTGTGTGATGCAGTCTTTTATCCTTATGTGACTGAGATATTTCATTTAGCATAATGTCCTCAAGGCTCCCCCATGTTGAGTCATGTTTTACTATTTCATCATTTTTCAATGCTGCATAGTATTCCATTGCGTGGATGTACCATAGTTTTCTATCCATTCATTTACTGATGGGCATCTGGGTTGCTTCCACCACTTTGCTACCGTGAATAATGCTGCAATAAACATGGGTGTGCATACATCTATTTGAGCTGGGGCTCTGTTTTTTTTTAGGGTATATTCCCAGTAGTGGAACTGCTGGGTCAAATAGGATTTCAGTTTCCAACTTTCTGAGAAAGCACTTGGTCTCATTTTCAAGGGGCATTTTCTTACAAGTCACTGGCAAAATAGCAAAGAGGGTCTCAGGTTCTAAACCTGATCTACCATTTTTGAGTCATGGGATTGGCAAATAATCGAACCTTTCTCTGTGCCTTAATTTCCTCATCTGTAAAATTAGGATCACAAAAGTTACAGGTTGGGTGGAAAACATTTAAGATAGCGTCTGACAACCCCCAAGAGCACAGTAAGTGTCCGTTATTTTATTATTGATGGTGGTGATGTCTTCTCAAGGCATTATTGCAGTTATCATTATTCTTGATGCTACTACTATTGGTAGTTCTGGTGGTCTAGTGGATAAGGAAATGCAGTGCTAATGCAAAGGCAGGTGGTTTGAATCCACCAGCTATTCTGAGAGAGAAGTTCAGATTCCTTCCATGTGATTTATAGCCTCTGAAAATCTGCTGGAGGGTCAGCTATGAGTCAGTTCCGACTCGACAGCACGCAATAATTGGTGGTGGTGTCTGAAGATGAAATAAGGCAGTTATTAGGGTAATATGGTCGTTACTAAGGACAGTGTGGCCCTGGAGACAGGAGACCTCGGTTTTCCTCCCAGTTCTTCTCCACACCCACACCGTCAAGCACTCACCTCTCCTCTGCCTCCCTTTCTCTCTGTCCATAAAACGAGGACTTAGCTTAAAGAACTGCAGGGTTTCCCCAATTCTGGCCACTTCCTTACCCTATCATGACTTTTGCAACATCTACGTACAGATTCTCTTGTTACTTACTTTTTCATCAATTTATTTGTAACTTAATTCTGACTGCTGTAACTGCCCTGATGGTGGACATCCCACGTGCTGGGCAACGATGGGACAATTGTAATGTATATTCTTATGCTAACACTTGGTGGTTCTAAGAAGTTGCTTGCACGGGGCCCAGACAATCAGAAGAAGTGTCTCTCCCTGGTGCAGCATCCATCTCACCCTCTGTTTGAAGGTGAAAGAAATGCAAGGTATGGCTGGAAGGTTTATTTTTGGCAAAACCAATTCCCATTGAAAATCAAGGTTGGGCCAATGACCTTGGCTTTACCTCCTTCTCTGTTTCTGAATACTCCTTGAGTCTCTCCACAGCTACAATATTGGTCTCCATCTCCGAAGACATCCGCACGAGCCAGTTCAAGTATGTGGTCACCTATGAGAGACGGTTATTCTACTTACATAATTATGAATGATGACATTACATCAGGGAAAAAAAAGGTCTAGAAAACCATACCCACATAAATACAACCAGCACCCAGATTTGCCACACACTGCATCTCTCGATTAAATACCACAGTTCTCAGTAATGCATGGGTAACTCGTGTAATCATAAAGGAAATTAAAAATCCCTTTGTGCCTGATGTTACTATGAAAACACAACAGGGCAAAGTTTGTGAAATGCAGCTAAAGCAGTGCTCAGAGGGAAATGTATAGTCTTAAAAGCAGCGGGAGCCATCCTCATAGGCCATCAGGGAGTTTCCTTGACTGAAAAGGGAAATCTGGGTGTAGGTGTCCTGCTCAAGTCACCAGGCTGGACCCCTCTTTCTCAAACCTCCATCGGCTGAATCCTTTGTCCTCCCATGAGCCTGGGAACCAACCAACTGGCTCCTCAACTGAGAGAATGAGAGAAGGCAGCAGATTTCTTACCTGCAGCGAGTAAGACACGGACAGGCCCACCAAGCCCGCACTGAGTTTGTACCGGGAGATGACAGCAAACAGGGCTGCAAAGAGCACGATGCAGTTGCCTACGTACTCCAGCCTCACGGCCAGCCACCTGCAGGAGGCACAGGGAGGCGACACACACACACACACACACACACACACACACGCCCAGTCAGCTTTGTAGGGTCCTGGCCGCCTGCTCCAGGGCCAGGCCTAGGGTCTCTGTCAACTGAAGCAGACTCCGTGGCATGGCTGAGAGGGACCATCTCACAGCCCTGAACACACAAAACCCTCGAAGTGAGACGAGGCGGAGGGCTGAGGGGGCAGGATTCCAACCATTCCTCCTTCACTCAGCAACCCCAGGGATCAAAAGACAGTGCTCCTCTAGACACAGCCTTCCCGAGGAAGAGTCCACCTTTTTAGAATGCTTTTCCTCATTCTAGTCTTTCAAGTATTTATACTTAGACATTTCTTTAAAAATTGTTCTAGGCAATCTCTGGTGGTCTAATGGCAAGAAACTGCACTACAATCCCAGCAGTGAGTGGTTCAAATCCACCAGACTCCCTGCTGGCTGGAGAAGGAGGGACAATCTCCTCCTGTACCAGTCAGATCCGATTTGACAGTACACACACACACAAAATAATGAATTTTTTTTTGAAAGTTGTTCTAATACACAACAACAGAGTGCATAGGTATGGAGAAAAGATAAACTTTGATGCACACTTTTTCTGATTTTAAACCATACCACGTTCCTCTGTTCAGACAACTGCTTCTTGGTCTATACACAGGTTTTGCACGAGCATAATTAAGTGTTCTGGGATTACCATTCTTCTCAATGCTAATCATAATTTGTTATGATACATGCAGTCAAATACCTTTGCAAAATCAATAAAGTACAAGTAAACATAAAAAAATTGTTCTATAAATTCCTAAATGGTAAGTCTTCAACTCTAAGAGGCTCTGTTGTTATTGTGTATCAAAGAGTTGGAGACAATCCACAGCTGACCTCTGGTGAGTTTTCAGAGGCAGTTAATCACACAGGCGGAGACTGCCCATCCTTCTCCCTCGGAGCAGCCTTGAACCGCATGCCTTTTAGGATTGCAGTGCAGCTTCTTGCCACTAGGCCACCAGAGCTCAAGAGAACCTGTTGTTCTTTTTTTTTTTTTTTATTTTTTTATTACTTTGTGTGCGTGTACCGTCAAATTAGATCTGACTGGTACAGGAGGATATTGCGCCTCCTTCTCTGGCAGAGCATCTGGTGGATTTGAACCGTGTTCCTCTGGGATTGCAGTGCAGCTTCTTGCCACTAGGCCACCAGAGCTCCCGAACCTGTTGTTCTTATGTGCCGTCAAGCTGCTTGTGACTTACAGTAACTCTATGTACAACAGTCCTATACCCTGCTCTATCCTGTGCCAACAGGCCGTACAGATTGAAAAAGATCTTCTCGGTTGTGACTGGGGTGGGGAGGTGAATAAGAAACTCATTTTAAATGCAATGTAACAGGCTGATAATGAAAAGGTCTGTGGTTCGGATTCACCAGTCACTGAGTGAGGTGAAAAGGTGGGAAGTCTCCTCCCATAAATATCCATGACCTCAGAAACTGAGGGAGGGTTAAATTGCTGTGGGTTAAATTCAATTCACCAGCGGCAGGTTTAGTTTATAGTTTGTAATGTCCTCAGACCCAGACATACCCTGATATAAAAGGTGTGTGGCTGAACAAACGCATTTTAGAATTAAGGAAAAGGAGAGAGTGATAAATACAGACAGATATGCACATGTGTTGTGTTGGTGATGGTGTGGACTGTGACTCAGGTGACACTTGTCAATCACTCTGTCACCGCCCACAGGTGGAGCCCCCTCTGTGTGAAGAAGCGGGATGTGAAACAGCGGAGCCCACCTGTCAAACACAGCCTGGCATCACTGGCAATGCTCACTGGTTCAATGGTGATGGTGAGCCAGGGCTGCCTGTGCGCTACACAGCAACCAAATCTGATGTCCGCGGCATTTGAATTTGCGTGGGAAACAGTGGAAGGCGTGGTGCTCTGCACCAGCACTGCCTGTGAGGCTGCTCTCCAGACATCCAGCCGTGTGGTCCTTCCCCTGGAGAGTCCAGCAGAGCTCCTGATGCAGGAGACTCCATCAGGGGACCGGGTCACAGGGCAGGATGCTGGGGAGCACTGCCGGTCAAAGGCACACAGCTGACGGGGCACAGCTGCTGTTTCCCACTGGAAAGGCCCCACGCACAGACCTGGTTTTTGTGTGGGGAGAAGCAGCCCTTGTTGATGGCAGCAACTTCTCAGCTGTTTTGAGCCAGCTGGACGTGTCCTTGTTCAAAGGCTGCAGGGCTTTGAAACTGCGAGAACTTCTGGTCCCTGATCCCAAGTCTGGCCGGCCCTTCTGCCAGGGTGGAAACTGGTTCCACACTCTTCCTTTTTAAGGAGGAAGGCGGGAGCCAGGCCAGGTGCACTCACCGATTGGCCACAATGCTGGGGTAGTAGGCCTTCTGGTTCTCGTCCACCTTCAGGTCACTCTGGCGGATGAAGCGCTCCTGATCCTCGAAGGCGCGGATGACGCTGACCCCCAGCAGGGTCTCGTTGAAGTGGGAGTACACGGGCGAGCGGCTGACCGACTCGAGGCGCTTCAGCTGCCGGGAGGACGCCACGTAGAACCTCTGGAGAGAGAAAGAGAAGACAGGGAGGTGGTCTGAGTTCCTCCGTGCTTCCTCCCACACCATGCTGATACGCTGAGACTGTTATGCTGACAGATACCCTCTTAAATATGACAATGGTACCTCGAGGAGGGAGGCGACCTGGTAGCACAATGGTCGTGTGAGGATGACATTAAAACTTACACACGTAATACATTCCATATTTGCATAATACATGATTACATGTAACACATCATGTATTTGCATACTTCACATATTACATATCACAGGTTACATGAAATGATTTGCACACTGCACACACTAATTTGCAGGATGCTTATATTGGAGGCTAGGATTTTGAAGCTCTGCCTCACATACTTCGGGCACATGGCCAGGAGAGACAGGTCTTTGGAGAAGGACCTCATGCTCGGAAGGGTGGAGGGACAGAGCAGAGGAGGAAGAACCCAGATGAGATGGACTGATACAGAATCTGGAGCAATGGGGGTTGGTGTGTCTCAATTAGTGAGACTGGCTCAGGGCACGGAAGGGTTCAGAGCTGCTGTACACAGGGTCGCTATAGATCGCAGGTGACTCAATGGCACATAACAAAAAACATACTATATTGGTTGGCTTGCTTGCTTGTTTGTTTGTTTATTTATTTATTTAATTTAAGCCTCTTGTTTAGGGTCAACAAGATCTCGGGAAGGGCCTTTGTATTTAAAGTTGGTTGTTGCTGTATTTTGCAGGAACATTCTTCTAAGTGGTACGGCACACTTCTGTCAGTGTGCTGTACTGAGGTAACAAGGTCAGCTGTGATGCTGAACCTTGTGCCACTGGGGTCCCAAATGCCATAATGGTTACTCATGGAGGACAGTGTTTGGTGGAGTTTCCAGTTTAAGACAGATTTGGAAGCAGGACTGGCATCGGCTTCCTAAAAAAACAAGCCTCTAGAAACTCTATGAGCTTTGATAAATGTCGATAGTTCTAGAAAGACTTCAGGCCTTTTGTTCATAGGGTCGCTATGAGTTGTGCTCAACTCGACAGCAATTAACAACAATAATACATTATCATGTGTCATTCATCATGTATTGCCATAATACTTCACTAAGGAGAAAGGGAGTTCTGATGGCCTAGTGGTAAGGAGCTGTGCTGCCAAGGCAACCGAAGGTACATGGTTCAAATCCACCAGTGGCTCTGTGGGAGAAAGACAGGCAATCTCCTTTTGTGTGATTTACAGCCCCCTGAAAACCTGCGGGAGGGTCTGCTGTGAGCCAGTTCCCGCTCAGTGGTACTCAACAACAAGGAAAAAGAGGCAGTGGTGTGTTCCCAAGATTCCCAAAGATTTCCAGCCTCGGAAACACCATGGGGCAATCTCATCCTATTTAGGGTCACCGTGGGTCAGAACTGACCGACTCAGTGGTGGTGGCTTTGGTTCTTGGTTGGGTGTTTAGTAAACACAGGGTCTGAGGGAGCTCTGGTGGCCTAGTGGCAAGAAGCCGTGCTTGCAATCCCAGAGGTGCACAGCCCAAATCCACCAGATGCTCTGCTGGAGAAGGAGGGGCAATTTCCTCCTGTACCAGTCAGATCTGATTTGACAGTATACAAACACAAAAGAATAAAATTAAAAAATAAACAAAAAAATAAACACAGTGTCTGCTGACATCAGAATGAGCCACAGAAATCACCGTTTCTTGACATAAAAAGGTAGGTGACCATCAATGTCAGGTGGTTTGACATAACAGCTGCCACCATGTGCTGTTACCACCAAGCTGGCCCTGACTCACATCAAGTCAGAGGACAACACAGCAAAGTGCTGCCTGTCTCATGCTGTCCCCAAGGCCAGGACTGGTTGGGCGGGCAGCAGAGACTCAGGGCTTCCTATTGTCTGATTTTTGGCAGCCAATCACCAGAGGCCTGATCAACATACAGACCCTTTCTCATATCCTAGGAAATTCCCCGCAGTTAACACCCACCTCTCACCGCTCATCCTACTGGTGATGCTAATCACTCTAAACTCCAGTCACCAAATGCCAGTTCTGCTGGGTCTTAAGCATCACCTCAGTGGAATCATATGCTATGTGTTTATTCTTTTGGTCAATTCGACATCTCTGAGACTCACTCAGCCTGCTCTGTACATCAGAGAGTCATTCTTTCTTATTACAGGAATGCCTTCTCCACTGTGTGAACAGGCTATAATTTACTGACACATTCTCTATACTGGTAACCAGGTAGGTTGTGTCTTGTGTGAGCTCTAACCACTCGAGCTGCCCATGACGATTATGCTGGACGAACGCTCTCATTTCTGTGGTAGATGCACCTCGGGTTGAAATTCTTGCTCACAGGCTAAGTGTCTAGTTACCTCAAAGCTAAAAAAGGAAGGGGAGAAGTCCCTACGCAGTCTCAACCTTTAAAAAGGCCATGTTTTCATTTTTGTGCCTCTATATCCCAGCCTGCCCACACATTTCACGTATTTTATCTTCATTATAATGACAATGTGCGTCCGAGTTGGTCCTTTGTGAAACTCACTCCCTTTGTAGTTTAAAAATAAAACTTGGTATTGCAACAGTGTCTTCCTAATTACCCCTGTGGAGAGAGAACATTCCATCGGGGAGTTGCTCCAGGAATTAAAATGATCGATGTCTTCCTATTTATCCCTAAATTAAGAGCAAACATCCCCTCATGGACTTGCCCCACTGGGCACCAAATCCTGCTAGTCACAGATGTTCAAGCAGCTCTAATGTCCCTCTGGTCAATTCTTTTCCTTAGAACTAGGTCCTTCTGGAACATTGCTAGTCTGGGATGAACACTGGAAAGATTTTTGGGGGGGCTGCCGTGGGGTGATTTTACAAAACAGGTATGAGGGTGTTTTGGAGGTAGGATTAGCAGCTTTCCCACATCACAGGCAGAACACCCCATCTAAATAACTGATCCCCATCTGAAGTTTGGCTGTAGTTAATCTTTTTAGGGGCAAGAGGGGGCTGTGCAATGGCTCCAGCTCTTAGGACAGGCCCTGAAATCGGGCACATGAATTCCTACTTCCAGCTCTGCCACTAGTTTCACTCTTTTTAGCTTTAATGTGGAAACAAAATAACCTAAGAAACCAGCAGGGTTCAAATGTTGTTGTTAGGTGCCATCAAGTCTCCTAGGACTCAAGCAACCCTTTGTACACCAGCTCTGAAGCTTGCCCTGTGCTGAGCCAGTCTCACTAATTCCAATACACCAACCCCCATTGCCCCAGATACTGTATCAATCCATCTCATCCAGGGTCTTCCTGTCTTACATTGTCCATCCTTCCAAGCATGATGTCCTTCTCCAAGGACTGGTCTCTCCTGACCAAGTGTCCAAAATAAGTGATGCGGAGCTTCAAAATCCTAGCCTCCAAGGAGAAACTTGGTTTCATCCTAAGACAGACCTGTTTGTTTTTTTTGCAGTCCATGGTATGTTCAAGACTCTTCTCTGACACCACTGGGCCAGCTGACAGCACCATGACAAATGGAGAAGGGACTGAGGTTGTTAACAGTTGCAGTTTGCTTGTCTTTACAATCAACACTCTTTAACATCACCAGCCAATAAATCAAAGATTAATTGCATTGGGCAAATCTGCTGTCAAGGACCTCTCCAGAGTGCTGAAGAGCAACGATGTCAGTCTAGAGACTAAGGTGCGCCATGGTCTACACAACTATGTGTTATGCTTCAGAGAACTTGACAATGGCAAAGGATGACAGAAGAAGAATCAATGCCTTCAACTTGTGGTGCTGGGAAAGTGTTCAAATACATGGTGGAATTAATTTTCACAGAAGAGATATGATAGAGACTACCACCATCTAGCACTAGCACAATCAAGTGTTCTGGGATCCCCATTCTTCTGAGTCAGCCAGTCTGTTTTGTTCCACACAGTCAAATGCCTTTGCATAGTCAATGAAGCACAGACAGACAATCCTCTGGTACTCTGCCTTCAGCCAAGATCCGCCTAACATCAGCTACAATATCCCTAGTACCAAGACCTCTTCTAAACCCAGCCTGCACTTCTAGCAGTTCTCTGTCGATGTGCTGTTCCAGTCGTTTTTGGATAATCTTCAGCAGAATCTTGCTTGAATGAGTATTAATGATATTGCTCAATAATTTTCACATTTTGATCACTTTTCTTTGAAATGGGAACAAATACAGATCTCTTCCAGTTAGTTGGCCAGGTGGCTGTCCTCCAGATTTCTTGGCACAACTTTGTGAGCACATTTAGAGCAGCAGGTCCTGGTCTTTGCAATCACTTGCTATGCATCAGAGAGCTGGACAATGACTACGGATGGTAGAAGGAGGGTTGATGCCTTTGAGCTGTGGTGTTGGAGAAGAGTACTGAATATACCATGGACTGCTAAGAGAATGAACAGGTTCATCCTAGAGAGGGTTAAGCCACGTTGCTCCTTGGAGACAAGGATTCTGAAGCTTCGTCTAAAATACTTTGAACGTGTTGCAAAGCAGGACTAGACCTTGGAGAGGGATGTCATGCTTGGGAGGGTGGAAAGACAGCGCAGCAGAGGAAGATCCTTGATGAGATGGAATAATTCAGTAACTGGGGAAATGGGGGTAGGTATGTCAGAGATAGTAAGATTGGCACAGGATAGACTGGGTTTAGGGTTGTTAGGGCTGTTATACATAGGGGCACTATGAGTCACAGGTAACTCAATGGCACACAACAACAACAAATGACCTTCCAGAGAGCTCTGGTGGTATAGTATGCAGGGAGTTGAGTTAACCCAAAGGCAGCACTTCTTTTCTGGTTCAAGTTCACCAGAGGCTTTGAAGAATAAAGATGGGCAGTCTCCTTCTGAATGAGTTAGAGCCTCCAAAAGCCCAATGGAGTCAGCTCCAACTCCATGGTAACGAGTTTGAGTTTTGGAACTATTTTCCCATCTAGTATCTCTTCTTCCTTTCCTGATGGAAACTGGATTTGGCTGGGATAGGAACAGGCCCAGTTAAAGCAGCAACACTTCTCAGCTTCCTTTCCTAAAAGAGGTGGTTCTGATTCAGCTCTCATGTCCTTCTTTGCCCTGTTCCCTTCCCGCACTCTTGTTATCTGATATGAGGGCTGGAGCTTTGGCAGCCCTACTGGACCATGAGGTCAGCATGTGGATGAATAGTTGAGCAGAAAAACAATGCAGTATGGGATATAAAACTCACGGAGGTGCCAAACCAGCCCTGAACAATATTATTATATATTTCTATTACAAGAGATATAACAGATCTGTTCTGGAGAGGGTGAAAACCAAGCTCCTCCCTGGAGGCAAGGATTTTGAAGTTCCATTTCATGTAGTTTGGACACGTGGCCATGAGGGACCAGTCCTTGGATAAGGATATTATGCTTGGAAGGGTGGAGGGACAGTGCAGGAGATGAAGACCCAGGTTGAGATGGATTGACTCAGTAGCTAAAGTAATGGATTTAGATCTGTCATAGTTGGTGAGATTGGCTCAGAATAGGGCAGGCTTCAGAGCTAATGTACACACGTGACTTGCTGACACACAACAACATTATAAGAGACACAAAAATAAGCCTCTAAATAGCCTCTATCTTGGTTAAGCCACTGTTAGTCTATCATCTGCAAAGAATTTAGTAACCCAAAGGATTTTTCTTCTCTATAAATTTCAATAATAAAGATATCTTTAAAATAAGCCATCTTTTTGCCTTATAGCTAGAAAGATCATCAGAGATAACGCATAGATGGCAATGTAATTTAGCAACAGCAGTGGACTTCATCCTGGGGACTAAACCTCCCCCTTACCTGGACGAAGAAGTAGATCAGGCCCAAGGGCGGGATGATGATGGCGGCGATGGGAGTGGCCAGCAGGATGATGATGCAGGCGCCGATGACATTGAACAGGGAGCCCATGAACATCTTGATGACCTGCGGGATCATGGAGTCCACCGTGTCCATCTCCTTGGAGAAGCGGTTCACCAGGTTCCCGCTGGGCGTCCGCTCGAAGAAGCTCATGGGCGAGCGGAGAACGTTGTGCAGCAGGTCCAGGTGCAGGCGGCGGGAGGCGAAGATGCCCCCGATGGACACTGCCATGGAGTAGCCGAACACCGCGAAACCTACAGACAGGGCGAAGGTTAGGACTCCAGAACAGGGCGGCCGAGCTGGGGCAGGCGCTGCTGGGAGAGGGGCCCTGTGAAAGCCGCTGGTTACTACCTGCCTTTATTAACAGCGCCCATCACTCACTCATTCACTGCCGTGGGGTCAGAATCGGCTCATAGCTGACCCTCCAGCAGGTTTTTCAGAGGGTATAGACCGCACAGGAATAGACAGCCTATCTTTCTTCTGAGGAGCAGCTGGTGGATTTGAACCATAAGCTCTCTGAATTGGCAGCACAACTCCTTACATACCAGGCCATCAGAGCTCCCTTAACAATGCTCATAAGAAAGTAATAATTAAGGTAGTTGTTTATTGAGAACTTACTGATTTACAGACTTAGGAATCCAGTGGGGGCTGCTATGAGTTGGAACCCATGGCCGCGGGACTGGCTTTTGGTATAAAAGCGTGTTTTACAGATAAGGAAACTGACATTCAGAGGTGAATTCCCTTATCCCTTAATACGCTCGGCCAATGAGCAGAGTTCCAGGGTCAGGCCTGTAAAATCCACATGCCATAATCCTCTGAACCTGTGGCACCAAATGGAACTTTCTACGACGTTGGAAATGCTCTCAGAGCTCGGCTTTCTGGTACAGCTGCCACTAACCACGGTGGCTACTTCGCGCTTGAAATGTGGCCGATACGACTGAAGGACAGAACTTAAACTTTTATGTCATTACAATTATTAAAATGAATTTTTCAAGTTTTTATTGTGACTTAGGGGAAAGTTTACAGAGCAAACTGGTTTTCCATTCAACCAATGCTACATGTTTTGTGTCAGGTAGTGATGTCAATCTCCACACTCTAGTAGCCGCCCCCCTGCCGCTTCTTCCCTGTGATTCGTCAATCTCCACACTCTAGTAGCCGCCCCCTGCCCGCTTCTTCCCTGTGATTCGTCAATCTCCACACTCTAGTAGCCGCCCCCTGCCCGCTTCTTCCCTGTGATTCGTCAATCTCCACACTCTTAGCAGCCACTCCCTGCCCGCTTCTTCCCTGTGATTTTTATTTCCATCTATCCTTTGACCATCTCCTTTCCTGTCTTCTGAGTATCTTCTCTGAGGAAATGCTGTCCTTTCGTTCTAAGGAGTATATACCACCCTGACTACTATCTGCACAGGGCTGGTGGCTACCATACTGGACAGTGTAACTTTAAGAGACACACAGTGTAAGCCCCAGGAAACATCAAACCCTCTCTCCTCTCCACCTTCTACCATCATTTGGAGCCTTAGTCCACAGCCATACAGAGCGCGCTCTGGTGGGCAAGTGGGTAAAGTGTTGCGCTGAAAACCCAAAGGCTGACAGGTCAACTGTACCAGTGGCTCTGTGGGAACAAGATGTGAAATATGCTGCCTCTGAAAACCCACCGGAGGGTCATGAGTCCGTTCTGACTGGACGGCACATAACAACATTGCCATCAATGCTGTTCTGAGGGACCACAGAGGAGGCCACAGATCACGGTCTCCCGCCCCTCTGACTACTGACATCTGAGTTTGGAGAATTCTTGGTTCTACTGGTTTCTCTATTAGTGGCATTCCAGGTTCTAGATGTCAGGAGCACCTCTATCAACCCAAACTATCTCTGATCAGTGTCCCCCATGTCTGCTGGTGGGCGATGCCCCTTGGACAAGAACCACTAGCCTACCCAGGAGGTTTTGCCCCTTGACTTTGTTAGAGCGACAAGGGGTAAGGTGTCCTCCCAACTCACCAACATTCTGAGTCACCTCAGACCTCAACTTGCCTTGCCTTTAAGATGGGCACATGGGACTCCCCTCCTCCCATACCTTCCTGTTGTTGTGGACCGTAGAGATGGAAATGACCCATAACTGACCCTCTGGTGGGTTTTCAGAGGCAGTTAATTGCATGGGAGGAGATTGCAGCACAACTTCTTGCCACTAGGTCACCAGTGCTCCCCATATCTCCCTAGGACCACATAAAACAATCATCCCAGCTACATTCACTCTATAGCCATTTGAGCATTGGCTGCATTCCGCACTGCTCTCCTGGCTGTGGCTTGGGCAGGGGAAGCAGTGAACCCCAAGAACCTGGAGAACCAATGCTACAACCACCAGCCATTCAGACACAGATGCACGCACAGGTGCCAGACACGGGGGGAGGGGAAAGGCCACCTTGGGAAATGCCCAGCGCTCCATAGACGCTCAGCCGGACTTTGGTGTGCTCCTGGGTCCCGTTGATGATGGGGTCATCCGTCCACTGGCTGAGCCAGTAGTTCGAAGCCAGGGAGGCAACATGGTTGCACAGGAAGAGGAAGATGCTCAGAAAGGAGATGAAGAGTCCGATGGCCTTCATGTAGTCCCAGTACACGGAGAGCTTGACCTGATGACCATGGGGAGAAGGGGCGCATTTTACCAAAGGCATCGGCCTCACGTGCACTGGCTGGGTGCTTCACCAGTACCTGTGCAGCCCAGCCTCCACCCTTCAACTCCCTTGAATCTCTCCAAGGGCACTAACAACTCTAACTCCGACCCTTATTATCCCAAAATCATCTTTCACTTGCGTGCATGCTTCATCTGGTCACTTGGTCTTGTTAATTTTTTTAAAAATCCAAGAAAACAACTGGAGAGGATTAAACCGGTCGGCTCCTTGGAGGCAAGGATTCTGAAGCTCCATCTGACATACTTTGGACATGTTTTAAGGAGAGACTGGTCCTTGGAGAGGGACATCATGCTTGGGAAGGTGGAGGGACAGTGCAGGAGGGGAAGACCCTCTATAAGGTGGATTGATTCAGTGACTGGGGTAATCGGGATGTGTGTGTTAGAGACAGTGCGATTGGTAGAAGACAGAGCAGAGTTCAGGGCTGTTGTACATAGGGTCTCTATGAGTCGCAAGTGACTCGACGGCATGTAACAACAACAACAACAAAGCCTTCTGATTTAGAGTAAAGAAATAAACACAGGACTTGGATTTGTCAGAAAAAAGTGAACCCAGGGATGAGGAGAATCAGAAAAAAAGTTCTGTTGCAGAGTCATGAATTCAGAATAAACTCAAGCTTCTGCTATTAATGTGGTCACAGTGTCCACAGGAACTTTCTGACCTCTGGGGCACAACAGCCAAATGTGTACTATCCTTAGAGTAAGGTCCAAGTTGAACTATTAAACAAATAACAAGCCCCCCACCACAAAACACCACCACCAACAACAAACAGCAGCAGCAGTCTCCCCCAAACAAGCAAAACAAAAGCTGAATATGATGTCCACTTTAATTTTCCTAAATGATTACTTTTAAATTTTTCTGTAAAAAATTTTCATGCTGAACTTCAGAATTTCTGTGCACTATGTGCCTTTTAAAACAAAGAAACCAAAAATGTTTGCAATTATTGATAAATAAGCATGACTGATGACATAAAAAAAGTAAAAAAAAAAAAATCCACCCGTTAATGCAACCCGCATGTATTTTTCAAAAGAAACTTCCCGTCATCACCATAAATGAGGAATTACTGATGCTTGCCCCAAAAAGGTAATTGCACACAAAATTACAGTAGTATAAGAGCTTGATACAAAGCCCACTCTCCTTGTTACAAAGGAGGATCAGTCACTGAGAGGGGTTCAGGATCCAGCACCCAGTGAGACCGCCTCACTGATAGGCTTGTAAGGGCTAAAAGGGAACTCTGAGTATTCTCTCTCTGTCCTTGTGAAGTCCAATGCTGCCTTACACAACTGCCTATTTCTGAAGTCACTTCATGTTGTGGGGAGCCCTGATTTAAAGCGTTTGGGTCAACCACAGCCAGCAAGCACCCCTCAAGCAGCTCAGATAGCAAGCTGGCATCATGGCCGAGACAGCAAGCCTGGAGCCCAGCTCTGCCACCAGCTGGGACCCTGGTAAGGTGCATAGCTGTTCTGTGCCTCAGTTTTCACACCTGTAAGCAGGACCTTGATAGGCTCCTGAGAATACGTGCGTCAATGCACCAAGCACAGAGCCATGGACCTGGTGCGCTTGAGAGGCTTCTAGCCGCCAGCCCAACTCAGAGAGCCAGACCTCACCTGCCCCGTCTGGGCCTTGTCGGCTTCCATCAGCTTCCAGGGGCCCTCCTTCTGCATCCCAGCTTTCTGCAGCTCCGTACTGCTGTGGTGGGGCTTGCGCGTGTCCCCGCTGTAGGAGGAAGAACTGCTCAGCTGTCTGGGGAGAGAAAGGCGTGTGTGTCAACAAACAGGCCAAACTAGATGGCGGCAGGCGCAGAGAGGGAATGTCCTGCACAGCGCCCTGCACGGGGGACACAGGAACAAGCTCAGAATGAGTGACAGCTGATTTAAGTAAGGTTCGTCTCTGAAATGAGGTGATCACACAGAGGCCCATCGCAGTGCAGTGAACCGCTCACTCTACCTCTTCCGGCCACTCTTTGTTCCCATCGAATGACTGGGGAGGACAGATAAGAGGTGCTTGGGGCCCACCAAAGGGACTGGACAGCTTGTTCATGATGTAAGGAAGGCACACGCCATGTCTCGGGGGACGGCATGCAGCACCCTAACGCAGGGATTGGTCAGTTTTGCTGTCCCACTGGGGATGAAATGAGGTTGCCCAGAGGTAGAAAAGGGGGACCTCCCTGCTGACCTGGAAGAAAAATCAGGACTGTAGTGGGCCCTTCGGGTCCAGGAGTCCTTCTCTGATAAAGACTCCTTGACCCAGGAGAGGGAGCGAGTGAGCAAGTGATGTGACGTGTGTAGAGAGGGTGAACAGCAGCAGTGGGGAAACAGCAGAGGCCTCAGGAGACTAAACCAGACAGTGAGGGGCTTCCGAGGCCAGGGTGTACGGAAGTCAAGTGCCTTCAGGCGGGGTGGGGGCTTGTGCTGCTGGGGGAGTGGATGTGCCCCCTGACATTCATCTGCGGGGTTGGGCTTGCTGTCCTGGACCAAGAACTGTGTGCCTTTGGGCAATAGGCTTGTTGGCACAGTCGAGGTGCTTCTAGGCATTTTCTTGGCAGAGCAGAGAATACTCTTGTTACGCTTGCCTGAGCCGGGCAGAGGCCAAAGGGCCGACAGACAAGAGGGCATGAAAGCAGCCCATGTGCAGGTGAAGCCGAGAAAGTGCAGTCTTGATCAGAGACCCGTATCCTGAGCATTCCTTATCCTAAGCGGTGAGCTCTTATATTCCTGTTATCTCTGATAATGCCAAGTGTTGTTCTGTGAGTTCTGTGTGGCCACTGTAACAAATTCTTGAACACAGTAGAGAAGTGGAATGTGTAACGGCAGGGGTGGTTGGAGGGGGGAGGCGTGTCTGACCTTACAGGAATCAGCCTCGTGAAGAAGCACCCACCACCTCCCTGTCATCTGCATGACCTCTTTTCCATTTAATCGCTTACCCTGGCTGCTCATATGCACTCCCTCTGTGACCTCACCCACCCAGAGGTGAATCTCCACAAATTAGAACTCTGTCCTTCCAGCCTCTGGCAAACGCCAGCTTCTCTACCAACTCTCCCTGGGCCCGTCCTGGAAGTTTCAGAAGTTGCCAGGAGTTAAGGAAACAATCGCTTCGAGTTATGTGTTTACTATAACCAGAAAAGATACAAGCTTAGAATTGTACCAGGCAAGGGCTTCCCATACCTGATGTTCTCACCAATCCAAGGGCACACCAAAGATAGCACCCCAATGTCCCAGGTCTCTAAGTTGGTGGGACTCCCGTCCACAGGCGTGACTTGGGCTTTATGTATAGTTACAATCAAGCCAATGATGCGTTTAGCCAAAAGCAATGACTGCATTTAGCTCGCACCCCTTCCTCCCTGAAGCGACTCTGTCAAGTATTCACTCTGCAGGAGGCAATGTGCTGGGCACCCCCTGGTCTTCATCTCCCCTAAATCTTAGAGCCATTCTAGAAGATCCAAACCACAGATCCACAATCCTCCCTTGACACTCCCAGAGCCAGAAGGGTGTTGTGCTGTGTATTCTAACTCCCTGGACCTGAGGAAGTCCTCTGGGGCCAAGCACACTGGTATCTACAGTAAAATGCACAGAGGGGCCCGTTAAATAAGAAATATGCAGACTGGTTAAATGGTTGACCATGAGTTGAAAGGGGTGATGGTGGTTTGAATCTGCCTTGGGTGACAAGCCTGGTGATCCGATGACAAAGGTCAGAGCCTTGAAAACATGGAGGAGCAGTTCCCCTCCGCATACCTGTGGCCACAGTGAACTGGAATGGACTCAGTTTGAAGATAGTTAACCAACCGCGACTACGCCCAGCTTCAGGTCAGTCCACATTCTGCTACTCTAGGCTGGCCATGGGCTCACATAAACACGGCCCTAAAAAGTTTGGCTATAGTCCTTCAGTTTTCAGAGCCTTGTTGGCTCTGGACTTGTGGAGCAAGGGTGCTGATACTGTGTTCATTTTCTACCAGAGGCAAACCTTCCTGGGCCCCAGAGCCGAGAAGGCTCAGGGCTCACATCTGAACTCATCAGTGCTTCAGACACAGACACACCACCTTCAGATTCCCATCCCCCAGGACACACTTTCCACACGGAAGCAGCTTCGAGAACCTTCCCCAGATGACCTCATCCCTCTGGCAAGACAAGTGACTTGCTTCTGATAACGATTCGAGTGCAAGAAAGGTGACAGAGCCCAGCGCCTTTGAGACGGGACCCTCTGGTGAAGCAGTTTCCCACGCTGGAGGTGGCGAGGTGCGGAGGGCTGTTTCCTGCTGGCAGTCAGGTGACCGGAGAGGCCTTCTGTGATATGGCACTCACCGCCCTGCAAGCCAGGAGGTGGACCCTTCTCCAGATGAGCCTTCAGGGAGAGACCCCAGTCCTAGCAGGGGGAGCCTGTTCTGCTCTGATGCACATGGGGCTGCTGAGAGCAGTTGACTTTGGGGCACTTTTATGGCCTTGGGATTTGTGGGATCTTCTGGCAGGTCCCTGTTCTAAGTGCTTCACACATACTATTTCCTGTAAATCTCACTACCACCCTACGGGGCAGTTACTGCTATAAACCTCAAGTGGAAGGTGAGGAAACCGAAGCACAGATCGCTAAGCAACAAAGGCAGCTCCTTCATCAGCCCAAAGCTCAGAGAATGCTTCCTTACAACAGCCCAGCTTGACCCTGGGCTGGGTTCACATCCGAGCTTGGCCTCTCTTGGCTGCGTGACTTGTGGAGAGCTCTCAGTGTGCCTAACTGTAAAATGGGATGATGACAGGGCCCATCTCCCGGATTCACAGGCTGTACAGAGCTTGGCTCCTTATGGTGTTTGTTGTTGTTGCACCTAATAGAGTCAGAGCCAACCAATAGCTGACCCTCCAGGGGGTTTTCAGAGGCAGTTAACGAACAGGAGGAGACTGTCCATCCTTCTCCTTTGAAGCAGCTGGTGACCTCGAACTGCGTGTCTTGGGGATTGTAGTGCAGCTTCTTGCCACTAGATCATGGTGTTTATGGTCCACAAAACACTATTACTGTGTCTGCTTTGAACCAAATGCCAGTTTTTTGTGGCTGCAAGTTTCAGCTCCTCTGAGTGACCCCACCAAAGGCCACACAGGGAACTTGACCTCAGAAGTACTGACAGGTTAAATTGAGAAGCCCCTGTGAGCAGTCACCTGGCAGGAACGGTGCCAGGCCCACCCTTCTGGTCCCTGGGGTCCTAGAAAATGCAGGAAGAGATGCAGAAGACAGTGCCCTCCAGAACCCAGGGAAATGATGGTCTGTGTTGGAGGTCATGCCAAGAACTGATTCCTCCTCCCTTCTAGGCTGGGCAGACACAAGGGCCTGGAGTAGCTGGGCCTGGGCCGCCCGCTGGCCTCACCTCTGCAGTTGCTTCCCCGCTGTGTCCGTCACGAGCACACCGTTCTCCAGTAGCTTCCCTTCCCTCACTGGACCACTCCCTGTCTGTCCTGTCAAGAGAGAAAGCAGGGAATTGAGGCTTCAAGAGCCAGACACCAAAACACAGATGACCAAACCCTGCAATTTATGCGAGACCTGCTTTGTTGAGACCACACGGGCTCCCAGGAGTCACCAGTGACACGTGGAGCAAGGTCCAGGGCAGCTGCTTGAGGACCTCCACCAGCTGCACGGGCGCCCAGCCTGGGTGGGTGCTGAGTGAGATCCGCAGCTCAGTGGAGGCTTCGCTGCTGCCTTAGGTCAAGGATGGGGCAGGGAGGCAGGGACGCAAAACATCTCAAGGAGGGTGATACTCAAGAGCAAACAGTCCTGCAAGGATGTAGACCAACAAGTGGAGTCCCCGGAAGTCCTGTCATGCCGGGGCAAACCCCGTGGTTGGCAAGTCATAGGGACGTCTAGTGGACCTGGCATGGGAAGGGCTGTGAATATTCCCATATTCCTTCATAAATAAGGCGGTATTTCAATATTCTGACAACTGACACAGCCTCTGTGGTACCACCAGACCAAGTAGTACCCACCCATCAATCCTAACAATGAGAAGACATGCTGCCGGTGAGGCGGGCAGTTGTTGTAGTGGTCATGTGCCGTCAAGTCACTTGCAACTCATAGTGACCCTATGTACAACAGCTCTGAAACCGCTCTACCCTGTGCCAACCTTATTGTCTCTGACACACCTACCCCATTACCCCAGTCACTGAATCACACCATCTCATCCAGGATCTTCCTCTCTTGTGCTGTCCCTCCACTCTCCCAAGCATAACATCGCTTTCCTAGAACTGGTCCCTCCTTCCAACATGCCCAAAGTATGTCAGATGAAGCTTCAGAATCCTTGCCCCCAAGGAGGAGCCTGGTTTCACCCTCTCCAGGACAAACCTGTTTATTCTCCTAGCAGTCCATGGTATATTCCATACTCTTCTCCAGCACCACAGCTTAAAGGATCCATTCTCCTTCTATCAACCTTAGTCATTGTCCAGCTCTCTGATGGAGAGCAAGTGATTTCAAAGACCATGGCCCAGATCAGAAGCACCTTTGTCTCCAGATGACATGTGACATCTTACTCATCTTCACCGGATCCCAGCAGTGTGTTACCATCAGGTCCCATGTGAGACTGTGTCCTCACTTGCTGACACCAGAGGGGAAGCAGAGAGAGGAGTCCCAAAAGGCTGACTCTACTAAAGTGGTGGGGCCCTGAAAAGAAGTGACAAAAGGGGACAAAGCAGGGATGTTCAAAGGGACAAGAACACCTCGGGATATGCTGCTGTGACATGAATTAAAAAGAATACAGAATGGGAGGTGCTCTAGGTAACAGCTGCGGGAGATACAAAGAGGGAGAAGGAGCAAGGTTAGGGACCAGTCCTTGGGTCCCCAAAGACCAGAGTTCTTGATCTTGGAGGCAAACAGCATCTCCAGGGTCCAGTCCCCTCCTGCAGGGCCACGCTGGGAGCCACGCTGAATGTGGACAGTGGAGCCGCTCAAGTCAGGTCACTGAGACACAGAGGCCATGTCCCACCCTCCCAGCTGTGTCTCCTGCATGAGCAATGACTCTCTCTGTGCTTCACCATCTACACCTAAGGTCTGAAGAGGAGAGGCCCTATCCTTGCCAGCTCAGTGGGAGAGGAGATGAGACCTGGCAGGATGCTGGGTACAGCACCCACTCAGTAAGGGACAGAAACAGCTGTGGGTTCCTTGATATTCTTGAATACACTCTACAGATAATCCTGAGGGCACAGGATTGAGAATCACTGTTTTAAACACTCCCTATTGTCCCTATCTGAGAAGAAAGGGAATCTTAGAACATTTGATTGTGCTTATGTGAAACCTATATATGGACCAGGTGGCAATCATCAGAACAGAGCAAGGAAACATGCGTGGTTCAAAATTGGGAAGGGTGTACACCAGGGATGTATCTTTTCTCCACACCTTTTCAATCTATATGCAGAACAGATCATCTGGGCGACTGGGCTCTATGAGGAGGAGTGTGGCCTCAGGATTAGAGGAAGACTCATCAACAACCTTGCTTGCTGAAACTGAGGACCTGATGCGCTTGCTGCAGAAAGTCAAGGACTGCAGCCTTCAATATGGATTGAAGCTCAACATCAAGAAAACAAAGATTCTCACCACTGGGCTGACTGGCAGCATTATGATCTATGGTGAAGAGATTGAGGTTGTTAACATCTTTAGTTTACTTGGCTCCACAATTAACACTCTTGGTACCAGCAGCCAGGAAATCAAAAGATGAATTGCACTGGGAAATGTCTGCTGTCAGGGGCCGCAACAGAGTGCTGAAAAGCAACAATGTCAGTCTGGAGACTAAGGTGTGCTTGATCCAGGCCATAGTCTTTGCAATTACGTGCTATGCATCAGAAAGCTGGACAATGACTAGGGATGACAGAAAAAGAATAGATGCCTTTGAGCTGTGGTGCTGGAGAAGAGTGTTGAATATACCATGGACTGCCAGGAGAACAAATAGGTTTGTCTTAGAGAGAGTGAAACCAAGCTGCTCCTTGGAGGCAAGGATTCTGAAGCTCCATCTGACCTACTTTGGACATGTTGCAAGGAAGGATCAGTCCTTGGAGAGGGACATTATGCTTGGAAGAGTGGAGGGACAGCGCAAGAGAGGAAGACCCTAGATGAGATGGACTCTTTCTATGAGTGGGGTAATGAGGGTAGGTGTGTCAGAGAGAATAAGGTTGGCACAGATTAGAGCAGGTTTCAGGGCTGTTGTACATAGGGTCACTGTGAGTTGCAAGCTACTCGACGGCACATCACGCCAGCATGGTATCCTCAATGACTTGCTACGCATGTGAAGGCTGGACAATGAATAAAGATGACAGCATGATCGATGTCTCCGAGTTGTGCTGGAGGAGTACTGACTACCCAACCTGTGGACTGCCAACAGAACAAAGAGGTCTTGGAGGAGGTGCAACCAAAGTGCTCCTTAGAGTTAAAGATGATGAGTCCTGGCCCCATATACTTTGGGTATGTTGAAGAAGGGGCCAGTGCTTGGAAAAAGACATCGTGCTGGGAAAGGTGGAGGGCCAGAGAAGGAGAGGAAGACCCTCCGTGAGACGGACTGACATAATGACTGGAACTATGGGCTCAAACGTATCAGAGATGATAAGAAAGGTGTGGAATAAGGCAAGGTTCAGATCTACTGTTCACACAGGTGCTAAGTGCTGTCACGGACTCGATGGTACCTAACAACAACAACAACAGTCAGCATCTTTTTTCCCCTCAGCTAATGCAAACAAACTGAAAGTAAACAGCCACATCATGCAGGAAGAAGGGCAGATAACAAGCAGGACTTCCATGCAGCAGCATGCCGCAGGGCTCAGATGGATGCACAAGGGGGCCTTGCCCGTCTTTCCTTGAGGCAGGGACTTTCTATGCCTGCTGTGTGGACATGTGCTCCAGAGCCCTTTTCTCTGACCTGGCTGTCTCAGTCCTTTGCCCCACAGGCCCACACAGAGCTTCCTCGGTGACTGCCTCCCTGTTAGCTCCAACACCCCATCAGCCCACAGGTAGGGGGAACAACAGGGGTTGCTGGGAAGTTCTGCTCCAACAGGCTGGGCTGAGACTGGAAGCCTGGTAAAGAAATCACTTTCATCTGTTGCTTTTCTTGGCCCAAGGCCTGTCTGCCTGGTCTGGATGGGACGAACCCTCTCCTCACCTGGCTGTCCTGTCAATCACAATGGCTGCTGGGCCCCAGTAGACCCCTGACTCAGGACATGAGATGGTCAGTAATGGTTAAAGCAGCCAGCGGGAGCTGTGCCCTCCTAAGAGAGGGCTCTCTGCCTCCATGGTCCACCTGCTTCGGAGGCCTAGATGCTCCAAGGGCCTTCAATGATGTGATCGTGAGCCCCGGGAGCCTCCAACAAAGGCCTTTTGTGGTTAACGTGGTGGGAGCTGACCATCTTATCCAAGGCCTCATGTCCAGATGCTCAGCCCTGCACTGCTGATCAGGGTACGTGGGTGGGATGGGTTTACCAGCTGCCAGTCTACGCCTTCTTGCCTCTACAGAAGGCAGGACAGCCTCTCCTGCTGGTATTCTGCGGGATGACATCCCTTCTCAGGGGTCTGGCTGTCCACTCTGGGGAATCCGTCAAGCGCTGTCACCTTGGCGCACCTCAGGGGTGATGACACCCCCAGGGCAGGAGGGGTCCCTGAATAGTCAGGCTGTTACCACACATTATCCACCCACTGTACGTCCGCTGGGCACTTCCCCACCACGATCCCCTTCCCAGGCATGCACTGTCACAGCCAAGGGCATCCAGGAGACTGGAATTGCTCCCCGAGCATGAGCCGTTCGTGGGTGGCCTCCAGGAAGTGTTCGCTGAATGAAGGAATGAGGGGTGGGGATGCACAGAGACACGGAGGCCCCAGCCCAGCCATGCAGCTCAGTCGTGGTCTAGCGAGGCGTCCTTCCACAAGGACGGTCCACCCTAACCCCAGTGACACTGACCTTCCTCCGCTGCCTCCACCACCGGGCTGCCTGCAAAGTCACAAGATTCAACAAGGGGTTAAGAACCAGCTCAAACCACTCGCCCAGAGCCCCCTGCTTAACCATCTCTTGAAGAGCGGAATGAATGTGAAGTCAGGCCTGACTGAGTGGTCCTTCCCAGTTTTGGACCTGTTTCCCCAGCCTGTGTGTGCTGGGTGGAGTCCATTACCTCGCCTCTCTAGGTCATCATATTAATTATTCAGCCTTATAAAGGGTCAGCAAACTGTGGTCTGACTTTCTGTCTTTATACCCGTTTCCTCGGCAGCAGAGAGAACAGAGATGAGGTGTTACAGTGAGACAAGAGGTGGCCTGGGACTCTGCTCCCACCCACCACACCCTGGTGTTTAATCTCTGAAGGGAGGTGCTGCTCTGAAGAGGGGCTGAGGACCCGAGAAAAGGGGAGATGGCACAGTTATCATGCTGGCCCTCCCGAGGCCGGGACAAAGGGTTCCACCTCTGGGCTCTCACCTTCCGTCTCCCCACCACGCCCCA